TGACGAATGAGAGAGTTACTAAGCACGCTGTGTCACTTACGGGCCCGGTAGGACTCAAGTTAAAAGCCTAAAAGGCCTTTATTTATGTAGCATTCTCCATAACCAATCACTGGTATGACAAATCACGGCACATTCATCCCGCATCTAAACACGACTTCAGATCAATCTACGATGCGATATTAAATGGACTGCGAAAAAAAAAAAACAAATGAAAAAATATTGTTTTTGTGAGAGAAAAAATCACAGTTTTGAAACTAAGAAATATATCAAGGGCGTTTGTTACTTGTTGTTACGTTATTGACTAGAAAAGTGTACATAATAAAAGGTAGTCTGTGCCACGTTCAGAATGTTTTGCAAAGAACACCAGCGCTTTAGGGATAAGGAGAACGAGCAGCGTCTCTTAAAGGGGCCTGGACACAGTTGTATTGTTTACAATTTAAATGTCTATTTTTATTCAAAATGACTTCAGTTTAATGATTTGAACTTGCATGAATATTCTAAGAATTCAATGACAACGACATTCTTCATAACATCACGTCAAACACCTGTGTTTATACACAGGGCACGATCTCTGTTATTGTTAGTGTTTACGTTTTACGGGTGTGTTCGATTTGTTTAGTCTGCACACATCAGTGAGCTCGGGCTGACACTACTGGTGAATTGTTTTTTCTTTCTCGCATTTCTACTCTGAACTTTCTGGATTATAATTTTTTTTTATTTTTCATTAATAAGTGTTATGGATAAAGTTTACTTTGTGAAAGTGCAAGGATATGTATCAATCAAACGCGTCCCGAAATTTGTAGTTTTAAACACGCTTTTAATATATTTGGATGTGAAATGCTCTAGCAACATATAAGTCATGATATTATTTAGAAAATTTGAGAAAATATGAGCTTCAAATATGTGTCCCAGCCCCAATATAGGTATTGGCAATATTATTTTAAAAATAACTTTCATGGTTGCCATGGTAACATAGTGTAGCCATACAAATTCTTTTAATTATGTTGCTATCTTGAGGAAAACCATGGGATTTCAAGACTGGCATATACATCGTTAAGATCTTGTAACACAAATTGTATAAGAAAATTTTTCCAAGGAAAAATATTTTTCAGCTTTTTGTACATACTTTTTCCTATAATTTCCGTAGCAAAGCTCTATTTATAGAATTTAATTTGAATTTTTGGAAATGTGAAAATTAGTACCACGCCAATGATTTCAAAAATTAGTTATATAGAAAAGGCACTTTTGAAAAATACAGGATCAGATTAAAACACACATATACTTAATTTGAAATTCCTTTAAAACCATGGCAACTATAATGATTGCCAATCAAGAAATATCACATTTGTTGTAAGGATCTTTCTCTATTATTTGACGCAGTGGTAGAGCGTTTGCTCTAGAGTCGCGGAGTAAGGAGTTATTCCTTACGTCGCGGGTTCGAATCCCACTGTGGGACGTGGAGACCGATCCTTCGTATGAGACCGTATTTATAAGCCGGGGCTCCGTGTCGCAGAAGGTGCTGGCACGAAAAAGATCCCTCACTGCTCAATGGCCCTAAGTGCCGAGTATAGGTCAGAAATTTTCAGCTTCCACCGGCAAGTGGTGGCGTCTCCATATGAGTGAAAAATTCTCGAGAGGGACGTTAAACAATAAATAAACAAACAAAACAATTACTAGGGGAACTTGTTCTCGGGATTTCTATGGATAAGCAATAGGGTTACTCGTTCTCAAGATTGTTGCCGGTAATTTCTCGGATAACTTAAAGGGTTGACAACAGCTAGGGAACCTATAGTTCTCGGATTACTATAGGTTAACATTAGGATAACGTGTTCTCAGATATGTGTAAACAATAGGGCAATTCGTTCACAGAATTTTGCGTGGTAGGAATGTGAACTTCTCAAATTTTTGCGGGTTAACAATAAGAGAGGTTTTCGGATGACTATATAGGTTAACAATAGGACAACTTGTTCACAGATTGCTAGTGTTGGATTGCTTGGAATGTTACGGGTTGACAATTAGGGCACTCGTTCTCTGATTACTATAAGTAAGTAATTGTCTGACGTCATGGCGTCAGACAGTATTAGATTTAGCCAAGGCTTGTTGGTCAAGTCGTTCAATAGAATTCTTGTGATAACTTGATCTTGGAAACTTCATACTATCTAAACTATTAATTGGCGAGCATGTGGAGTATAGGAAACATGCTAAACACCCAAACAAGCCAGAGTATTGGAGCCAATGCCATTATTATCACATTATACATTACAAATTACATAACATTTGGCCATTCTCGAAAATTGCATCATTCATGTACAGCAAAAACAGAAGGAATGAAGCTGGTCAGGTCAACACTATCAGATAAACTACTGATTGGATGTTTATTTTCAATGCATGCACTATGTCCCTCTACCTTTAGAATTTTTATAAATCTACACATATTCATAACTAGCAGACGTTTGATTTATTCATAGTTTTAAAAAATATCAAAGTGAAGGATAAATGTTGAATATTCTTTTGCTTTAAATTAATTGCAAAGATATTAGCTCATTTGAAAAACGTTTATTATTTTTAATAAGACATTTCTTAATTATCAAAATTGTTCACCAATTGATATTTAGATTTTTATGTGTTGTAACTTTTTCTTTCAAAAGCACTGGTTATATCTTTCTATTCATTAACAGGCCCGTTGGAATAAATTTCAGAAAATTTCAGTTTCGGGTGGACACTATCAAGGAAAAATTCCTTATCGGGCATAAAAAAAATTATCCAAAGTTAATATTTACATAATTCAGGGGACACAAGCATAAAGTACCTATGTATAAATCCTCGAAATTATTGAGCTCACGGTTCCCGAACATAGAATAAACTGATGTCCAAGTTTCTGAATTGAACTTTTCTTGTTTCTTAGTGCTAATTCATTTCATGACAGAGTCATGTTGGTTACACTGGATTTAACTTTTCTTGATTCTTCGGGAAAAAATAAATTTGCTCAAGTCAGACAAGCTTTTTAGGAAAGCTAATACTTGTGGGGAACTTGTTCTTAGTTTGTTATGGGTAAATTAAATAGATAGAGCAACTCGTTCATAGATTGCTATGGCACCCCTACTAATGTTCGGTTCCTTTAATTTTTGGTTTTCTGTAAATTTTTAGAGCCATTCTCTGTAATGAATTGAACATAGGGGCTATGGCACGCATAGTTTCAGAATTTCTCCAAACTCTCTGATAAAAGTCTTTGATTTCGTAAATCAAGTCAGGCAAAAATTGGTTGCTACGTGTCATGTTTATCATGGCAACATGCCCTGAAGTTCGAAATATGGCATTTTTGAACATGTTCAGAGTCCCATATAGTTAGCATTTGCAGCAATGCAAAGATGTGACTCATTGTTTCAAAAAGTTGAAGGTCTTGTGTCTTAAAACATGATAAACATATTAGGGAAATCATTACTATGGAAACATTTTTTTCAAAAGTAATAATTTCATTCATTCAATTTTATAAAGTCATACACTAAACAATAAAAGCTATGTAAATGCAATCAAATAATAGATTTTTTTGTTTGTTTGTTGTTTAACGTCCCTCTCGAGAATTTTTCACTCATATGGATACGCCACCACTTGCCGGTGGAGATCTGCAAATTTTGACCTATACTCGGCACTGAGGGCCATTGAGCAGTGAGGGATCTTTTTCGTGCCAGCATCTACTGCGACACGGGACCTCGGTTTATACGGTCTCATCCAAAGGACCGGTCTCTGATTGGCATGTCCCACAATGGAATTCGAACCCGCGACGTAAGGAATAACTCCTTACTGCGCGACTCTAGAGCGAACGCTCTAACCACTGCGCCACGCGGGCGACCCCTAGTATTTGTAATCCGAGAACAAGTGTTCCTAATAACCCCTATAGAATCTGAGAACGAAAGGTCCCATCATTATGCAAGAGAAAGGAGATGGGCGAACATAGCGTGCAGAAAGCCTATAGCTTCAGATATATTCAAATCATGTTCAGTTTGTGAATTCAGTATTTAAAGTTCTCATTATTGAAATTTATGAAATTTTGATAAACAAAACTTTTCTGAGGAAAATTTACTCGGCAAAATTTATACTTTTATTAAAAAAAAATGTGGTATTCGTAGGGTTCGAACCCTAGCAATAAAAATCCTGAGTATTATTTTCTTTCGCGACTAGCACGCTAACCACTAAACTACGCAAGTCCTGATGAATAGTGGCATTTAAATCATGTTTGTGATAAGACCCTTGACTTAATGGTATTTCTCGAAAAGATGCGTATGATCTGTCATAAAAGTATATTTTTAAGGTATAGTGGGTCTTTGCTCCACTAAAAAATGTTTATTTTCATGCAAACTTCGAGGATTAACTTTCAAAAAAATGGAGCGAAGACCCACTCATATCGAAAAATAGTGTTATAGTATGAGAAAATGACTCCTTTTGCTCTCTTTAAAGTGTGTACAATATTTCATAAGGAAATAATTTCAACCTTTGCGGGATTTTTGCACTTGTAGAGACTTTACATTAAGTATATTTTAATGTTAGATGAAATATCAAGGAAAATTTTGATATAATTGAGATTTAATTTTTCACCTTCATGAGTTGCCCCATTTTTACCCGTTTTAATACACATAACAATGTTAGAACCAGTTGCTCCATAGTATTAAACGAGATGCACAGCTGGTACTGCAAATTAAATTCCCAGTGCAGAAATTCAAAAGAATGTCCTTCTCACAAGACAAAAACTTTCGGATATATTAACAGAATTCAAGAGAATTTTGGTGCACTCATTTACTCCTTTTCTCACTCTCTATAAAAGTAGCACCTTTAAAGTTTAATTTGTACATTTGACACTCATCTTCATATAATTCCATCTTAGTGGTTGTTTTACGAGTGCAACATACATCTTTCAATTTTGACTATTAAAACAAATCCCAGTATATAACCTAAATGTCGTTAACATAATTCATTAACATTTACTGAAAGAAATAAGAACTCAATTACTGTCAATACAGTTTTACTGGCATAATCTCATCAACAAAATCACAGATCAATGGCATTAAAAATTTTCTATAAAATATCAGTTTCAATATTCTTATCCCTTCATGCTCTGTAACAAGACATTAAACACATAATTTATTATCCCATCTTGGAATCGACCAAGACATGAAACATCACAATCATACCCTTATGACTGGTTCACAACTCATTATTCTGGTGTTCCAATATTCTTTTGTTTCCATTTTATGGCACTTATCAAACTGAACAGAGGTATATAAATATCAAATCACTCTAGAAAAGATTTAATCACTTCAATGGTGTAGCCTTCAATGTTCCTTTATTTTTTTTCAATAGCCAAAAATATTTTGTTCAATAATAGAGTTTATGGATGACTTTGTTTACTTGTTTAATAAATCTATCCAAATAAATCTTAGTGGAATCTGCTTGAAAAGCTACACCTCTATATAGCATATATCTCAATCAATTGGTAATGATAGAAGTATTTCATACAAATTGTATTTTCCTTATTTGAAGTTGAGCAATAGATTCACCCTTGAAATAACTTAGTACATGAATGATATACAGTAAAACATAGTTATAACAAACACATTGAATGATAATAATGAATTCACACTTACAGCAAAGCTATTTCCAATCCCCCTGGTTTTAAAACATAATGTGAACTTAACGGAAATAACAAATTATGTTATTGCTCATCCCTGGCACTTTGCTATAAGTATGTTTTACTGTATTTCCACTTAGATGCATTTTCAAAATTTGTCAGAATATTAAGAGGAAACACACATCAGTCAATCCACATTACAATTCCTAGAAAGTTTGTCCATTGGACAATCTCCTCTCACGTATCCAGATTATTGCAGCATTTGGCACAACAAACAAATGCAATTTAATTACCATTTCCATTAACACTTCTTTTTTTCCACAATGAGGAATTAAAACTATTTAAAACTTTAAACAAGAAAATATGGATATACAAACAAAACATGGATATTTCTCTACAATATGTGACAGTGGCCTCCAATGTGTTGTAATTTATATGATACCATTTTGAAATAAAAGTAAATAAATTATTATAATAAATAAATTTTGCACAACATATTGCCATGTTCTGATAAAACATCATGATATAAAATTCACAAAGGTTTTCCCAATAAAATAACAATAAGTTTTGCAAATATTTTGACACTGTTAATCTTGTTATACATAAAAAGATAAATCATGGCTAATTTGGGTAACAATCACTTAATTAACAGTATTAAAGGGACAGGTTTGTCTTGTACTTGCTTAAATATCCTTAACATACTGGATGACACCTCCGAGATGCTTATAACAGTTTGTAGTATTAGGGATGGTGGTGAGATACATTGCATATCACTGGTTGGTCCCTGAGTAGAACAGTCCATCATGACTAAACTGGCAACTGAAAAACCAAAATACATGTATTTTACCTGAAGAAAAAGAAATCAATAAAAGCTCATTTATGATTTAATATTTTACTTGGCTCAAGACTCTACTTGTTCCACAGGAAAATGTGTAATGATCTTTTTGTGTTCCTCTACAGAACCTCAATCACTGAGGACTAATCTTTTGTGTACCTCTACTTCCATCCCTGAGGACTTACCGTTTCTACATCAATATCCTCGATAGCATCGTCCTCATAATCTAGGAGACTGGTATTCTCTGGCACTGGGTTGGCAAAATATCTCACATCTCTATCCCCATCAGTCTGTAATCGCTCCAAAGTCTTCAGAATCTCTGCATGTTGAGGGTGATCATCATTGGTAAAGTATTCTGCAAGTAAAACAATACCAAAACATCCAATACTTATTAGCTGATTACATATTTATTTGGAGAACCCCCTTGTTTTAAAAACACATTTTTACCTCTTGTAATTATCTGATCCGTCATGACTTTGGAAAGAGAAAGCCTAACATTAGGCACAGGATCATGACTTATGTTGAGCAGGACTGGAAGCAAGTGTTTGGAAAACAGATCCAAGGGAAGCGACTCATCCTCCAACACAGCATAACACATCTGCACATAGCTGAAAGACAAACATGCATTACCTTTTAACTGTATATGTAAACAATCCAGTTATCACACTCAATTAAATTACTGATAAAATCTTGTGCATTCCAGGACAAATGCAAATCTTCGATGTAAGTATGCATAGATTTTGATGTAAATGACATAGAGAATGAGTGTAATGAAGATGCAAGTTGGATGTTGAATTTGGACCATAAATTTTTTGTTGGACTTTGTACTTACATTTGCCTGCAAACCCATTTGTTGCTCTTTGCAAATTTGGACACTAGTTCATTCAGCAAACCTTCTGTTAATTTTTCATCTTCATAAGCTAGCCTCTTTACCATAGCACTCATCTATTAAAACAAAACACAGTATATTTTCACTAAATATTTACCCTCTCACTGCACCGAGACGTGTCGAGAAAACAAAACACAGTACATTTACACTTAACATCTCCCCTCTCACTAGATACAATGTTTATACAGTATATTTCTGGCCAGCTTGATTCTACTCACCAGTTTGTAGGCCAATAATCTGACCTCTGACCCTTTGTCCTTATCTCCCCTCTCACTTGATACAATGTGTATACAGTATATTTCTGGTCAGCTTGATTCTACTTACCAGTTTGTAGGCCACTAATCTGACCTCCGACACCTTGTCCTCCATTAGAGACAGACAAATTGGCAGCAGGTGCTGGCTGATCTCCACAGAAGAAAACAACTCGGATGTCATGATCAGCTGTCTACAACACAGAAGGATCTATTAACAGTCTGTAGCAATCTCTTTACACAGGTAGGTAACTTATAACAAGTTCAGAGCCAACTTTAATAAAGAATCTCAACATTTAAAACATTTGTAACTAATTACTGAACACTATACATTTATTCCTCTAACTTACTCAGCCAATTCCAGTCTAAATCTCCAATTTCTGGTATTGTCCGTGTTCAGAAAACCTGATAATTTTGTCAGATACTGCCTTCTCACATCTGGTTTTAGGAGCTGGAAGCATAAACATTATGTTTACACCTTCAATTAAAACTTGTTAATGATGAAGATAGACTACCATCAAGACACATAAAAGAAATCAAGGAAATATCTAGAATCACATCACTTTTCTCATTGCCCACAGCTTTAGCTTCTATTTTGTTCTGATCGTCTAAAATTCAAAAAGTAATATATACCCTCAAGAAATCAGCCAAGTGTTTTAAAACACCAATTTTGACCTCATCTAAATCCTTCAGGAATCCGTCAAATACTGGAACAAGATCTCTATGAGTAATGTCATCTCCAAGAATGATAGCCATCTCATGTATAGAGAAAGCCAGGGTTCTCCTCACTTTCCACTGAAAACAAGATTATACGTACTTCTATAATCTGAGATCCATAGATCAAAAATTTTAACCGATTTTTACAAATAACTAACATAAAGAAGTGCGCGTCTCTTTATAAATTTTGATTTAGTAAAAAACATTTTTTACAATCTGAGACCTCAGCTTGTAGTGTTACTTAACCAGGTTACCTGCATATCTGAGGCCAGTTTATCGTATAATACTTTGATACAGTTCCAGTTCTTTCTGCCTAAGGTGTAAGCTACAGCTGGTAGATTGTAGGCACAGTGTTTGGTGATCTCCGTGTCGACCGTCTGGGCTCGGGAAGGATCCACCATCCCTAGGTAACTCTCCAACAGACTCTGTGGCACAATGTCCTAAAGAACAAGCATACAATCACATCTTTTGTACCAGGACTTGTTATACACTGCTTTGCCAAACCATAAAACACTCTACTTACTTTCTTATTAATTTTTTATTTCTCAATACAGAAACTACTTGAATGTAAAGTCCAGGGATAGACATTAACTTTCAGATTCACTTGCCCTTCGGGCAAGTGATCTCAAATTTTGACTTTTCCGAATGCAAAACTTGGTTGCCCAAAATTAGGAAAGAACTTAAGAAAATTATTAATCAATGTAAACGTTATGATAAGAAAAAAATGTGACCAAATACGAGTACACTACTGTCAATTTGGCAAGTTGAGCTACCTGAAAAAAATGTCGATGCATGGTGCATTTGTACATAAATGTATAACGCTGTACTTGAAAAGAAAATTTAACCTGTTAACTCACACTGGCATGCAACAATAATCCTCCGTTTCCTTTTAATAAAATTCATATTTTCAAAAATTATTTTCGGTAGGATCCTTTTGTGATTCGTGATTTTCAGATATAACTGTGAAGCAATGCTTAAGGAAGATGCTACGAAACATGCATCTTATCTTGATCAGGATACATCGTGTTACACTGTACTTATATTCTGTGCTTGAATAAATAATCTAATTTCCTAATAAGGAGTTAACAAAATTTTGTCAGAGGTAGAGCGTATTTTCTATGAAAGAAAATAACGAACCCGATTTTTAAAAGAGCGGTATAATCCAGAAACACTACCATGGAATTTCGAATGCAAAAACATTATCAGTCAGGTGCGTGGGGGAAATCAAGTCTTCAATTTATTGTTTTATTTATAAATTAATGTAAACTAAATAAATATGTACATTTGTATGAGAAAAATTCACTTGCCCGATTGGACAAGTACGTAGACAATTTCACTTGCTTTAACTGAGAATTTACTTGTCCCGGGCAATCGGACAACCGTTAATGTTGATCCCTGAAGTCATTATACTATTACAGTGTGATCAGGTATGTATAATGCTGACTTTCCTAGAAATTTGGAGATGGTAGTTGCGAGCGAGTTGAAAGTCAAGAAAATAAACAATTCTTATTCATTGTGAATAGCACGGTCCTGTTCAGTATTATACAACTTGAAAAATACTGTTTAAAAGATAATTCCAGAAAAAGTTTTGCTTGGTACTGTGGTTACACACTTTTTAGTTTCATGTGGAGACCTTTGCTTACTGCCCAGGCCTCAACATCCTCACAATGTCAAGGTTTTGTGATTTCGGAACTCCACACAACCCCTTGACATAAGTCATTATTTAAATGTTGGGCTTGTGGTTACACAACGTAATGGAAATTATAAACTACCCAATAAGAATTATTTTTCAAATCCGTCGTTATGAATACGAAATGATGATGGCCCTTTGGCATAACTGATTTTAAAAGGTATTTTAAAAAGTTGAAATGTGAACAAAGAATGTTTGTAAGAATGATATGTAGCAAATCAGGAAAGCTTTGACTTTGATTCTTCATTTAGCAAATCAGAAAAACTGTTAAGGAAATTTACCGCGCTTTTTCTTAATAATATAATAACCTTGTCTTAAATCATCAATATTCACATTGAATACTGAAGAGCATATCAAGGAGGACAATATTCAAAAAAGTAATCCGCGATGTTTTATTTAAAGTAACTAGTCACAAATCCTACACTATTGACACTTTTCATTTTTAAGACAAGTCATATTTGTTTACAAAACTTACCTACAATAAAAGCTTATTTCTGATTGGTTCCAGTCCTAGACCAGGAACAAACGAAATAGTAGCTTTCTAGCCCAACTTTTAAATAACGACTTATGTCAAGGGTTTGTGTGGACTTCCGAAATCACAAAACCTTGACATTGTGAGGATGAGGCCTTAAGTATTTTAATTTAATAATGCCCACATTAGAATTGCAAGTCATCACACCTGTTTCACAACTGAAATCAAGCCAGTCTCATCCTCTTATTAAACTAGCTCGATTTCCACTGGGCTTCATATCATTTGGACGTCATGACCAGGCAGGGAAAAAATACTACCATTAGCACCCCTTCACCATGTCCTCATGAACCAGTCAAATAGTGGTTATCCATGTGCAGTTATTTCCACAAAATCATTCCACAGTATCCAATTATATCCCCCCTTTTTAAGACAAATTTAGTTCCATTTCCTCACATTCATCTCATATTTATAAAGAACTTGTGTTGCACTTGTTTTTTTTCATTTTGGAAAAAAAATGAATCAGCAGATGTCACTAGTTTGTATGCAAATTTCATATAGAGATTTGCAACATTTACTTGCATTCTATAAACTTTTGTACAATAGTTGTTTACCTGCATCTGTGCCAAAGAAGCTTCATCCATTGTCTCTACAATATCCTGTGAACTATCACTGTCAATGTAACCCAGACTAGATCCACTGATATCTGTAAGAGGCAATAGAGACAGCTCAGAAAAACTGTCAATAAAGCCATAATCTGGAATAAATAGCCACCCAACTACATCAGATTCAATTCTTAAACATTATATGAGTTTAAACCAATATAAAAAACAATATCATTTAATCTGTAAAGCATATTTTATGCTATTTTCACAAAATTTTCTGTCTTTATTCAATTACGCACCATGTACCACACCCTCCATAACTTCATTCAGGTTCTGGCCGAGTACATGTGTACTTCCAATGTGGCTGACAGACTCTTCAGACACAGAACTAATGCTGGCGGTGTGGATTTGACTTTTGGACTCTCCATGATTAGAAGTACCGAGAGGAGAGTTCACAGAATCCGTCAATGATATACTACCCATATCACTGTTGATTGTATCACATTCATTCTCCGTGGCCGTACGGGAAGATACGTTTACTCTGTCCATATCTTGATTGTCATTTAAAACATCTAAATCTAAACTAACTTCTGGTAGTGGGTCACGCCAGAAATTAAAGGAATCATAGTTATTTACTGAGGAATCAGAATGTATATGCACTACGTCTTCCTGGCTTGATTTTTCACTCTCTGATTTGTTCTGGTCTATGGAATCACAGCTGGCTTTGGTATCCTCGTTACTTGGCTCGTCACTACATATACTTTCGGTGTTCTCCTCTCCTTGTCTAGGGGCACCTGTTTCCTCAGTATCACATTTATCACAGTTTTCTTTCTTGGATCCAGCTTCATCAGATTTAGAACCAGACTCGGCAAGTCTCTCATCCACTTTTTTTGCCTGGTATTCTTGAGCTCGTATTTCTTCCAAAGACAACTCGCCATCTGATGAGGGATTATTCTTTGTAGCACAGGTAGAAATGATTATTTCTGTTGTGTCGTCAGTTTCACTGAGGTCCATGTTCGTATCACAGACTTCACTTGATAGCGTTTCACTCTGGGGGTTATCTGGGCTCTGGTCCTCTGCCAACTCATCTGTTTCTTCTGTTAACCCACTTGCTTGGATTTGTTTACTCTCATGCTCCAATTTTTCTCCAAGTTCTCTCAGTTTTTCACTAAGAGTACAAATACACACAATTCACAAACTTTCAGATCATTTAACATTTATATGAACAATATTCAATAGATTTCATTGGGTCCAATGATAACCCAGAACTTACATGTTATGCAACTGTTCCGCTTGGACACTAAGAATGCCTTCTTCATTGACGTACAACCCAGTTAAGCCTGGATCAGCAAATGTCGATATGAATGGTCCCAACTGTTGAAAAGCTGCCATACGAACCTTGAATATAAAACCCATTCCATTAGATATTCTCCAGAAAATTAGAGTAGATACATGTTAGCTTCAAACATCAGTTCTCCTCCAGCCTTTAAAGAAATTTCTATGGCACTTAAAGGCAAAAAAGACCCACTTTTAGTATTTAACCATAGGTGAAAATCTGTTTCTACCTAAATCCATGATAAGTATGTTTAGAGTTCTTTTAAATGTTTCAATAACACTATAAACTTTTACCCATTTAAGTAGCTTTTACCATATACTCTGCTTACCCATCTAGAAAGATCACAGAGGAGATTGACAAACAGATTGGCTAATTCTCCTTTACGGACATCCTGGGAACAGGAGCATGATACCACCATAAAACACTCAGCACATGCCTTTCTAACACCCCACACTCCATCCTCACACAAGTAATAAAATTTAGGCAACTGTAAAAATCAATTAACAGAATTACTGAGCTTGAAAATACAAAGACTATCACCTGTTTATGGATTTGAAATTCGTTAAAATTTAAGAAGGATTACCAAATGCTGCTCTGTGTTGTCTTGACCAACAACTTTACACATATCACCAAAGTTTGCCGCACACACCTGCAAATATTTACATTCAGTATAACATCACTATGAAATCCATTGGAAATTTACATTTATCCCCCTTATGACACCCAAGATGTCACGGAATAGTAGAATACACATTTAAACAGTAACTATTCAAATAATGACCCTATGAAATTGTTGTAAAAACAAAACAAATGAGAATTTACAATTAATTTGTCATTTTTACCCCCTTGCAATATTTATTTGCGTCATTTAACTTTCAATGTCAAAACAGCTCGAGCTTCGATTAACCACATTAGTTTTGAAAGGCACTAAATTTATAACAAAGATGAATGAAATTAAACATTTATGAGAGAAAATTAGAGAATGTAAATTAAAGGCATTGAATTCTTATTTTCGGATGTCATCGTTCTATACCATCACCTGCCTGTGCCAACAAATTATAAACTGAGCCAACATGTCGTAAATGTGTCAACTTTAATAAACTGCCGTTAGGGTTTTGGAACTTGATTCTCTATTATATGAAATAAAACAATTAACAGAAATGTTTTTGTCGATGGTTTTTATACTCTCCTTACCTTCCTCACATGAAAGAGTGGGTCTGTACACATTTCGCAGAAACGTAGTAAGAACAAACGTTCAGTCATGTCTTTTCCAAGGAGTGGGGCCATTTTGCTCATAAGCTAAAACAAATTAAAAGGAAATGGTGATATACATGAATTTTACACACTCGCAACAGGGAGATAAAAAGTTGACAGTCCCCCCTCCCCCTCAAAACACAAACATTTTGAATGGAAGATAAAAATAAAATATTATTAGACAGTCTAACTAGCTGTGACGATTACTTGCCTGTCATCAAAGCTGGCTGTGATATGACGAGCATCAGCACATCCCAGCCACTTTAATGCTAGCCATGCAATCAGTAGTCATTTAATCTTTATGTTGCATGCAAGTATTTTTATTCTCTTCCATATTAAACATGCAAAGAACAGCAGAAAAAAATCATGCAACATGTAATCAACATCTCTTAATAGGATTATCAAATCTGTTCATGCAAAACAACCAAGTTAGTTTAATCTTCTTGCCTCTAGTCCTGGTGATTATGACAAAAGTCAAGCTCATCAAAGCTGGCTGTGATATGACATGGACAACACATCACCACCACTTTGACAACTTCAATTTGTCAGTTCCTCCACATATCTTCATTTAGTTCACCTCCCCGTAGAATCCAGCTCTTTCAGCAACACAAGCTCATCAAAGCTAGCTGTGATATGAACATTCTCAACACATCACAGCAACTTTGACAAGTTGCACAACTGCTTCTTAAAGATATGGTTCCATCAAATACAGCAGTTGACTGTGTTTAGATCTGCAGGTAAACAACACTTAAAGCTCATCAAAGCTGGCTGTGATTTGAAGATTGAACAATTCACAGCCACTTTGTGAGCTCCTTGTCTTGTCTTTTAGTCATCATTTCCTTCTGGTATCAAGAAAACAAACTTGAAATCAACAGTATCAAATGTAAACTGGACAAAATTATAAAGGCAGTCATTCACTTCCTCGAGTAAATTCCTTCCTTGATTTAAACAAGATAAAAAAAGGTATTTAAATACTCTTCCTTTCCTTTATGAGAATTAGCATTCATTACAAGAAGAGTGGCAACTAGGTAAAGAGGAATGAAAAACTAAAAATACTGGAGATTTAACTAGGCTTTCATCAACTTAAAGAGTTCCTGATTCATAGTTTTAGAACTACTGTCCAAGTATTCTCATGAGTCCAGAACACAATTGAAGGGCAAATCCCCTCACACCCTCCTTCTCCTTTAATCTTAAAACCATCTTACTAAATGTGGGTTGCCCGCATGGCGCAGTGGTAGAGTGTCTGCTCTAGAGTCGCAGAGTAAGGAGTTAATCCTTACGTCGCGGGTTTGAATCCCACTGTGGGACGTGGAGAACGGTCTTTCAGACGAGACCATATAAACCGAGGTCCCGTGTGGCAGTAAGTGCTGGCAAAAAAAAGATCCCTCACTGCTCAATGTCCCTGAGTGTCGAGTATAGGTCAAAATTTGCAGCTCTCCATCGGAAAGTGGTGGCGTCTCCATATGGGTAAAAAATTCTTGAGATGGACATTACACACAAACAAAATAGGAAATGTGGAAAATGGGATTGACGATACAGCTATTTAAATTTTTCAAACGAAATCAACCCAACAAGTAGTACGAAATCCTTATTTACTTTCAGAACTCTAAGCACTGCCACTTGACAAGTTATAATTATCAACATCAATTACACTTAAATAAAAAAGGATAACAAAACAAAACATCAAAATATCTTCAAAATACATCCCTGTGACACCTTTGGGGAGAGGGGAATTAAATCTGAAGACAAGACTAAAAACCTGACATTTTCTTTCAGAATGTCCTACATTCTATCAGTGGTGTGTGGAAATCAATTTTCAGTTTTATGATACACATCCATCCTAATGAAACCATTTCTTCTAAAAAGAGGAAATGCTGACACAATTTAAGAACATATTTATTAAATTACCTCATGTAAATACTTGCCTCTTTTAATATATCAAAATAGTGTCTTGAGTGAAAATGAAGCTCATCAAAGCTGGCTGTGATATGAACAATCTCAACATTTCACAGTCACTTTAATGCCTTCATATTTCACAACTTTCTCTACCATCAATAGAAATGGTGCTTCACAAGACCACTTCCGCCACACAACCTTTGTCCTGATTTAACCTTTCGTTGATTTTTTTGATTACTCTACTGATCCAAGCAGGCTGTGATATACTACTTTATACATCACAACCACCTAGTCAGTACAGGACATCAAAACATCTCCGCCACTCCCTGGACAGGTCTAATCCTCCACCAAGCTGCGTGCATCTGACGGGGCTCATCAATGCTGGCTGTGATAATACAATAACACTACAACATCCTACATTGACTGCCTTATCATCTGCTTCTCCTAGACATATAATTCTAAAACCAATGCCATGCTATAACTACTACATCACCTGAAGACGTGTCTCTGACCTCCTGCAAAAGACAGAGTAGTAAGACGAACGTCTTCACATCTCACTACCCATGTCTTTCACAATCAGCCAAGCAATTCATCTTTCCCGCAGAAAGCCTTAATAACAACAAGCCAAGCATTTCATGTTTACTATCAAATTCAATGAAGTTATAGATTTTTACTACTGTCAATGATTTTTGAAAATCTGTCTTGTGAGAAACTAGATACATACAGCAACAGCTTCTGTTCTGTAATCGTCTAAACTGTCAGGACTGGCCAAGTCCAGAATAACGCCCACTACTTGTTGTTCTATGTCCTCTGAAAAATAGGTTCACAAAATTATTCATCAGTTCTTAATCCAATGAATTAAACACTTCAAGAAGTATGCACTAAGTAGGGGGTGTAACTATATTCAGGGATACACAAGGACTGTTCCGTATTCAGTACAAAAACTGTACACCTTTGTATCATAAAATATTTCAAGTAATTTTCATTTTTTTCACATTTAACCTAATTGATTTTATTTGTTTACTTTAGCTGTCTTTTTTTTGTGTTCAGAGCTTATTTAATGTTACAAAATTATTTATAAACTGATAATATAATCTTATCCTTTGAATTTCTCATTTTAGAACAGACATACAAATTAAATTAAAAATATGGAAGGTGAAATGTTGCAATACATAATACAGCCCTAGTGTATCATGATATATTACAATATGCTCTAGCCGTATTGTTACATCCCTAGTGATAAGGTGAGGAAACTACATTTTTACCTTTACATATAAGTTCTTGTTCCATTAAGACTAGTAAAGCTGCCTGGCTTGTTTTTCGAACCTTGAAAAGAATAACACACATATAATTAAAATACAAAGGAAGTACCTTAAATTGAATTCTGAATGCATTTTAAATTTTAAATCATTAAATACTAATCATTACCTGATTATTTTGGTCATTAAGGTATCTCACAACCATAGGTAAAAGATAAGATGAAATAGACCTATCATAGATATCCGAATTGTCTTGACAATAAACAGCTAAATGGGGCACTTGCTCCATTAACTCGGACCGAACAATAGGATCTGCAATGTACAACACATAACAACTAATAAAATTCTCTCTCAAGATTTTTTTTCCTTTTAAATTTCAAAAACTCAGCAACAATACTTCAGAGCCTTAATTAGAAGTCTTCTTTACCAGAGTCTTGTGACAGTTTAACCATGGCATTAAACACTGGCAACACGTCATCCTCTGTTTCTTCCACTGCCCGCAGTGTGTCCAGAAGCCCACGTGCAACCATTTGTCTAAAATATACAAATATCAATCATTTGTCTACAATATACAAACAAAATATTTAGCCAAATACAGCAGTAAATCTGTAATTAACCATTTTCCAATCTGCATGTTCTCAGACATAGACCATTACCTTGTGTACACATTCTCACTCTGCATGTACTTTTCAAGCTTTTGAAGTGGAGTAAGTTTATAATCTGCATTGTACACATCATCACCTTCCAAAGAATCATCAAGACCATATCCTAAATAAAAATACCATCATCATATTCAAGGAAATCTTAGCAATACATATAAAGAACTACAAGTAATATCTTTGTTCCAATTATAAAGAGCTGAACAAAAAACAATATACTTTAGACAGAATTACACACATCATATAAAAACATCTTTTCTCATATAATTTAACAGTGCAATGGCATAATAAAGAATAAAACGTTTATATGGAGAAAATGATGAAACGTTGATGACAAACAAATCCCATGTGCGCGCATCGATTTTTACGAATAATTCACACACAAAGCCTTTGTTCGTCACGTTGACTCACAGAGGTAAACAAATAATAGTACAGACTTATTTATTACGGAGAATTCTCTAAATTTCAACACAAACGACAATTCAGTATGCACAAATTGATAAAAAATAATTTGGCGCGCTTGCCACAGAAAGCAATGTGTCAAGGAAGCCCCCAAAACAAAGGGAAAAGCTTGACCTACTTACCATTTATGCTAATGATACAAATTCGTTACTCATTCATGACTAACCATAACAAGTAGAAAATCGATAATTTTTGAATTGGTCACACTAAAACAAATTGGTGGTTCGGAAATGTTCTGAAGCTGCAATGGCGGTTCCACGACATCCATTCAAACCCCCAATGCGCGGGAATAATTACAGTTCAATAGGTCAGCAAAGTCCAGGTCATGTGACCTAACCATCATGGCATCAAATTCTCGGGAAAATTCGGCGTCTTGTTTGAATTTCAATCCACATACACGTGTTACTTTAAAAACGTAAACAAATATCACCTAAACTTGATCAACAATACTTAAGACAACAAAATACGCAATGGAAACAAAACAAACATTCTGTATTTTATTCATAAATTACGAATAACGGCGCGAAAGAATACAAATCACAGACTTCGGGACGTTTTCTTCTCCGCAGCACTAAATAATCACAAATGCAATAATTAGGAGCTTAATCGGTTAGACTTACCGTCATCGGGACCATCATTACCTGGGTCCGAGTAAAATTCGATATCTGAAATGAAAAGATATTGTAGCTAAGTATACACACATGGCATTCTTCGGAAGCAAATAATTATAATGTGAGGTGGACTCACCCGCCATATTGGTAAAATCCACGCACTGATTGTTACGGGAAAAGTGATTGGTTGATCCTAACCTAGTGCCCGTGTTTTATTGGCTCGTTTTCTTTTGTTATGCGAATGGCTACGATCTTTCACGAGTAACATGACGGAACGGTGCGAGAGGCCAAAATGTCGGATCTAAGTCATTGAAAATCATTATACACAACCCATCGCTATGGATTGCGATCAACCCAATGTTGTCAGCTTTGTGCATTTTGTCGTGCATAATCAACGTCGCACTTTTCTTTAACACTTTGATATCAATTCAATAAAAAGAACAAAAGACAAAGTTCTTTGTAAATGCTTGGGTGTGATGGGGCAATGGGTGCAACTATTAGGAGCGTCCGCTACAAAAAATAGGACCACGTGCTTTTGTTATGCAACCTGATATGGAGATTGTTAAAAAAGAAATAGGGACTTTTGTTATACTTTAACGACTCGCCATCTCTGTGAAAACATTCTTGTGATATTTTTGTTTGTAAAATATTTCATCCAGTTTAGGTTATGTGGGCGGCTCTAACTTTCAGCTGGGCGGAAACAAATACTGTACCCTGTGGTTCTCGGTTTTGTGGGACGGATCCAGTGTTTTCTATTGGCGGTTGCGAATGGTATAATTATAGGCCTAAATAGAAATCATGGTGCGATAAGAATGTGCGTGTATATTCCCTGTCATTAATAAGCTTAATGTTTGTTGAACAGTTGAAGTGCTTTTGATTATTCATGGCATTATTTACAAAGATTCCCACCAAAAGAAAGGGATAATTATTGTAAAAGTGCATCAAATTACACTGGAAAATGATTATTAAAAAAAAAAAAAAAAAAAAAAAAAAAAAAAAAAAACGCACAAAAACCGTTGGAAGAATGGAGTGAATTGGATGCGATCGATTGAAAACATAATGTTTAAAACATAATTTCCATTATTCATGTGTGTGATATGTGAAGAGATATAACTTCAAGAATACACCAGAACCAACTAAAAATGGTGCCCATTCATTAAAAAAAAAAAAAATTCTGGCTCCGAGAAGGGGTTACCCCTCCAAGACCCCCCACCACCGCACCCCATTACTTAGTTACCAAAAACCTGGCAATGACCGCCCTTTATTCTTACAAGGTCCCAAGAAAGAAGACAAGGAAAGGGACTATAAACTTGATTTGAAAAAAAACTTAAATAAAATGTTTGTAATAATTTTTTTCTTAACAAGATTTTACAGCAACAATATGTAAAATATTTACAAACGGAATGATACATTTGGCAATTCATATTTATAAATGAACACAAAAGTTGGAAAAGAAGCTAGGGACCATTTGATGTTGGATGAGACGGATCGGGAATCTTTATACCCCCACCCCTCCCCATCCCCTCAAGTTGATGGCTTAGTAGCCGGCGGAAGGGAAGGTTCCGGTAGCTGTATAACATATTTTGTGAATATTTACAAGATGCATTTTGAAAAACCTGGAATTTATGTAATTCATTTCTTTTCGATCACATTTCATTTGCCCATCCAAAGCCGGAAATGGATTGCACATTTCTATCTGTCTATAGTAACTGTTAAGAAATTTAATATTAAATAGATTACTACTCGCATTAACTGAACTTGAACTCTGTACAAGCGAATAAATAATGAAAGGGGGGGGGTCAATGCACGTCTTGACGCGGTCAACTAACAAGATATTTAAGGATAAACCAAAACTTCAAACGATAGGTGAAAATGTTCTATTTTCAACTTATTTGTGAAACACGATTAATTATCTGTACCAAATCTTTCAGAAATGTAATATTTATGTATATTATGTAACAATGTGTCCAAAAAGAAGGAGAAGCAGAAGGAATTGGGAAAATTGCATTTTCTCAGTGGAGTTTACCTTATAATTGGTCTTGGCATTGACCGCATAAGTTGCTTAAACGAACCTATGTTGGATAGGACGGATTAAATCAATATGACAATATAAAGGTCAAGGTCCTGGACTACAATATAGCGCAATATAACTTTGAAATCCTAAAGTAGAATGGATGTTTAATTTTTATTTTGAGTATGCAGGCCTATAGTGGGGGGGGGGGGGGGAGGCATCCCCCAACTTTTTCTGAGAATGATATTGATAGTTTTACTAATCTGTTGAACACTGACATGCAAATTCAGGCATTTTTGGGGGGATGTACCGAAAAGCTAGAGAAACAAACGACCTAAGGACCTTAACGATCACCTAGATACCCAGGATCAGAGAAGATCTTCAAATTATGTATTTTTACTATATGATTAATAAGAGCCTCACCCTAATTCCAGAACCCCTGACCCTGGAGCCATGAATTTCACAATTTTGGAAGGGGCACCCTTTGTCATTATAATCACAAACTTAAATTGTCTGCTTTATGCCCAAGAGCAGAGGAGATTTTCAAAGAAATAATGTATTTTCACTATATGATCAACCAAACACCAACACCCCTGACCCAAGGGCTATTAATTTCACAATTTTGATCGAAGAGGCACCCTTGATCATCTTAAGCATGCATTTAGTTTGCCTGCTATATAAACAGGGATAGAAAAGAAGCTTTTAGAAGAATTCATGCATGTTCACTTTATGATCAATATATAGAGCCCTGCCCTGATTCCAAAACCCTCTGACCCTGGGGACAAAAATTTAAAAATTTTGGTAGAGGGCACAATGCTTATTACAATCATGTCAACAGTTTGACTGCTTGATATCCAGAAGTAATAAAATTTGCAATAATTTTGATGGTTTTAACCCCATCCTTTAGACCTCAGAGGAGTAGGAACCAAGAATTTCATAATTTTCGTTCCCCTTTCCCCATTGATGCTATATGCTAAAATTGGTTGAAATTGGTTTATAGCGGTTCAAGAGAAAAAGCTGAAAATGTTCAAAAGTTTTCGATTGTTTACTATAGCATTAGATGACCTGATTGACTCAGGTGTCCTAAAAAAACCCCATCCCGTACAAAATATGATTTCTATCCTTTTTTAGGTCAACTGAGTCACTCAGGTACGTAACCTATTGCTATCTGTTTTTGTCGTTCGTTAAGCCATTAACATTTGAATATTTTCAACTTCTCTGAAACCACTGAACAAATTTCAACCAATTTTGGCATATAGCATTTATGGGTGGAGGGGGGGGGGCAAAAATTGCCGGTAAATTTAATGGTCCCACCCCCTCTGGGTCCTGGGGGGTTGGGGGGTTGGGCTAAAACCATTAAATTAATGCAATTTTTAAAAATCTTCTTCTTTACTTCTGGACCTCAAGCAGTCAAACTGTTGGCATGCTGTAATAAGCAGTGAACCCACTAACTGACCCCAGGGCCAGGGGTTCTGGTGCTAGGGCGGAGTTATATAAATCGTAAAAGTGCATTATTTCTTTTAAAATCTTCCTCTCTGCTCCTGAGTACTAAAAAAACTAAGTGCATAGTTATGATGAGCAAGAGTGCCTTCAGATATTGTGAATTTCATAGCCCCTGGATTAGGGGTTCCGGTGTTAGGGCGGGACTCTATTGATTATATAGTGAAAATGCATCAATTCTTTGAAAATCCTCTTCTCTACTCCTGGATATTATTTAAAAAAATAAGTGCATGGCTATGATAAGCAAGAGTGCCTCTTTAGAATTTGTGAGGTTCATGGCCCCTGGGTGAGGGGATCTGGTGTTAGGGCGGGGCTCTTTTGATTATATAGTGAAAATGCATTAAAATGTTGAAAATCTTCTTCTCTGCTCCTCGGTATTAAATAAACCAACTAAGTATATAGTTATTATGATCAACGGTGCCTTTTTAGATATTGTGAATTTCATGGCCCCTGGGCCGGGGTTCTGTTGGAAGGGGGGGGGGGGCTCTATTGATTATATAGTGAAAATGCATTAATTCTTTAAAATCTTCTTTGCTCCTAGTTATTATTTAAATAAGTGAAGTGCATGGCTATGATAAGCAAGGATCATCTTCCAAAATAGTGAAACTGATGGTCCCAGGGTCGGGGGTTCTGGTGAAAAGGGGGGGGGGTCTATTGATTATATAGTGAAAATGCATAATTTCTTTGAAAATATTCTTTTCTGCTCCTAGTTATAAATCAAAGAAATTAAGTGTGTAGTTATGATGAGCAAGGATGATTCTTGAATTGTGAGTTTCATGGCCCCTTGGTCAGATCTTCTGGAAGGGTGGGGCTTTATTAATAATATAGTGAAAATTAGTCAAATGTTCTGGTGTAAGGGTGGGGCTTTATTAATTATATTGAAAATGCATAAATTCTATTAAATAATCCTGCCTGCTCCTGGGTATTGAATAGATAAACAAAGTGCATAGTTATGATGAGCAAGGGTGCCCCTTACAAAATTTTTAAAACTTGTGGTCCCAGGGTCAGGGGTTCTGTTGTTTCTTGGTCGGGGTAGGGGGTCTATTGATAATAATGTGAAACTATGTGAATTCTTTGAAAATCTATAATTGATAGTTATGATGATGAGGTACCTCTTCCATATTTGTAATTTCATGACCCTGAGTCATGGGTTCTGGTGTTAGGACAGGGCTGTGTTCAATCTGTAGTGAAAATGCATTATTTGTTTGAAAATCTATTCTGCTCCTGGGCATATTGAAGGCAAACAAAGTAAAAATTTTTAATAAGCAAGGGTATTTTTACAAGAATTTTGAACACCTGGACCATTTGGTCAAGTGTTCTGGGCCAGGGCTCTATTAATTTGTATTCTACTGAGTGAAGTTATCCCCCTTTGCCATTCACCTTTGATAATTAAGGACCCTCTATGCACCAGTGCAAAATGTTTTTTGGACATTGGGAAAATTACATTGTATATAGGTGTAAATTTTAAGCTTATCTATATAATTTGAAACATGGCATTTACCCCCAGGAAAAATGTTCAAAGACAACAAAGTATCAATGAACAGAAATCACCGTTGTTCATTTCAGTCAATAAAATATATGCAAAAGAAGTTTTAATTAATTTACCTTGACCTTTTAAAATGCTAAGAATGCTTGAATTGATTACAAATTGAGAAAAACACTGTAGATTTCATTTTATTTGAATTTAGATCTAAGAGCAGATCACTCTAACTGTAGAAAAATACCACAGAATCAGAACTCTTTAGTGTGTAGTGTAGAGGGGGTTCTTAATCACTGTAAATAATGTATTTGAAAGGTTAATGGAATAAGAGAATTATGCAATAATTTTTATTGTATAATACAAAAGTTACTTTCATAGTTTTAATGATCAGGTAGACTTGTAAATAACAGATAAATAAAAATGAAACAAAAATAACTTATCTTTTTAAATGTTCTGGAGAGGCCAATAGTAATAGTATGGGGTTAAAAAATAAATGTTTTATGAATAGTCTGCATGGTGATAGTGATATATGGGGGGCAGATAGATACTAGACTAATTATTTCATCCAATTTCTCTTGCTTTTGGGCAACAAAGTTTCACATATCAGTTTATTTCATACTCTGGATCCTTTAAATTGTTGTATTGTACTCAGGTGACTGTTAAGGCCATTGAACCTTTTGTTTTTTTTTTTTTTTTTTGCTTGTCAAATTTTTTTGGAGGTTGAAAAACAAAGTCAATTAATGATGTGGCAGTCAAACAGTTTCCATTAGATGAGAATATATTCAGTTTCTGGTACTGTAAAATACTAATATATCCACAGTTAAAAAAAATCAAGATTCACAAAGATTGAATAAACATTTTTGATTGTAAGCCATTTTTGCCTTGTAATGGATCTTCAATTATTGACGTCATGTTTATGAACATTACAATTTTTGACATTGTATTATTACATTACTAATGTCATGTTTAGGAACATTATCAGGCAATTTGTCATTCATTTCTCAATTTGTCATTTCTTACAGTTAATGTGAATCTTGATTTTTTCCCCCATTATATATATATATAGAGAGAGAGAGAGAGAGAGAGAGAGAGAGAGAGAGAGCAAAACAACATAACAACAAATCACTTCAAGTATTTGTATTTTAATTAAGATTATTGGAAAAAAAACTGATTATGTCTAATATAAAACAAGATGTAACACTTTATGCATGGTTTGAATAATAATTCAACTGTGTACCAAAGACAACAATTTTATAATTATGAAAGCCCTCAAAATACCAGGTATAAATTATACACCTGTCGCAGCAGAATTAAAAAAGGTATCTGCTCAAAGATACTAGACCTTTAATGATGTAGCAAAAAAATGATGCAGCATTGTGCCGAGTTACATTTGTTAGGATCTGTTTCTGAATCTAAGAGGGCTCTATGGATTAACATGGAAAAAAAGACAAAAAATTAATCAAATATGCAAGATAAAGGTCCTGCACTAGAACAAAATCTTTACATGAGAGAGAGAGACCATTTTAAGTTCAGACCTCATCAAATACTTTACCTTAATTAATGCAAGTACAATCAAACAGTAAGCACAGCCTAAAGAGAGAGAACTGCAGCAGGTAAATCATACAGGGGACTTGAAGTAAGAGTTGTCTCTCTTGATACAATTCGTACAACAGTTTTGTTCTGAATATTGTCAACACCAAAGCTTAATTTAATAAATTTAATGTTGAAATAAAACATATAAATGTTTTTCTTGCACATGAAAAAATATTTTAATTTAAGAGGAGACCACACTTTGAATATGTTGTTGGCACTGAATCAAACAAAAAATAGAGAAAAGAGTGGTGCATTTCTGTGATTTAAGGTCAGAAGATAAGTTCCTTAAAAATATATGATTTTTCCTAAGAATTTGAATCCTATATAATTTCACTGGAAATCACTTGAATTGCTGATATCACCCTTTTTAGTTTATATATCTTTTTCAGACACTTTGAAAAAAGTTCAGAAATCAGAAGAAAACAATGATTATAAGTATTTTTGGTATTTAACAAAGAGATGTCCTCCAGAATTTCTTGTATGAACAGTTAAGAGGTCTCACAATAATATAAAACTACAATAATGTAACTTAATAAGAAATATCACAGCTTGAATGTAAATAAAAAAATATTCACAAGGCTCTCTCTAGCTTAACTTACTCAAAGATAAAGATAATACCTTTAAAGCATAATGGACATGAAAAAAAAATCCAAAAAAAATTGAAATATGTGACTGTTTTGTACAAGCCTTTTAAGAAATCTCATTCAGTGTCATACAAGACAACTAAATACAAGCCAAAAAGATAACTAGATCAGTTTGTTAACTAATTGTGCTGCAATGAATTTTTCAAATAATCACAATATTCACTGAATTAACAACCAAGGTTTGATTTATATATTCTAACTATGGCAGTTTGGAAAAACATCCCAATTATCAATCTTTCTTTTGAGTTTACACTGCATCAACCATTTACTTAGTATTATATACTGTAATCACTCTCCATTAGATGACTAAAGAGATACAGGTTTGTAAATCAATCATAACTAGAGAGACAGGTGTTACAGATAATGTATTACATGTACAGGTTATGTAATCTGCTGTTACAGGTAATGTATTACATGTACAGGTTATGTAATCTGCTGTTACAGGTAATGTATTACATGTACAGGTTATGTAATCTGCTGTTACAGGTAATGTATTACATGTACATGTAATGTAATCTGCTGTTACAGCTAATGTATTACATGTACAGGTAATGTAATCTGCTGTTACAGCTAATGTATTATATGTAATGTAATCTGCTGTTACAGCTAATGTATTACATGTACAGGTAATGTAATCTGCTGTTACAGGTAATGTATTACATGTACAGCTAATGTAATCTGCTGTTACAGGTAATGTATTACATGTACAGCTAATATAATCTGCTGTTACAGGTAATGTATTACATGTACAGGTAATGTAATCTGCTGTTACAGGTAATGTATTACATGTACAGCTAATATAATCTGCTGTTACAGGTAATGTATTACATGTACAGGTAACATAATCTGCTGTTACAGGTAATGTAACAAACAGGTGTACAATAACTTCAGTTGCTGATCACAAGTGTGTAATTAGTACTCAAAAAACGGTTATCTTAGGTTAATAAGCTGCAATATAAATAAAGCAAATTGAAGTTTACAGTAAATAAGCTAACATCTATTTTATATCATTGTACTGAAACAATAATCTAACTACTGTGACAATAGTTTTGTACACTTCACTGTGTAAAAGTATTGAAAGTCTAGGAGAATCAGAGATAAGGCTTCAATATTAATTAATTCCATAAATAATTCAATTCTTAGATTAAAATCACATCTTCATTTAAAAATAAGCATTTCTTCCATTGTTGCTGTATCACTCTCACACAGTGAAACCCTAGCATGCATTTGATTGGTTGTTGGGATCTGTGCAGTATTTGATTGGTTGTCATGATCCGCAAAGAAAAATGTAAACAAATTGAAAAAATTCAGTTCTACAAAGGGAGAAAAAAAATTTTGATAATATGTGCACTTTTGTTGCCAGCTTATCTCTAATTCTTGTTCCTGAACTTTTTGAGACACTCAGGAAGTCTTTGGTATTACCGTAAGATGGATCCTTTTGAAGATACAAATCCAGGAATATTTTCGAATGTCTGCAAGATATCTGAGAAAATTAGAATAACTAGTAAATTTGAGATGTTTTCTTTGGCAAAAAGTAATCTACTTAATTCGGTGTTCACTGTTCATGATGCAGATGCAGGGATATACGTCTCCCAGTTTACAATTTGAGTGTAATTTAAGAAACATGATTTTATTTTTAATTTTCCTTTTACTGCTTGTATTAATTGTATTCATGGAGAGAGAGAGAAAATTAAAAAAAACCTTTCAAACAAATTCTTTTACGTATCAATTACATATGTGCTTCTTGGGAAAAAATGCTTCTTAAGGTAAAAGAATTTCTTTAATGCACACAATAAATTCACTTCAGAAAAATAACAAAATCAACGTCTTACAGAGAAACTTAACATCAATATCCCGGAAATCTGATGACAGCTACAATCAAAACCCCCCACCTCATTTCCACCCCCAACACACCAACAACAACAAAAAAAAATCAGCTCACATCATAAGTTAAAAAATTGTTAAGGAAAAAAACCATACAGAAAACTTTTTATTTACTAATAGTTAAAAATAATGTCTTCTACTTGGTGTACTTTTCATAACACAAAATAAAACAAATTTGATTCTCTTTAAAAGTGTGAGGTGATAAAATAGTTGGGGTTCAATACTGCATCAGGCCTGACCCCGGGGGAAGCCTTGGCTATGAGATGTGATCGGAGCCTTCTTTACTGTCACCTGCTTGTCCTCCTGTCTGGCCGTTGGCGGCCAGTTTAGTCTTTTCAGTCAGGTCACTATTCACTGACACGTCAGTGACCTGGGTTGTGCTAGAGGTCTGTGTGGATTTGCTGTTCTCTTCTGTAACGTTTTCCTGAATTCTCTCATCAATTTTTGTTCGGCATATAGGACACAGTTCAATCTGGAGGGTACACTGATAGCAGAAGCCCCTATAAAATGAAGCAGTTCAACGATCAGCATCACGTAAATTATAGTAACTGAATAATTCATTTGACAGTGGTTAACTTAAATGTATAGCAAAAATAAATGTTGAAAATTTTAGAACTACCCTGGTATTAACTGGATCCAATCTCATGATTTATATACATCAGCCTATACATACAATTCACATTCTCTGAAAATTCTTACAATGCTTATCACTGTACTAATTCTGTTTAATCCTTCATACTCAGTAAACAGAAATTCTTTGTATTGGAAAAAAAATTCCTGTTAGAATTAAAACAAGAGGCCCATGGGCCACAGCGCTCACCTGAGTAACTTTGGCCTTGCTGTTTTTCACCCGATTTCTCCCCCCCCCCCCCCCCCCCCGTAGTACTTATTGTGGCCCCGCCCTATCCCCAGAGGTCATAATTTGAACAATTGGAATCTACACTACCCCAGAGTGCTTCCAAGTAAGTTTCAGCTTATCTGGCCCAGTGGTTCTTGAGAAGAAGATTTTTCCTATATATTTCAATGTAAAACTTGGATTCCCTATTGTGGCCCCGCCCTACCCCCGGGGGTCATGATTTGAACAATTTAGAATCTACATAACCCCAGCATGCTTCCAAGTAAGTTTCAGCTTTTCTGGCCCAGTAGTTCTTGAGAAGAAGATTTTAAAAGATTTTTCCTATATATTTCAATGTAAAACTTGGATTCCCTATTAAGGCCCCGCCCTACCCCCAGGGGTCATGATTTGAACAATTTAGAATCTACACTACCCCAGCATGCTTCCACATAAGTTTCAGCTTTTCAGGTCCAGTGGTTCTTGAGAAGAAGATTTTAAAAGATTTTTCCTATATATTTCAATGTAAAACTTGGATTTTCTATTGTGGCCCCGCCCTACCCCCGGGGGTCATGATTTGAACAATTTAGAATCTACACTACCCCAGCATGCTTCCACATAAGTTTCAGCTTTTCAGGTCCAGTGGTTCTTGAGAAGAAGATTTTTAAAGATTTTTCCTATATATTTCAATGTAAAACTTGGATTCCCTATTAAGGCCCCGCCCTACCCCCGGGGGTCATGATTTGAACAATTTAGAATCTACACTACCCCAGCATGCTTCCACATAAGTTTCAGCTTTTCAGGTCCAGTGGTTCTTGAGAAGAAGATTTTAAAAGATTTTTCCTATAGATTTCAATGTAAAACTTGGATTCCCTAATATAGCCCCGCCCTACCCCCGGGGGTCATGATTTGAACAATTTAGAATCTACACTACCCCAGCATGCTTCCACATAAGTTTCAGCTTTTCAGGTCCAGTGGTTCTTGAGAAGAAGATTTTAAAAGATTTTTCCTATATATTTCAATGTAAAACTTGGATTCCCTAATATAGCCCCGCCCTACCCCCGGGGGTCATGATTTGAACAATTTAGAATCTACACTACCCCAGCATGCTTCCACATAAGTTTCAGCTTTTCAGGCCCAGTTGTTCTTGAGGAGAAGATTTTTAAAGATTTTTCCTATATATTTCAATGTAAAACTTGGATTCCCTATTATGGCCCCGCCCTACCCCCGGGAGTCATGATTTGAACAATTTAGAATCTACACTACCCCAGGATGCTTCCACATAAGTTTCAGCTTTACTGGCCCTGTGGTTCTTGAGAAGAAGATTTTTTAATGACCCCACCCTATTTTTGTCTTCTCTTGATTATCTCCCCTTGTGAGGGGACTTGGCCCTTCATTTTAACAATTTAAATTCCCCTTTACCCAAGGATGCTTTGTACCAAGTTTGGTCAAAATTGGCCCAGTGGTTCTTGAGAAGAAGTCAAAAATGTGAAAAGTTTACAGACGGACGGACAGACGGACAGACGGACGGACGGACGACGGACAAAATGTGATCAGAAAAGCTCACTTGAGCCTTCGGCTCAGGTGAGCTAATAAGAACTGATTGTTTTATGTTTACCTGTGATTACATGGAGACAGATAGTAATTAGCCAGCTGATCAAAACAAAGCGTGCAGGCCCCTTCTTTGACATTTAAATTCTTCAGCAGTTCTAATTTCATATGTCTGCAAAATTAGGATTTTTTTAGAATATCAATTGCTGTAATGTTAATTAACAGCCCAGATGAAAATGACTGTACAGTAACATGGCATTATGACCTTAATCCAACTCAATGCAAAACTGTATTATCAACTATCAACACAAACTGCATTATTGATATATAATCATGTTCCTTGGTTATTTGACTTATTTTAAATTTTAGTAATCAGGAACTACAATAATCGAATAATGTAGGCAATAAAAATTTGCAATAAAAAGGTTTAAGCTTACAAATTAATAAAGAATTATGATTTTGTACGGCTAGTGAAGAGTCAGTGCTGTATGATACCCTAGAAACATGACTTGTAATGTTAACAAAGAGCCCATGATGAATGCTGTATGCTACAATGGTAGCTAAATATGTTATTATAACAGAGAATCTATTTGTATTGCTGTAAGTTTCCTTAGCAACATGACTTGTAATGTTATGAAAAACCTATGATGTAATATAAAAATATTATTTTTTTATATAGGGTAACATGATAAGTTGTTATCAGCAAAAACCATTGCTGACCGACGTGAAGCGTGACTTGTAATGTTAGTGAAGAAGCCCTGCTGTAATACTTAATGTTAACTTGGGAGTGTGACTTGTAATGTTAATGATGTAGCTATGCTGTAATTCTTAATGTTACCTTGGGAGTATGACTTTTTCCTCCTCAGACAAATGCCCATAATCATTAAAGCTTTTAAATGCGATGTCCTTAGGGGGATATCTGTAAGGTTTGGCCCCAAAATTAAAATAGCACTGTTGGTAGGACATAAAACTAGCAGCAGCAAAGAAACCCTCTCTGAAAGAATAAGGCTTCATTAAAATCAGGAAAAAATTAACAAATTATGAATCATATTATAGGTGCAATAGAACTCTTTGCAGTTCAGTTGAAAATCACATTATTATGAATTACATGATATTTAGTGTATGTGTATTTTCCCTTTTACTGTTTTAACATAATCATCAAACCTTGCATGCTGGAATAATTCATTGTTGGGCGGTAGTCCCTCCCCATTCAGATAAAACACCAGTTCTTGCTTCTCTACGTTGAGTAGTAGTCCAAGAGTGTCACCTAAAAATAGAATGATAAGCAAAGCTATCAAGGAAAGATTACTACGAGGAACGATATTCTAAGCACGCTGTACTCTGTCAATGGATTACATCGAGATTAGCAAACCTTGTAGGGTGTAGCTTATTGTAACTCATAATTTCTTTTCCAGCAGTTTTAGCCAGATTTTTACTCAACACAAAAATAATTAATAATCAAAAGTAACTTTATTATTAAATCATGTGAATTTTATGCAACAATAAAATTGTGTCTCTGGAATAAACGAAATGCTGTTCTCTTGTGTTTAAGTTAGGCTGGCACAAAAAATATACACATGTATGGTAATGTGATTTATGGTAATTTCATTAAAAGAATTGGACACTTCACTTGGGTAGATCCATCACTTTGAATAAGTAACTCACTATTGAGTCATGTGACTATTTCTAGGATCATTGAACATACAGAGTAGTCAGTGGTAGACATACAGAGTAGTCAGTAGTAGACATACAGAGGTAGTCAGTAGTAGACATAAAGAGTAGTCAGTAGTAGACATAAAGAGTAGTCAGTAGTACAGTAGTAGACATACATAGTAGTCAGTAGTATACAGACTAAATAACAAGAAGTACTTAGTCGTACACTCCTCTGTGGTACACTTCTTGTTATATACGTCTCGGAATTAAGAAAGAACAACAAGGACATGGCACCAAAACAGACTTAATTAAAGAGATTAGGAATTCCAGTAGTAAGGGATCTCTTTCTTAGTTAATACTTAATTTAAATCATTTTCTTGTTCAGTACATGTTTTTGTTTTCATACTAAGTTTTAAAATTCCTCACAAAGACAGGCCATACACTGCTGTAATGGACATCTTGTTTATAAACAATTTCTCAAACCACTTCCCTATCAGAGCTTTCTTTAAAGTAATGCTTGGAAACTTAACCTCTTCTAGAATTGTAAATGCCTTTAGTAAAATATGGACTGTGGTGTTCTAAATCTCTCTCATATCAAAAGTTTTATATCTAGAATTCAAGAAATCTCAATCAGCAAAGGTTCAGAATTCTCGTCTATCGATGGATTTTTTCTGAGTAATATTATGAATACCTAACCCCAACATAGGATTGCAAATATGTTTCCTTAATTCAAAACAATCATTATTTTATATAATTTTTTTCTTCTTGAAATATTTCATAATTACTAGTAGACTTTCATTAAATCTACCAATCAACAATCTTTTTGCTTTACATAAGATTAAAAAAACTATTCTACAATTAACCAACAGAAAACAGGAGTTAGTGAATCAAGAGAGCTCAGGTTTTGATACAGAATGACAAAGCACACAAAACAGGAATTACTGAATCAAGAGAGCTCAGGTTTTGATACAGAATGACAAAGCACACAAAACAGGAGTTACTGAATCAGAGAGCTCAGGTTTTGATACAGAATGACAAAGCACACAAAACAGGAGTTACTGAATCAGAGAGCTTAGGTTTTGATACAGAATGACAAAGCACACAAAACAGGAGTTACTGAATCAGAGAGCTCAGGGTTTGATACAGAATGACAAAGCACACAAGACCACCTGGTGTTGAATAGTTTGTCTTTATTTCTACAGAAGGTCTACAAATTGTGTACATTGTACAGAAAATGGTATTGACTTTTCCTTTGACTACTAACTTTAATAATAAGTCAGATGAATAAATGAAAACTGCAGCCACCTTCACATGGGTACAGCAAATGAAAATTTGGAATGTGCATTGAGACTATTCACAACTGTACAAAGCATCTAGATTGGTACTTATTAATTAAAGTGTTTGCTGGATTAGTTTTTTTTTTTTTTTTTTTTTTTAGTGATTTTTAAATCTATATTGACTTTACTTTGAATGAGTGTGATCAATAAGAAAGGAAAAGACTGAAATTTAAATTTAAAAAAATTCTAACGAGTAGAAATAAATCCCTTTCTTATCTGTGATCAGCCTCTACTCGGTAAATGCCATGATCAGTTCTCTTTAGTAATTAAAATAAAAGAGTTAAAGAACCCACAATTTCATCAAACTGTCCTTAAACTTTTTTTCAATACACAAGGTCAATTTCAGTGGGTGCATTTAACATTTCAGAGAAAAACATTTGAGAATGGAGGCTTTGAAACTGAGAACATAATGAGTTTGTTTTCCTTTAATATGAAATCTGACACTTAAAAGTAGTTTTGTAGATTTCAATGTTGCCATGTGGTAAAAAACGTATGGTAAACTGATATAGTATGTATTTTTTCAGTTTAAAGTATAAATTCTAAGGGATTGAAATTCAAAAATGGCTATAATCCCTAAACTTGGAGTATATGTCAATGCATTAAAATTGGTAAGTAGGCAAGATAATTTCCTTTTAATAACTCTTTTCATTCAAAATGGCCATGAAAACATTTTCTTACCAATTAACAATTTAACCCGCCCCATTTGAATCTCAAGCTCATTTCTCTGTTTAAATGTTAGATTAAATCCAAGATATTGATATACCAGTTGGTAAAAGAAAAACTTGCATTCAAACTGAAATATGAACCTTAAAAAAAATAAATGTTTGAATTCTTTTTAAAATGATTTTTGGATATTGAAATATCTTTTCTATAAATTACTTAAATATCACTTCAGGAGTCAAGAAATCCTTTTGAATTGGACTGTCACTGCAATGTAAGGTCCAGCTGTAGAGATCGCAGAAACATTGCCAGTCAATAGAACGGATTGTCATTTATGAAATTTTTATTCACTGTCTTCTACTGACAAAAATGACAAATTTGACAGGAATTGGACATAACATCCGACAGTTCTACCAAGTGGGTAAGTTAATAAACTCAGGAAGTACATCTCTCTCTCCTTCTCTCTCTCTGAATAGGAAATATTCTTGTTTTTCAATTGTTATGTGTGGACTCTTAATCCTATAGTAAGAGTCCTCTTTTTTTCATTTCTAACTTGTAATGTACCGGTATTTTCAACAAGTTAGTATATTTGGCACTTGAAAATATTTGATGGTTGTGGAGAATTATTATTTTGCAACTGGGTCATAATTGACTTTACCTTTATCTAGTGAATCACCGACTAGTCTGCAGAATTTGTACCTGTGTGGTGATCTATTATGTTTAGAATTAATCACTTATACATGATCCTCCCTTATCTGCCCATGCTATTGGTCAGCCAGTATTCTTTTCAATATATCCTACATCAGTTTATCTGTATCACAGCCACTGATGTGTCAGGTGATATGTAATCTCTGCTGAGATTATCCAGGTAGACAGTGCCAACAACAATCCACAATAAATCTCTCCTTATAACAATTTAAATTTCATCTATTTTAAAATGTAGACTTAGTTTAAAACTTAATTAAAATAAGACACCTACCTGACCTTTAAAATTTAGGAACATTTCAATAAAATTCTTATAAATTCCAACTCTGTTCCTCCAATATCAGATGGCTATCAAAGCTTGTACAGATAACCTGTATCAGGATGATCATCAGCTTAGATTTAATCCTTTTAACTTTAAATTGGCCCATGATGCTGGGGTACGATACCCTGGGTAGACAAGCTTAGGAAGTGACTCTTAACTGACAGGCTAATTTACATATTTAATGATTAGTTTGCTACCCTGCAGAGAAGTAAGGGGGAAATTAATCTGATTTAAATCTTTTCATTAAGTATATATGTGAATTTATAAAAGCTACCTATTCTTGTAAATGATTCCTGCGATGAAAAGTGGATTCCTTACGTAGGTAAACCTATGATTTAAAATGGGTCCATTTTAATATGTCTGTAAAAAGATGCAAATAAGTTTTTCTTGCAAAAGGAAAGTGGATGAAATGATTTTACTTTAAGGAAACAAATACTTAAAACATTTACTTCATACCAGTACCAGTAAATACTTTAGATAGACCAACTAACAATTCAAAGCAACTAACCAATGTACCGGTACTTAAAAACTGCCTCCTTTTATTCTTTGGAACACAAAAATTTCTAAGAGAAGTGAAATTAAAATTGTTCTTACAAAGAGAATGTGGTACTGATAACTAAATTAAATAATGTGGAGCATATTTATCTAATTCCTTCTACTAGCTATATTATAGGCATCATATAAGATCAAAAATCTTTTTACATGAGTAAATATTTCATGATTTATGTTGAAGTCTAAATTTAAAGGTAATTGTCCAGTCACACCTTGTTAATTTTTTAATGGGGACACCTCGAAGTGTGCAGTTCTAGATGTAATCAGGCCCTCTCTGAAGAATATAGCAACCTAACAAATTGTTGCATTTAATGAATTGCACATGGGGATCATCTCCAAATAGGCATTGATCAAGACGTTCCTTCCTTTTAAAAAAGAATTACAGTGTCATTTTCACATCTGTTGAGAATACCTTTTCATAAACAGTGTTTCCTAAGAGCACCTGTATTAATTCTTCGATAATCTGTAGCATATGAGAGGCCATCATAGAATGTGGTATCCTTGTGTGTGATGTCTGCCTGACTAAGGGTTACATTTTACTTATTTGGTCCTCCACAGATACAGTGATGCCTGTCTTACTGAGAACTAGATTTTACTTATTTGGTCCTCCACACACACCATACATATGAGAAATACCGGTAACACAACAATAAGTCAACTTTACTCATTTTAGCAATTAGTTTCATAATTTATGCAAGTGCCCTTCAGATGTCCTCATTTATAAATACTCGGTTTTAAAAGCAAGTATTCCAAGCCACACCTCTAAAGATAATATTATAAAGTGTTGTAAAGATTTGGTAATGAAATCTTAACCTAAAGTCAATTCAAAATGTTGGGGCAAAATGCAATTTCAATAAAAAAATATTAAGAATTTAAAATAATTATTTTTTCAAACTTTGAAAGTGAATTGGTAATCCTGCAGTGTGCAAGAATTCTGTAGAAATGCTAGAATTATTTTATAATCTCTCATGACTTCCACCATTAAATACATGTACTTATTACTACATCTGTTAAGAAAGACATAGTAGGTAATTCTGGTGAGCTTAAAGGTACATGCACATCTGAAGTTCCAGGTGAGCTAAATGAGCATCTTATTATTAAAGACTTCTTGCTAAGATGATATGAGATGTCTCAATCATGAGGTTTAACCGACACCTTTTTAAATGCCATAAACTTTCCTCAGCCAAGCTACCAAAGTTTTGGGTTTTGATGCAGTCCCTACTTCAGAAAAAGATATATACAGGTCTATCACATTGTTTCTCAAAAGTGTTGAACAATTAAATACAGCAATCATGAATTTAAAAATATGTCTATCAATGGAAATAGCTTCAGTTTGACCATACTAATGAGTTCCAGATGTTTTAAACATAAATTCATTTCAAGTCCTAAATAGAAAATAAACAGTTGTGAAGGGAATCTTACAATAAAAAGTCAAAATGACGATGTCAGAGGCGATGCTGTCGGAGAATTCCATCATTTCTCCGATAGAACAGCAAGGTAAGATGAGTAAATGATTAAAACAATCAGTCTAGAATGTTTAGAAGAAAAAAAATTAATTTCTCCTCAAATTTAAAAATTGTTTGATGCTAATATTTTGAGATAACATGTACATGAAGGTATGAAGTTTTCAAACAGTTTAAGTCTACGAAAAAAACCCACTTCTAACGTTATATATATTTTTAAATAGACCCCCTCTGTGGATGACGTTTTCACTGATATGTAAGACAGAGGGAACCTTTTTCTTGTGTAACTTTTGTGTTAATCTACTAAACACTTCATGACATCATCTAAATGCCAAACATTTACACATTTCTACGTTTCCATTTTCTGTTCATGGAATTTTTGAAATTTTTATCCCTTCACCTGATTCCTTCAAATTGATTTGTCAGTGAGAGAAAAGAAGTCTTAATGGTTAAGACAGAAGCAGTGGGATATGATAGAACCTTACAGTCAATATTCTGTAAATCCTACAAAATTATACTGACCACAACCACTTATAAAAACATGATTTTACAAGTTTGTTCCCTTATGTCTCCCTGTCTACAAATAAATGATAGGTCTAAACTTTTTATTTGCTTTTGGATTTTTCCAAGATTTACAGTTCTTCAAAACTAAACCATATACCATGCAGTATAGACTAGTAAAAATTCAGGATCATATTTTTATGACAAGTGACAAGTTGAAATCCTTGGGATTATCCGCAGACTTTCTACATGAGTTGATATTGATTTGATTATCTAGTTTTCACACAATCAGTTATTTTCAATCATGGAACCTATTTTACATGACGGTAAGTCACATAATTTCTAAAACAATTTATATTTTGAAATGCATAATGTTTTTTTTACTGCAAGCAAAACAAAACAAAATAAAGAAAATAAAAGGAAAAAAAAAAGAAAAAAGAAAAAGAAAAACCGGTTTTAAACAGCAAAATAACAAATATCAGACTGTCTGATAGGCATTAATTTCAGAACTTTTTAATACACTTTAATTTTTGTACCATGGGATCTTCATTACTTGCTCCAGTTACCTACTTAATGTGGACATTTTTGTTCGTATTAAATGTAATAATTAGTTAAGACCTTTTTACAGCATGCTTCATTTGAGTGTTTCTATACCTACATAATCCAAAAATACAATTAACACCAAATTTATAAGGATTTAGGATTTAAAAGACATACCATAATCAAAGGACCTAATGAAATCCTGACAATAGAAATAACAGTATATTTTTGTTTAAATATCCCTTAATTCAGAATTAGCACAAACCTCAAGTCAGCCAGCCTTGTTGACCTCACCAATGTGTCCAGTTCTCTAGTCATTCTAAGCTGTTTTGATTTTGTTGATTTGATTTTTATTTAACTCATTTATTTCAAAAATGAAAAATGATGAAAACGTTTGCCAAGCTTATCCATAATGAACTTTCCTACGAAACTTAAAATGGGACCCATTTCTCCTGTCTTATGGTGGAAAATATTTGATGTGGAATTGAAATTTTTGTTGAGCTAATTTTTAATTGGATTTTTGGAAGATGGCTGACCGGGATGAATTCAGAGTTGTTGTAAAACAACAAGGTAAAAGATTAAAATGAACTTCTCCCATCCAATCTTTAACAACCTTTTCTTCTTTTAAAACTACTGATATCATATTGTAAAATGCCAGCTGAAAACAATTTCAAGATCTTAAAAAAAAATCTATTAACAGATTGAGAATTTATTTTTGTATCAGGAAAACAATTCACTATAAATATCATTTATCAGAAAAAAAAATCCATTTAAAAAAAATATATCTTTAAAATTTAATATGTGAAGTAAAAGGGTGTCATTATTTGAAATGCCAGTCACTTTTGTTTACATTTTCTATAAATCCTGCATATGAAGACAAATCAATTGATAAGAGAGCTATGTAATGATATCCAATAGATATTATTTTTTTTTTTTTAAAACAATTTTCAGGCATTCTAACTGCCTGGCATTTGAATGATGCCAAATCATTTTAAAACCATTAATGTAATCACTGTTTGATGTTAATGTTCACCAACTTCATCAAAACAAATGCAAATAGGCTTCCTGATCAATGCTACCAAGAAAAGGAGCAATCTTATTCATGTATCTGATGATAATGTTACGTAAATCCAGTGTTTATTTAATGGCTTATCCGATACTTTGGTGGATTTTATTTCAGTCCTGTGTTTAGATCATCTAATTGATCATTATCCACGAGTTGAAACTTGACATACTCTTGGACACTGTTCTTAGATCAATAAAGTTAAATGATAGTGAATTATCTTCAGTTACTTGACTTAACCTTCTATAATCTTGGTCTTTTACATATTATCTGTCCTACTTCACCTATTCTTTGATTTCAAAAACAATATCAGGGTAATTCAAATTGAATGACAAAATTAAATAGACCATAACCAGTTACACAATAAAGAAATGATGTAACCTTATTCAAAGTCTGAGCTAAAGAGAGTTTTCAATTAGATTTTAGATAATTTATAATTTTATGATGTGGCAGAGAAAGATCCATGAAGTGAAGTTAGGGGGTCACCACATAATTAGACAGGGGGGTCTGAGGGGTTGCCCAGAGGCCCCCGCTGGGTCTAGGGCAAAGCCCTATTGGAGGCTCATAGGGCAAAGCCAGTGGAGATTTTGAAGAGCAAATATAAAGTCTTCTAAGTAGACAAATTTACTATTTCTAGTCGTCATAATAAATGATTAATAAATCTTAGGAATATTTTAAAGTTTGTGGAATCATAGCTTAGGAATCAAGCCCCAAGAAGCACCTGGCTTTCAAGAATATAGAAATAAAACCTTTTATTTTCAGCCTTTTCCCTGATACAATAGTATTTTTTTTTCTTTTCAAGGAAGGAACAATGATTTATCTTGAATTTGAGAAATTTAGAAAGGGAAGTGTGTATGTGGGAGGGGAAGAAGTGTGGAGAAGGGGTGCTGGGTGCATCTCCCCCATCCAGGTGTGCCCTTCCACTCCTTTAAATCTGCCACTGCATGGCATATAAATAAAGATGTACATCGTTACGTAAGGAAGACTCACTGTTAATACTAAATCAATACATAAATCAAAAAACTTTTGGTCAAAGATAATTCCCTAAGGAAACTTTTATTTATGCAAAAGACATCTATTAAAATTAATTCATTTAATTTTGAAACAAAATACTATAACTTAATCACTATACCAGATTCACCCTCTGATAGATATAAGACACATCGCTTTCCTTCTAATTGCAATCCTGATTAGAGTTTTCAATTCAGTTCTTGCAGTCCTAATCCCTCATTACACCTTCACAACAGATTAATGCATAAAAGTAAAAGTAAGTGCATTAACTTATATCTAGGGTTAAATTCGTCAACAAAACTTGAACTTCTCACGAGAAACAGCTGCATATTGGTGCATAATCTGCGTATTGTTAGTTATATTGAAAGTCCAGAGGGGGACTGTTCTACTCTACCATTATAATATGGAGGTCTAAGACTTGTTAATTATTGGTATATACTACAATGGCTCTCAAGGACGGAATTGATGTCAATTATAGTGCAAGTAAGTTGTACTTATAGCTAATGTTAGAATATTTGTGTGAGAAATCCTTGCAACATCCAAAACTTCAGCTCAAGTAAGAAACCAGATCAACAGGTCAAGTGAGATACTCAAGAACTCAAGTGAGATGCCCATTACTATAGCTGAGATAACTGAAATTAAGTGAAATATCTATAATTACAGCTTAATGAGATACAAAAGACTAGCTCAAAAACCATCTACAAAAATAATCCTATTTAACCTTTGTTACATTATATTATCAAAACAACGACCCTCCTATAAAATTCCTAGTGATTGTACTCAAAAACCTCATCTATGATCATATTTCATCAAAACAAGTCATAACTCTAACAGTATAATTAAATTTCCTAATTAATTTGATCTTTATGAATTCATCCCTATTACCTGACTTGATTGTATGTTCACCGCTTGGTTCTTATGGCTTTTGTTTTGGATGGACACTTGAAACCATTATAATAGGAGGGTTTCTAGACAGACAAATTAAACATTGGATAACATTTAAGGCTACCAACACCCAGTTCAGTCAGAGGCTTTTTAACTTTTACGCTAGAAGATGAAACATTCTTTTAGTTTTAAAATGGATTTAACTTTGTTAATAGAAGTTCCCTTACAAAGGTACCAAGTCTGAGTGAAAGCTACCAAATTCAAAGTAGTACTGTTTAGTTTTTCTGTACAAATATTTTTTCTAATAACTCCTTTCTCTTTGCAGGGAACTTCTTCATCATGGACTCTGAGCAGTTGGTGTCCAACCCATTCCAAGAAATGCAAAATGACGCTATGGACAACCAGAAAAAATCTTCGCTTACAGAGAGATTAGTCAGTGTCAAAAATAATGTCTGTGAAAAGCACTTCTTAATAAAGGCAGACAAACTCAACAAGGAACTTTCACATAACATGAAAAAAATTCACGAAAATTCTAGTGAACTCAGATATCAAATTAAACTGTACGACATCAACAAACGGAAAATCGATTTGGAGACCAAGCGGCGCATGCAGCCTAAGAAAGACTTTTCCTATGATGCTTTCCAGATCACAAATTCAGAGAAAAGACTTGGTGTCCTGAGTGATTGTTATTACCTGGAGAAAAAACAGAAATTTCCAATTCGTGGAAGGAATATGAATGACCTTAATGCTACACCAACTGTGTCTAGAGCCCGGAATATGTTACGTCAGCAAGAAAAGGAAGATCGTGAAGAAGAACAAAATAGCACAATTTCAGCACTCAGACTCTCTACTCCTGGTACACTTTCACTCACTTCTAACAGAACTTCAATTTATCAAAGGAGAGGATCCAAATCTGCTCCTGCCTCCAAAATGTCTGCTTCTCTCAGAGGAACATTAAACAGTCAAGATGGTGATTCCGCTAAGCTTCCCTCTATTGATCGACAGAAAACCAAGGACTCTCATGTAAAATTCACTGAAAATGTGCAAACCTCTACTCCTGAAAAACGAGTTAGACCTCATACACATGGTCCTAGGATAACTCGCCGGCTTAATGCCTGGGACAGTGATGATGACGATGATGATTTTGGATCAACAGACTACATTAATCTTCGCCAGCTTCTCTTTGGTGCTGAAGGCAAGACAAACACAAATGGATCAAGTGGAACCCCTAGAACACTGACTCGAGAAAGCTCAAGATCTGTTCCCAATTTACGGCGCACAACTGCTTCTAAAGTGACCCAAGAATCTCTTCGAGCAGAGCGTAAACAGATTGACAAAAAAATCAACAAGTTTTTTGAAAGCTTGAATGATGAAAACTCAAGTGAGGAAAGTGAAGAGGAGCCTGAACCAGAGCCAGAAAAAGAGAAAGAGAAAGTACCAGCTTTGGCAAAGGCTGCCGTGCTTCTGAACATCTTTTCCAAATCTGCCCCTGTTGAGGAGAACCCTTTCCTAAAGGCGAAGATCGAGCGAGAGGCAAGTAAAGAGGCAGGGAAAGCTGAACTTGATCGATCCACAAGTTCTCGCTCCATACGTTCTAACAAATCTGCTAAGGACGAAAACGCATCCAAGAAAAATCTGTGGAAGTTTATTAAAACCAATGTGAATAATGGAAAGATCCATCGCTGCAATTCACCTAGTCAGATTATTTTGCAGCAGATGACACATCTTGACTTGAGTCATAACGATGTTTCACGAGTGCCTCTGCACTCTGCGAGTCGAGCTCTGAGACATACACCCACATTCAAAATGAGAAAGGTTGTGGAGAAACTAATGAAGAGTCGGACAAAATTCCAACAACAAGAAGTAGACTTTTTACGACAGCAGTTGGAATTGGGTGAAGATATTTCTGAAATTCCACCTCAGCCCAATTCTGGAGTTCCTGGATTTCAGTCAATAGTTACCTAACCTTAGATCTGCTAAATTGTGTGGAATCTCAGTTATGTTTAAAGAAGTCTGTGGGTGTGAACTTGAGAGAGTATTGTGTTCTTAGCTGTGGCTGAATTTGTGGGGTGTGACTGTGAATTCTATGAATGAATTCCTTGGATTTAACAAATAACAAGGTGTCACATTCTGGGTGATTATCTGTAGCAGTATACATATTGTCTACAATTACTGATCAAAGTTTCAACTATTTTTAAAGGCCATAGGTTAACAGAGGTTGTCTACATCTGAAATCATGTAAACTAGATACAGTGGTTCCCGTTTTATCGAATAGTCAAGTTGTCAGCCTAGTTTTATCCGAATAGCCGAAAATTAGAATAGCCGATTGCTCCATACCGAGTCCAAAGATAGATGTATAGAGCTACATGTATTGATAATACATCGTAGCAAATTTCAAGCTTGCACTTTCGTTTTCTTTTGACATGTTTACTTAATGACTTTACTAAAAATAATTTATTTCACTTACTTATGAATTTAATATGAAATTTTTTTTCAAATAAATTGACGTATAGAATATATTCTTTGATAGTTATTGCCATCTTTCTTCAGCACATGTTTACATTCCTTCTTCGATGGTCGCCATTTTGGAAACGGAAGTAGACTAAATGCTTGACTAATAACCGTAAACTATTTTTCCCTGGATATATTGTAAATTAAAAATAAACAAAAATATTAAATATATGTAATTGTTTCGTTTTTATTTGTTTCTTTAATACGGTTACGTATTTTATACTGTGTGTGAGTTTACCAGTCTCGTTCTTGTCTGCTGAAGAGAGATTTTGAGAGCCATGTGGAGAAAGATGGTATGAATTTTGAGACGTATTTTTATAGAACGGGCCATTTATGATTTTTACCATTAATTTTGCACTGAAAAGTGAATAAATATAAAGTCAATTGACCAAGTTAAACGATTGAATAGGCTTATTTCATTATCCAAGCAAATTGTCACATACAAGCTAATCAGTTCAATAATTAAAATTTCACGCCGAAAAAGTTGCAAATAATTGTCATAATTAACAAGTGCATCATTGTACCCAAGCTGATCACCACAACTGTAATCAAAACATATCTATTTACTATGCCCCTATTGACACAAGTAAGGTGCCTGTGTGCGTCCAGCCGTAACTAATCCCCACATTGTCGTACTCAAGCCAGTCAAGGTAATTGGTGTCAAACTGTGTAAACAAAGGCTTCACATACGAAGTTGGAGGTGTGAACAAGGTGCTGATTATCAAAAAACACTATGATTGTCCAAATTTTTGTATCGGATAAAACGAAATTCCAATATTTTCTCATCAGAATATCAGGTGAAATTATTAATAAATATATAAGAAATGGTTTTGTGCTCTGATATTATATTGAAATAGCCGAAACATTCGTTAAACCGCTATCCGATAAAATGGAAGCCACTGTATTAAACATCTGTGATATTAATCTTAACTACATTACCATCCCTCTAATATCAAATGATAAATATATTTTACAATATATGTTTTGAATGATAATTAATTATACATAAAAAAAAATCTAATTCATTTCAATATTGAGTGTTTTATACAATAACTGTATCATTTCCTTCAATACAGTATAAATAAAAGTATGAAGAATTTCTGTAAATATTTCATTTGTTATCTAATCATTCTGTGTACACCCAACATTAATCAGTCATCAAAAAGAAATACTGTACAGTTAAACCTATTTCAAGAGGCCACCTTATGGAATTTTGAAAGTGGCCACTTAAGACAGCTAGGTGGCCTCTCATTCCAGTTTGCCCTTGAAATAGCCAGTCAATCTAAGTAATTAGACAGTCAATCTAAGTATGCAGGTTTGCAATGATAAATAGGAAGCAAGAAGTTCTACAAAGACTAGAACCTGTCTATTAACTGTATTAATGTGCATACCAGTCTGCAAACTGTGTTAAAAAATGTCAATAAAATTTTCAACAACAAAAAAAACACATTATAAATCTTTTAAAAAGAATGTTATTCAGTTGAGGACTGCTTTATTTTTTTGAATGCATGCCCAAGAATTCAAGGTTTAAACCAATGAAGATTACTTGCACAGTCAAGCTTCTGTTCCACAGAGGGGGAGAAAAAAACCCAATGGGATTTTAATAATTTCAAAATGAATTACCAATTCCACAGAGCACAAACACAATGTAAAAGTTAAATTTGAACTTGAGATGGCCCTTGGAGATCAAAAAGTTTAATTACCAAACAATGAAAAGTTTTATTTTCCAGCAAAATAAAGTGAGTCATACATAGTTAAATACTGGCCAATATCCATAAAATCCGACCAAATGAATAAATCCACACGGATTAACATATGTAATTATTGAAATTCTTCTACAGGTGTCAATCAGACAAATTCACTCTCTTAAGAAGCTTACAACCCATACGAATGCTGTGTACCCTATAGATCATACAGAACTTTACCACCCATACAAATGCTGTGTACCCTACAGATCATACAGAATCTTACAACCCATACAAACAATGTCTACCCTCTAGATCTTATACAATACTGGAAACTCAGAATAAAATTAGAAAGTAAGAAAAACCATAAATGTAACAGTCATATCCTTATTCACAATGAATTGTATCTATCATGTTTTATTATTCTTCTTTTGACAATTATTCCCCTGTAGCAGACCCTACGACATTCTACAAATATAGCAAACAAAGTATAAAGCAACATTTCAGCAGGGCTGACAAATTTTTATGGAATATTTCTTAGCTTTCTCGCTAATGTAGAACAGTTGATCTTCAGATCTAGGAAGCTTTACGAGTTCTGTACATTGATTAAAATCAGATATGATAGTCATTGCTTATTTTCTTTTCAAAAGATAAATTTAACATTCGTTGTCTTTCAACATGTTCTGCACATTAGTAACAAAAGTTAGTAAACCAAGATTGATCTCTATAAACTTTTAATTGATGAATCATAAGCTTATTTACAAGTCACTCTAGAGTCAGTGTTTGAGATTCAGTAACACAAGACTGTTGTTATGGAAAAACCAAATTAAAGTAATTCAAGTGTTAATAGAACACAGGGTACAGATAATCTGGTGTAAATCTGGAGGCTAAGAGGATATTTAAAACTCTACTTGAGAAGTGGTCTCAGACATTTAAACTTATATTAGAATCCTGTCCTTAATCAAGCATCTATATCTGACTAAGTCATGTAAATAAAAACAATTGTCAAGTCCCATCTGATTCATGTCCGATATTGTCGAGGCTGAATCTGTCATGATTACCAGAGATAAGTCAACATGAATGACTTCTAGTGGGCTGTAATAACCGATAGACAAGAGAACTTCTGAGTGCCAATATAATTGTGACTTGCAATATTTTTCTTTGGACTCCAGACAATCTTAACCTATTCAGGCACCAAATTTTAAAAGTCATTATTACGTCAAATTAGTTATCTAACACAAAACAGCAATATAATGCAACTTAATGCTCTATAAACTATTTTGCAAGATAGGGATTTTAAGAAATCTGTCAAGAAATATTCCTGGCACTCAATGATCTGAGCTTCATTTAAAGATTTCAAGCATAAGAATCGAGTCAACTCTTAATTATAGATGAATCTGAGTCTATATTAATATTTCCTATTTTAATAGTCCCTTGTTCTTCAAATCATGTCATTTAATCACAAAATTAAATAAATTACCATATAATTTAAATGTATAAACTTGGTTCATGCATTCTTAAAGTCCAGTGGACCAAAAGTTATAATTAATTTACAGGAACTTGAAGGTCCACAACTATATTTTAAACAAAAAAAATATTAAAGAAATGTCTATTATCAAATGCTTCAAATGTTTATAATTAGAGACAATGTACTATTTATATTTTTTCAATTGTTTTAAATCAGATAAGATAACAATCAATGTCTGTGTATTTTAAACTTGATCACATTACTTAGGGCATCAAGAATGATTAAATTCTTGCAACCAGTTAAGTGACCTTTTCATTCCAAATATTTCACTCCATGCAAACTTTATTTATGCAAATTTTTGTATAAAACAACCAAGAAATGTAAAGGATCAGCAATATAGAGTTATAAAAACTTAGTATCGCAATTACGTAATGGTTATCTTACTTACTGCTGCTCTTTTGCGACAACATACGAAAGCTCTAAATTTCACATAATTTCCGAGGCATAACATATTGTTTAAACTAGTGACAATTGAATAATTCAAACAATGAGTATGCTGAAAGCACAATGTATTGCCAATGGTTGCACTTCAGAAAGTAAATCATCTTATTTGAAATAATAAGACTTCCAAAAGTAACGTTTACCAGAAGAATAATAAGAAGAAAACTGACAAAAGCAATATGTCTTCCCTTTGAAGGGGAAACATAATTGACCACTAAGGAAGACCTTACCAGCTTTCCAACAAGGCAGTGTTATTGGTCGACTCTCGGACTTGAACCATATTAGCTGACGACATCCATCATATGAAATGGAATACTCATCATCTCCAATACCATAACCTTCCTGAAAAATTCAACTTAAATGTAATTATTTATCACCATCAATACAGATACCTTCCTAAAATACCATAATCTTCCTAAACAAGAGAGCAAAGGGCTATAACAGTCACCTGTGTATAATACAGCACCATAAAGGATCCACGGAAGTATAAAACAAAACAAAATGAACCAAAAGGTGCAGATATGTTGCCAAAAAGCAAGAGAAACAGGATGATCAGGGATCAACAAAAAAGTCTTTAACTTATTAACAAATCATAAAGTAGATCTACTGACTTCCCTGTACTTACCAGTGCTAATACATTCACATTTGTCACCATCACCATGAAGATTAAACATACCAATTATGATTTTGCTAAATATAAACCCATCTCATTCCCTCTCATTTTTATTTATCTATTATTAATTTACAAGTCTAACTGACCATTAAAAACCGTCACAAATGACATTGTGTTTTATTATTTATTTAGTTTATATGTTGTATATGTAAGAGGTGTCTTTATTTTGGTAACAGAAGTTATCGTTCATTTCATGTAAGCTTGATGTATTGGTCACTGAGTTGTACCTAGTCTATTACTATATTTAGCTACAGATACTCATTGAACTTGTTTGATTAGTTTGACTAGTTATTTATTCTGGGTGTTGGCTGGTTTTCATCAGATGAGGTCTGGGCATCGTGATGTAAATTTTACCAATGCTTCATAAACTTGGGTGTTTTTTTTTTGTTTCCCATGCTTAGTGAAGTTGGGTGTGTCTTGTTTCCCCTGCTGAGTGATCTTGGGATTCAGTTACCTGTGTTTTTTGAGTGCAAGACCTAGAATGTTTACTTTACTTTATTTTTGTTAAACTTTGAATACCCTAGGCATGTAGATTATGAGATACAACCAAAGTATTGTTTTTCTTTTCAATTAATGGCACTAATATGTTTGAAGTTACTTTTTTTCTTGCTGCAATCAAGTAGTATACATTTGAGTTTGTGAAATCAACTTCACCATACAACAGTTTTGACAAAGTGTGTTTAAATCATCTTTCAAACTACATGTATGAATAAATTGTATATTTCATGTGTTTCAATAATTTCCATGTTCTAAAAATCTTAAATATGTCCAACCTTAAATGGGGTTATGTTAGTTTTCACCAATATCCTGTCTGATCGTTTGTCTGTGCTCAAGATATTTCATGATTTGCAATTATTTTTATGAAATATGTCCCCCTAGCATTGACAAATTTATCACATTTTAAAGAGGATCCATGCTTAATATATGAAGTCACAGCAGCTTTTTTTCAGTTCCGTTAATTAATATTGTAATAAATTCAGATCAGTTACATAAAATATGACTGGCACGGTCAGGCTGGCATGATTATACACTCCCGATTTACCCTATAGTTCATCAATTAATCATTAATGTTTAATATTCATTTTAACATATCTTCATTATTTAATGAAATGATATCTAAAATACTTGTACATCTTCAGGTACTCCTTTACCACCAGACTAGCATTTTTTCCCTATTTACATGTACCAGAGATAGTCTTTTTAATTTTTCAGAGGTGGTAATTTCAGAAAAAAATACTAACATGGTTTAGAAAACTGCTGGATTTTGTTGCCCATCCAATCTGCATCACCCCATCTGTTAAAAGGGTGACCTCATAATACCATATCCCAGAATTCACCTGGAATGTGCATCGAACACTTTCAAAGGAAGAAGCATCACATCTGGCCTAAAAAATGTAAAAGTGCAGAATTAGAATTTAGCATGTACTATAAGTGTGAAATTACAGAAAGCTTGTACAATTTAAGACTTTTAATAAATTAAATTTCAGATGTAATTTACATGTGTTCAGCAACTACATAACATACAATCTAAATATGTTTGACAATTTCACTTCTATCTCTTACTAGAATGCAAGATTATTTCTTGAATGAGATTATGTTTATTCTATGTATTATTTTGAAAAACAGTTATGATGAAAATGAGCTGCATTTCCTCAGAAAGCCCTCACCTCTAAGCCATCAGGAGAAATTTTCAGGTATTCACTAACATCTTTACTATTCAACATCACATTAATATTCTTTAAATCTTCCTTTGTGTAGGAAAATTCACGATTCTGAAACCAAAAAAAAAAAAAAAATCCTTAATAAAAGTGTCAAAAAGCAAACAAACAATATAAATGTTTGATCAATGGTTTATGATTTCATATGACAATCTTTACTTAACTACAATCTATCAAAACAACCCCAATTAAGGTTTAAAATCGACTCACCTCAGTCACAACTATAAAAAGAAAACAAAACCGATCATCAGTAAATCTTGGAATATCATTGCTTATATACTAGGTTAAAAAAAAGTCAACTTAAATTACTGATGCAATGACGAACACGTACATAAGTTATCAAGACACCACCGGGCACAGAAACCAACTTCCCGCAGGCTGTATTTTTCATGGCGCCACCATTTTTCAAGGATTTCTAAGGGATTAGGGTCACATTCTCGTAAACTTTTATTTATAGTTGTTTTATTTTCACCTAAAAAGAAACAATACATGAACTCCTTAAAGTTACATTTCTTTTCCACAACAGCTTGAGAAGTTACACTAATAAAATGAAATCAATGACAGAAAACTGCAGACAAGTAAGACGGTATGGCCAGACTGTAAAATGTTCACCATATTAGAAAATCATTTTTGAAATCATCATTGTGCTCATTTCTGTACAAAAAGCACATTTACCAAATCAAAAACAAAGGTCACAAAGTTAACATATAATTGGGTATCTAAAAATGACATTTTAAATTTACTAATGTGTCAAGTTAGACTTAACCATTAAAAAAACTGCCAGACTACAATGAACACAGAATCTTCCTTCTTAAATGTCTCAAATGATTATTTGAAAAGCTCACAGCGTTTGTGTTTGTGTGTGTGTTGGGATGGGGGGGGGGGGGGTTCAAAGTAAGATAAAGCTGACTTACTAGTTTGGGCAAACTTTTCCAGTGCCACCAAGGCATGTAGAATCACAGCTGGCTCAAGTTTGTCATTCTGTAATGAAGAAACTTGGAAAATGACATATAACGAGAAAACACAGTCAGGAAAATGACATATAACAAGAAAACACAGTCAGGAAAACAGCATATAACGAGAAAACACGGTCAGGAAAACAGCATATAACGAGAAAACACGGTCAGGAAAACAGATAAACAGGATAATTGTATACCTTGATGAAGTCTAAATGTAAGGTTTTATTCTAATTGTTTACCTTGATTAAGTCTACATCTATGTAAGGTTTTATTCTAACTGTATAAAATACTCCGTAAGATCCATTTTGAAATAATTTTTTTTCTCTTTGTGTTCCGTACCAAGAGTACCAACAGCTATCAGAAATACTGGTATGTATCTTGTAATCTTTATTTGTACCAGGTATTATTCAAACTGGATGAATTATGAAATTAATCACAAATTACAGTAACCTTTAGTAACCATGACGATAATGTTCATCAAAATTAAAATCAATGAAGAGCATTGTATATTTAAAATTTTGTAAACTCAGAGTTTTATTCAAGTCAAAACACAAGGATAAGAGTATTCTGCTGAAATTTAAAACATTTTATTTCAATAACCCGTGAATAAGACACAAATTGAAATGTGAATAAATACTTCATGCATTCTCTCCCTTTTTTATCACAGCCACCATGAAACCTAATACAAAGGCACACAAACTGAACTATTGGGGGATTCAACTGATATACATGTACAAGTAATTTGTCTGCTAGAAGTACGGCAGTACAGAAAGACAACTCTGTCTAATTAAGCAAATATTTTCTACTAGGTACCTTACATGTAATTGTATAAATTAAAAGAGCCTAAATATTGATCATTTTAGAGGATTTTTGACCCATTTCTAAAGTGTCATAAATCAAAATTACCACATGGTAGTAAAATTGGTAGGGATGGGTATTGCAAAAAATTTCGTATCGTGATATATCATGATTTTCCCCCAAAATATCACGATAATATCATGATATTTTTACAAGCAATTTTACAATGATTTTAGATAAAAATTCATAATTTTTTTCTGAAAAATATGCTGGAAAAACGTAACTTCAATTTTTTCATTTTTTATTTACATAATATCAAGCAATTTTGGATACTAGGATGCCGTTCTTTAACTCTTTTCAACATTCTTTACACTTCCTGTAATTGTAATTTGAAAGAATGAACAAAAAATGAATAATTTCTGGAATTTTTAACTATGTACCTAAATACCGGTAATTTAGTCTCCGTATCACAATACATATCACACAATTAAAAATCACGATATACAGGTATACCGATAAAATCGCACATCCCTAAAAATTGGCTAGGGAGTGATGAAAAATACACAATGCATGATGGGTGATGCACAATGGCAGAGTCTCCCAATGTCTTACATAAACAGAAAATAAACTTAGAACTTACCAGGTTTGACAATAAACTTAGAACTTACCTGGATTGACAATAAACTTGGAACTTACCAGGTTTGACAAGAGGTACTTGAGAACATCTTCTGTCAGAATATCAATTGCATTTGGACCTAAAAGTAAAGCAACTTTTTGTTACCCCAAACTTGGTCCAATGCTATAGATGAATTCATACATAAATCAATATGACAAATTATTATCTTCTTCTTCTTCATGAAATCTACTTATATTACTTCCCCACCTAGACACTAGGAGCCTTACAAATGTAACTAAATGTTTTTACTAATGATATGTCTGCATTTACATGTAACTCGATTCATTACAATGTTGATATTTTGAAGGAGAAAAATCCTGTACTTAATTAATATGTAAATATTTACATTTCCAAATTTTTTCTCTGTGATAACTCTTTGAAAGTTAAGTGTGTTGATTTCTTGATATTTACAACTGAATTTAAATTTCACCAAGTGAAAGGTCAAATGCCTAATATGTAAGTCAATCTCTCGTGGATGGCTTTGGGATTGATGTCAGTGGGCGGGGACTATGGATCTTAACAGGGAATGTCTCGTGTATTTTAAAGGTGTTAGCATTCTTTATTCACATCCATATTTTTATTTCACTTATTGTTGAAATCCTATAAAAGGCTGCAAACCCCTCACTTGGTCTTATCATATCCTTGCATAATCCCATTCCCTTCTTATTAAAACTTTGAGTCTGTTCTTTACTATAGAATCTTTTCACCCTAACTTGCCTTAATGTAGCAATGTTATTCTTATGAAAAAAAATCTCTTACAATTATACTACATGTATTTGCATGTCAACTACATTCACTATTTCTTGTATGGTGGGACTTACATTATTTTTAAGTATTTTGAAAAAGTAGTATAAAATTAAAGAATCCAGAAATATGTTGAAAGACATAAATCAGTGATATTTCTATCAAAGCTGACCATTCTTGATATTTTACAACATTTTATTTTGTCATATGGAAGTATAATTATAATAAGTACAATAAAGCCTTCAACTCAGTGAGATCAATCAGACTGGATTATTTTTAAGGGACTGTCTAAAAATATTAGTGAAGTCAAAATTGTATGAGATAAATACAATATCTAAAATTGTCTCAAAATATTGATAAAAATAAAATTGTATGAGACAAATAGAATGTCTGTAATTATCTCAAAATATTCATAAAGACAAAATTGTATGAGATAAATAGAATATCTGTAATGGTGTGATGTTTTATTTGCATTATGCAATGACTTGAAATGGCATGTATATATACATGTAGCTCCCCAGGCCTTGAAATACATACACTAGCGATGGGACATCGGTTAATTTTCATAATTGATCATCGGTTGGAATCGGTTACTGCTTCCGATGCGATTTTACCGATTATAATCAGATTTCATAGTTTTGTATACAAAAAGCAGACTATTACAATTATTTCATATTATTTCTTTAAAGGTGCTTAGACACAGATTTGAAGTTAATATTTACTCAAATTTTCTATATAATTTCATGACTTTTATGTTGCTATGGCATTTCATATGAAAATTTGATAAAAATCTTATTTTATCTGGAAGTTATTGAAACTTCGAATTTCTAGACGTGTTTGATAGACACATCCTTGCACTTTCATAAATTTTAACTTTATCCTTATTACTTTAGAAAAGTAGCAATTTTGTTGTTTATTAATGAAAAATATTAAAACTATAATGCAGAAATTTCAGAGTAGAAATGTAGAAAGCAAAATCCTCTCACCAGTATTGTCAGTCCGTGCTCAGTGGTGTGTGCAGAGTATAACAATTGAACACACCCGGTGAAACGTAAACATTAACAACAACAGAGCTCGTGCCTTGTTAACAAGAACAGTTTACGTTTCACGGGTGTATTCAATTTGTTAAACTCTGTACACAATTACACAACACTAAGCACGGGCTGACGATACTTAAGTGAGTGGGTTTTGCTTTCGCACATTTTTACTCTGAATTTTCTGGATTATAGATATAATATTATTCATTAATACACAACAAAATTGCTATTTTTCTTAAGTATTAAAGATAAAGTTAAAAATCGTGAAAGTGCAAGGATGTGTTAATCAAACGCCTCCCGAAATTCGTAGTTTCAATAATTTCCAGATTAAATAAGTTTTTAATTTTATTTTCGTGTGAAATGCTATAGCAAAATATAAGTTGTGATATCATACAGGAAATTTGAGGAAATATAAACTTCAAATCTGTGTCTATGCACCTTTAACATGAATTTAAAAAATATATAATATATTATTTTCTTTGTTGTTTTGAAAAATATGTTTGTTTGTTTCCTGTAACATTCTCAAAAAATCAAGGATCGGTTGGTCGGGATTTTTTTTTTTTTTGCTTATGAATAATGGGGTCAAACATCACGGGACTTAATTATCCAGGTGTTATATTTACAGTGGACACCCAACATGGCTGCCTAGTGGCAGAAAACGAACTTCAAAAAGCTGTGGGGGAGAATTGATTACTCTTTATATTTAAGGAAAATGTTGACTAAGTTGCATGTTTAATATCTCAAATAAAAGATACAATTAATATTTTTTGAATAAAAAAGAATCAGCTGATTGATCAAACCAAAGAGCAAACACAGATTTAGCAAAAAAAATCCACCGGGGGGTAAATTGAATGGGTCGGTCAGGTTATAGGAAACAAACATATTTTTTTAGGCCCTATATATGCACCTTTTGGTTCTTAATCACCTCTGCTTCATGCTAGTTGGCTAGTATCAGATGCAGAAGCCATTTTCTTTCATTACAAAGAAATATATTTTAAACCAGAAATGGATAATTCCGGAATGTATTGTATTAGAAGTATGTTTCCGATGATCGATTATGATCCGATGATCATCGGAATTGGTAGCATTTTTTCGTCGACAATCGATGTCTTCTGATTATCGGTACAACACTAACATACACTATTTCAATTCATTGGATAAAGCAAAAACAAGAGGCCCATGGGCCACAACGCTCACCTGAGTAACTTTGGTAACTTTGGCCTCACCGTTATTCACCTGATTTCCCCCCTTGTAGTACCTATTGTAGCCCCACCCTACCCCCAGGGGTCATCCTTTGAATAATTTAGAATCTACACTACCCCAGGATGCTTCAACATAAGTTTCAGCTTTTCTGGCCCAGTGGTTCTTGAGAAGATTTTTAAAGATTTTTCCTATATATTTCAATGTAAAACTTGGATTCCCTATTGTGGCCCCGCCCTACCCCCGGGGGTCATGATTTGAACAATTTAGAATCTACACTACCCCAGGATACTTTCACAGAAGTTTCAGTTTTTCTGGCCCAGTGGTTCTTGAGATGAAGATTTTTTAATGACCCCACCCAATTTTTTGTTTTTTCTTGATTATCTCCCCTTGAAAGGGGGCTTGGTCCTTCATTTTAACAATTTAAACTCCCCTTTACCCAAGGATGCTTTGTACCAAGTTTGGTTAAAATTGGCCCAGTGGTTCTTGAGAAGAAGTTTACAGACGGACGGACAGACGGGCGGACGACGGACAATGGGTGATCAGAAAAGCTCACTTGAGCTTTCAGCTCAGGTGAGCTAATAAAATCCCACATTATAGATATCATACTGTTTATAAAGTTACATAAACTGTATAAAATGTAATCCTTAAAAGCTCACTTTAGTCTCTGGCTCAGGTGAGCTAAACAAAAAAAGAAAACACTGACCTGCCATTTTTTCTGCTAGACATCCTAACACAACGCCAATATTTCTTTGACAGCTGACAGAACTGTATTCTTTGGCTGAACTATTGGGCATCAACTTCAAATTTTTGTACAGGAGTAAAATAGCATCCTAAAAAATTACAAAATACAAGTATAACATAAAAATATCTTAAATTTTGTTTTTCATCACTTTTCAGATAACTGTATCTTAGAGCTTTGTGTAAAGATCGACAAAAAATATAGTAAAACACGCTTAGAACAAAGTGCCAGGGATGGACAATTTTGCTTTGTTATAAATATTATTCCTTATATCTTTCACAACATATTTTAAAGCCACTGCAAATGGAAATCACTTCAGTATAAGCGTCCTTATAAGCGTGTTTGACTGTTTGCTATAAGCGTGATTTACTTACAATGAACAAAATTCAAACTTGATCAGAAGAATTTGTGGAGGTATATAGTGGACAAAGAGATAGATTAACTACACTCTTTCTTCCCTGATAAGATTAATTATTATTACAGTGATTAGTGGTGACCTTTGTGGGTAGGGGACACTCATCCAACAGCAGAGTGACCACCGCTGGACCAAGGGGATCATCTAGAGGAATGGAAACCACTAAAGACTTGACAACATCAAGCCACCCATCCTCAGCCTCTGCAACACGATGCAACAGCAACATAGCCTGGGGAGGTCCCTGGTCACTGAAAACAAATCATACAATAATTCTACAACAGATAGCTGGGGAATACCCTTGAAAACAAAGCATACTGCAATGCTATATTTGTTACCCATTTCTGTATTAGAAATAAATATTCATACGATATCTGCTGCTAAGGTTATTGAAGAGGGAACAATTTACTAATCATTAAATATTTACAAATAGAATGCATTTCTTAAGTTACTGTTTACCTCTGCTTTTTGACTTTACATTAACATGATTAATATCTACAAAGTACATGCAGTCAAGCATGCAGTATCTTTACTGATATTGAAAAATATCAGTATTTTTCATTTCAGAGCATTTTGCACATAAAAAAATTATTATGATAAAAATAAGCTGTCATTTCATAAAATATACACTAATTATAATATTTCCTTACAAAAAAAACTGCTCGATCTGATTAAAATCAGATCCTTTGATCTGCTCACATAGATCACTACCTTGTGTAGCGATCTATGTGAGCGGATCAAAGGATCTGATTTTAATCAGATTGAAAAACTGCTTTAAATATTTGTTTTTCTTTAGCCTACGTGTCCTATATTCAGATTTTATTGTCTTGGTGATAAATATACATGTACATACTTGTCCACCAGTGTCCTAATGAGTGATAGAGTTTCTAGAACTAGGGAATCCACATTTGCGCATCTTCTGGAAGAACTACGGGAATTGGAATGTGAGGAAATACCTCTTCTCCCCGATGATGTTCCTCCTCTTTGTGACCTCTGACCCTGGCTTAAATGACTACTTTCCGTTTGTCGTATAGCTCCTTGGTTCACATGTTTTTCTTTGCACACACAAGAACCCATCTTGTATATTATGTAACAATAAACAGTCTGTAAAAGCTGAGATAAAATATTCCTATGTATATATAGGATCCATGTTGTAACTATCATATCACTTAACACACAGATTCATGTACTGTCCTATCAAACATTTCCAGGGCTTCCTTTTGCACTCAAATTTTCCCACAGAATAATGACTGATTTCCAAATAATGTGAAACTAAGATAAAAGATAAAGTTGTGTTCCATCTGAAAATAAAAAGATGCATTAATTTTAAATAAGGGTTTAGGATACACAATCTTATTCTTATAAGCTAAATAAAATGATAGATAAATTTCAAATTTCTTAGTGTTTTTCAGATTTTATTCTTGTCCACTAACTCTAATTCAATATTTTAACAATATACCAACTGCAAGTATATGTTACCATTTTGTAAGCAATCAACATGGTCTTTGCACACTAAATGCATATTAACAATTCTAACACAAGTGTATCACCATTATGTACTTGTATATATAGTATGAGTAAAATTCATTTCTGTGTTTATATCATGACTTTACCAAAAAGGTGAACTTCTGTATTGTCTTTAGAGTTACATATAGATGTCTGTATCACTGAAGATATATTTTCAACTGAAAAGAAAAAAAATTGAAATCATCAATCGATTCATTTGTGTATATAAATAAAATTCCATGATTTGATCACCCGCTTCATAATTTTGCATGTACGTAGACTATGTCAACAACTGCAACCTAGGAGTCTGAAGTTCATATATATTCAAAGAGAAACTTAACCTAATATTGTGGTTTATATTGAGATTACGTATCAAACAGCAAACCTTACTGTTATTTAAAGCACGACACTTATCAAATACTAGTATGCTTTTCATAAATGTCTGTTAAAAGGCACGTACTTTTACACATTTTTTCTTCATCCCCGAAACAGGAAGACTCTTCTTACTTTCATCTTCCATATTGGAAATTATGTTGACCGCAAGGAGTCATGGGTAATATGAGACGTCGACGATTTTTTGGAGGTTTTTGATATTCTAAGACTTTTATTTGTAAATACTTATAGCATGATAAATTTATGAACACATATTTCTTAGTAGATCTATCTAGGATTTCAGATCTTCATGCTATTTCTTTCTCTTCGGGCACCTGACAACGGAAATAGAAAAACCGCCATATTGAAACTAATGTAATCAATCAGGATGGCAGAACCACAAGAAATAAAGGTGGAAACTGATTCAAACAAATTTACTTTGAAAGGAAGGCCATGTGAGCTTTCGTCGTTTTCCTTTATTCCAACAGAAAGAGACGATCCTCCAGAAAGAACTGTATTCAATACTCCTAAACAGGTGGGTTTTACAAATGTCAGACCTAACGTTATACCAGGGACCTATATACTAGTGAGTATATAGATCCCTGGTTATACGTACTACCCTCCAGAGACAATCACAGGTTATTTTAACATGATTTTTGTTCAGTTTTAATAGCAATTTTGGGTCTTAGTGATTGAGTATCTTGATTATTTTGATTTCAAAATGTACGACTTGAAACAAAGGATTATTATATTAATATGTTTGCTTTGACAAGTGCATTAATTAAACAGCTGTCAACATATACAATAGAATTCATCTTATTCCACCAATAATAAAGATTTCTCTAGCATTTATATCATATTTATGTGGGATCAACCCATGGCCTCTCATCTCTGTAGTTCTTTCTTCCAGAGCTTTTGGCAAACCCCCGGTATAGAATAAACAGTTTTGATTAAAAAAAAAAATCCAGTCACATACCACTGGAAGAGAAATTTCCTTTCATTAAATCTTGTAAACAATAACATTAAAATACATTACCTTGACATTATCTGAGAAATAAACTGCATGTCAGGTTTCTCTACAACTTTGTATTCACCTTAATTTTCTTTCAGTTGGTTATCAAACAACGTGAGAAGGTATAGTTGTGTATGACATATATCATTATATGCTTTGATTGGTTTGTGCATATATTTGCATTAATTCAGAAATGCTAGAATGAAACTGCAAACTAGAATTAAGATGTTACTTGTTATTCATTTCATTTAGTATTTAATTATAATTAACTGTTAATATAAGTAGATGCAGCTTGCTATTTAATAAATTCATGCATGTCAGTGTATACATAGTAAATATACCAGGTTGAATTAATATTTTCAATTTAAGTATTGCATAAAAAGTTATTAACTCTTGTAATTTAACAGCTTGTTTGGTAGAAGTAAATCATAACATACAAAATGTTTTAGGAAAGTATGTCTTAAGAGAATCTGTAGAGAGACTTATGATTGATTGCTGTTTGCAGTTTCACCAATGACATTTGCAGTCATACATTTTATTGTATTTATTTTGTTCTGGAATATATGGCCAGCTTTCCATTCTCAGGAGAAGGTTGTGTTATTGTTCATATAATTTGTGTATTTTAAATAGCATCAGAATGCATGTAATTTCACAAATGAAGTGCCTTTTCCAGAATTTTATGATACAGGCAAATAATATGCATACTTATATTTATAAAAACAGGTAATCTAAAATATTCGCCTCAAAAGACTTTGCATATGGCCAATGCATACTATTCCCAGTACACTATTATAGCAAAAAAGTGAATATATATAGTTTTCAAAGTAAAACATGTTCTGCATTAGCTAAAAATATTGTATGCATGGTCTGTCAATGATTTGTAATTCATGCACATCAGATTGCAAAAATATTAAACAATTTGATTTTTGAATTGATGATGTTTGTCTGTCTGTCCATTTTTATTAACATGCAGTTTTGTTCAAATGAGGGTAAGCGATTTGGATGGTCACCCTTGGTGTACAAAAATAACCATACAAATAATTGAGATCTAGCTTACAAGTATACATGTAAGTTTCTATTAATAGAGGGAGTTCCAGCGGTGAAGGGGGGGGGTTTACATTTTTCACACAAGTTTTATAGTGCATATTATATAATCTCCATGGCATGCCAGCAAATGAAATAGGAGAGCAGAAAATGCAACAGACCAGACCAGTATTCAAATCCGGCTCCTTGAATCACTAGTCAGGTGCTTTGTCCAACTGAGCTATCTGGTAAAAGCAATGGAACCTGCCTGATTGTCACATTACTTGCTGACCTTAAAGATCTTCACCCCCAAGAAGACATGTACTAACTCAGGCTCTTTCCTTGCAGGTCTTTGACCTGTTATTTCTAAGGCATGGCACCAGGAACATCACAAAATGTAACCTGAAGGGAGAAAAATGTGATGCACCAGCCCATGATTCATACCCTGGCCTAGCTGCATGGTCCCTCACATTTTTGGTGCCATGCCCAGGGTGAGACAGGTGAATTTAGACCTGTCATAAAGAGACTTAGAATGATCTATTAATTCTGAGACCAAGAGTCATCACTTCTTACTTCAAACATCAGTAAATAAAGTTAAAATATTTTAATTACCAGTGATGAAGTTGACATTGGCCTTGAACTTTCTAAACTAACTGTAACAGGAAAGGAGAAAGTTTTATGGCTATGGAATCAAACCTGGGACCTCAGCATTAAATACTAGTCAAGTGCTCTAATCACTGAGCTACCCAGGTTAATGCCCCTAGTCCACTCAACCCAAATTAATATATAATCCTGGTTACGGCACCAAATGTTTTGGTAAAGGTCATTTGGTGCTGTGACCAGGACTTAAGAATTTAGTGGTTTTGGTTGTGTTGATTAAAGTGTTTACTTGAGCCACGATGTGGTTTAAGTTTTATGGTTAGACTGGCCATGGAATCCAACTTGAGACCCCTGATCGAATTACTTAAGTTAGGTGCTCTAAACCACTGAGCTACCCAGGCCAACATCCATGATCCATATATAGCCCACTACTACTTATAACCCTGAGATTGGCAATTGAAGCAAATTTAATTAACCTACATGTAATCAGGAGGATCCGAGATATTTCAAATATTACCATTGGAGTTGCCCGTTTCCTTAGACGTTTTTATTATCTAACTTATTTACACAAAGTTAAAAAAAGACATATACTTACATGTATAATAATGAAATCTGGAGTATGTTTCAAATTGGATAAACTTTAACAGTAATTTAGTCCAGATTTAAACAATAGGAATTACAATTAGGCAATTTTTTTTATATGCACATGCAGTAAACATAATGAAAGAGTAATTAAATCACCACATACATTATTATATATATGATATACAGTGTATGTATTTGTGCTATGACTGTGATTGAATGTATTTACAGGAGCGATATCCAAGGTCAACTTACGAAAGACTCTTCAGGAAGGAATACGGATATAATAACAAACTTCACAGGGATGATAGAGAGCATGCCAAGTCTAGGGGCTTGATAGTTAATGAAGAGGTACCTCTAACTCTTTAGCCTAATGTAGAACATAAGTAAACTAAAGATTTAAAGTATATGGGTAAAGAACTGTAATGTGATACCAAATATACAATACAGTGTTCTCTTTCAGGAGAAGCTTAAGGAAGTGCCAACACTGTCTTCCTCAGAATATGGACATCGACTAGAATTGTTTGTTGACAATCCTGACCGCCAGCACGTCCGAATTGCCCACGTTAGGGCCGAATTTTTCAGAAGAAATGGAATTACTTCTTGATTGTCAAATTCCCCCCCCCCCCCTTTATACCAAGTATATATGCCAGTCTTTTCAAAAAATTTAAAATTCAGTAAACTTTCACTTCAGTTCTGTGTTAATTATTCTGTGTGTGTCAATATTGCATTTGTAGTTGTCAATTGTTTGTTATCCTTAACAGGATGATGGAAAGAAATTTTCTTTTCAATATATTTTGTCCATGTGCAATTATACTGATGTCACTGTTTGTATTTTTTGGAAGAAAGCTGGTAACTGTGATAAACTATTGCATTTTGTGTTCACTTGTACATGTACCATGAAATAAATACTAAAGTTTCCTAGTTAATATTTACTGTTTCTTAAATATATTCCAATGCCTGTTATATTACTCCCATTGTCATTCATACAGGTTCAAACTATACCTAATACTAATGAAATTCTTTGCAAATTATACAGATTATATGTGCAGTTTGATCACAAAAAAAACAAGATGTGTTCGTGAAACACTGATGCCCCCGTATGGCAACTCAAAGAGAAGGTTAAACTTTCTCAAATGCAAATTAAATATGTTGGTACCCAAAGTAAGGTCTTGTCCCGAGAAATATACCTGTGAAATATGAAAGCCTTAGCAGTAACCATTGAAAAGATATGGAAAAGGTTAAAGTTTTTCAAAAGTAAGTCAAACATCAAGGTCAAGGTCAAATGGTCAAAATTAATGGTGCCCAAGGAAAGACCTTCTCACAAGAAATACACATGTTAAATATGAAAGCCCTAGCACCAACAGTTCAAAAGATATGGCCAAGGTTAAAGTTTTTCAAAAGTAGGTCAAACTCCAAGGTCAAAGTTGTTGGTATCCAAACTAAGGTCTTGTCACAAGGATTACATATGTGTAATATGATAGCACTAGCATCAACTGTTCAAAAGTAATGGCCAAGTTTATAGTTTTCTAAAAGTAGGTCAAACTTTTAGGTCAAAGTCAATGAACTATAATTGTTGGTATCTAAAGGAAGGTTTTGTCACAAGGATTACACATGTGAAGAATGAAAGCCCTAGCACCAAATGTTCAAAAATAATCGCCAAGGTTAAAGTTTTCCAAAAGTACGTAAAACTCGAAGGTCTAAGGGTCAAAGTTGTTGGTATCCAAAGGAAGGTTTGTCAAAAGGATTACATATGTGAAGTATGAAAGCCCTAGCACCAACTGTTCAAAAGATATGGCCAAGGTTAAAGTTTTTCAAAAGTAGGTCAAACTCATAGGTCAAGGTCAAAGGGTCAAAGTTGTAGGTATCCAATGGAAGGTCTTGTCACAAGGATTACATGTGAAGTATGAAAGCCCTAGCACAAACCGTTCAAAAGTTATGGCCAAGGTTAAAGTTTTTCAAAAGTAAGACAAACTCGTAGGTCAAGGTCAAATGGTCAAAGTTGTTGGTATCCAAAGGAAGGTCTTGTCACAAGGATTACACATGTTAAGTATGAAAGCCTAGCATCAACCATTCAAAAGTTGTGGCCAAGGTTAAAGTTGGGTAAAATTTAGTAAAACTGGTTCAAACTTCAAGGTCAAATATGTTGGTACTAAAAGAAAGTTCTTGTCACAAGGAATACACATGTATGTGAAATATGAAAGTCATAGCTCCAACCAATCAAAAGTTATGAGCAATGTTAAAGTTTTTGCGGACAAACAGACAGACAGACGGACGGACAAGGCAAAAACTATATACCCCCGAATCTTCGATACAGGGGCACAAAAAATGCTATCAAACATTTAAAAGGGTTTTCAAAGGGTGCTCTGATCAATTTTTGGATAAAGAAGACAAAAATAGATGTGTCAAAATTTATATGGTGGTGTACTGAATCATGTCTTTTCATGCTCAAGGTTTGAAGTCCTTTTAAAAAAATTACTTTTTACATGAAAATAATGCAAAATTTTTATCTGCTAGTGCTAAAGTAATTTTTATGCCCCCGCCATGAAATGGCCGGGGCATATTATTTAGTGTTACCCTGTTCCTTCATTCTGTCATCATTGACTTTCCGTTCATTATCTCAGCAACAGTTGCACACATTCAATTCAAATTTGACATATGGATACGTCATAAAAATATGCAGGTCAAGTTCGAATTTGGTCATGGTCTGATGATTTTTGACAGAGATATCCCTCTTGAACTGAGACGGCTTGATTGGTTGTATGTTAATTGTTTTATGTCCCATTCAAGAATTTTTCACTCATATAGAGACATCACTATATACCGGTGAAGGGCTTCATATTTAGATCTTTCCTCGGCACTCAGGGCCATTGAGCAGTGAGGGATCTTTATTGTGCCAAAGCCTGTCGTGACACTGGACCTCGGTTTTTAAGGTCTCATCCGAAGGACCCACAACTTTCACTTCAACGTGGCGAGCCATTGGCGAAGGAACAGTTGCTACCTATTTCTAATGACTTCGGTCAGTTGCGGCAGAGATTTGAACTCACAACCTTCCGATCACGATTGAATTGAGAAAAAAAGAAGAAATTTTCAGTTTCCGCTCTCTAACTTTTGTAGAAATGTATGTATAAGATTGAAATTACATATGCAGATATTTTACCAGAAGTTGAATTTGGTCATGATCGGATGATTTTTGACAGTGTAATCCCTCTTGAATTTAAAAGAAAAAAAAAGAAATTTTCAGTTTCCACTCTCTAACTTTTGTAGGGATGTATGTATAAGGTTGAAATTGCATATGCAGGTATTTTACCAGAAAATACAGGTCATGTTCGAATTGTGTCATGGTCCGATGATTTTTGACAGAGTTATCCCTCTTAAACTAACAAAAAAATAAGAAATTTTCAGTTTCCACTCTCCAACTTTTGTAGGGATGTATAAGGTTGAAATTGCATATGCAGGTATTTTTGACAGAGTTATCCCTCTTGAAGTTAGAAAAAATAATACATTTTCAGTTTCTGCTGTTAACTTAGGTAGGGATGTATGTACATGTATATGGTTGAAATTGCATATGCAGGTATTTTACCAGAAAATACTTTGGTCGTGGTCCAATGATTTTTGACAGAGTTATCTCTCCTGAACTTAGAAAAAAAAGAAATTTTTAGTTTTCCGCTCTATAACTTTTGTAGAAATGTATGTATAAGGTTGAAATTGCGTATACAGATATTTTACCAGAAAATACAGGTCAAGTTCGAATTTGGTCATGGTACAATGATTTTTGACAGTTATCCCCATTGAACTTGGAAAAGATTTAAAAATTCACAATTTTTAATCATTACCTCGGCTAAAAATGTGCAATTTACAATTTGCAGTTTCTATTTAATTTCTCTAAGTAATAAATGCACATTTTGTGCATGGCATTTGAAATTTTAGCTGCTGGCAGGGGCATTCGTGGCGTTATGACAAATCTAGTTTAAAGATTAGTCATAAATCTCTTTTTTCTGCATTCACACACCAGTTGCCCAGCGCCTCTATGTTGACATAAACCAAGTAATATTTGATAGATGATATCACCAAAAGCAAATAAGTTTTCAACTTGTATAATTTTTCTATGGGGGTATCTGTTCATCAGCATAAACTTTTCCCCTACCATAACTTTTGATTGAATGGAGCTATAGCTTTCATATATCATGCGTATCCCTTGAAACAAGATGCAAGTCTATCATTAGGTACCAACACATTTGAACTCTTGACCTTGGAGTTTGACCCACGTTTGCAAAATTTTACCAAACCTGAACCTTGGCTGTAACTTTAGAATGGTTGGTGCTATGGCTCTCAAACTTCACATGTATATTCCTTGTGACAAGTTCTTTCTTTGGGTACCCACTTTTTAAAAAACTTTAACCTTAAACTTAACTTTTGAATGGTTGCATGAAGCTAAGGCTTTCATATTACACATATGTGTATTCCATTAGACAAGACCTGCTGGGTACCACCAATTGGCATTTGGCCTACTTTTGAAAACCTTAATTGGCAATTACTTTTGAACGGTGCTGGGCTTTCATATTTCACAAGTGCATTTTTTGTGGCAAGACCTTCCCTTGGGTACCAACAATTTCGATCCTTTGACCTTGGAGTTTGACCTACTTTTTAAAAACAAACTTTAACCTAAAATTGGTCACAACTTTTGAATGGTTAGTGGTAGGTCTTTCATATTTCATAGGTGTATTCCTTGTGACAAAACCTTCCCTTGGGTACCAACAATTTGACCCTTGACCTACTTTTGAAAAACTGTAACCTTGGCTATAACTTTTGGACAGTTGGTCCTAGGGCCTTCATATTTCACAAGTGTATATCTGGTGACAAGACATTCCCTTATGCCAATGGTTTTGACATAGACTTTGTGGAGTTTGACCTACTTTTGAAAAACTTAACTTTTGACACACTTTTGGATGGTTGGTGCTAGGGCTTTTATATTTCACAAGTGTATTTCTGGTGAGAAGACCTTCCCTTGGGCACCATTAATTTTGACCTTGACCATTGAGATTAACCTACTTTTGAAAAACTTTAAGTTTGGACAGAGCTTTTAAAAGATGGTGCTAGGGCTTTCGAATTTCGTAGGTGTACTCCTTGGGACAAGGCCTTTCTTTGCGTACCAACATTTTTTATCTGTTGACCTTGGAGTTTGACTTGCATTTGAGAAACTTTATCCATCACCATGACCTGCCATATAGGAGCGTTTCAAACACATCTTTTTTGAGAGAGAGATGAGCCATCTTACTATCTCAAATAAATCCTGAACCCTATTTTGAATAAAACATGAAGGAAAATTCTCTACGAGATTTTATATAACCAGGTATATAAAGTTGTTAAATCTAATTAAATTTCTAAGGCATTGCAAGTTTAACTACTGGTACTTAGTCCTCTGTTTTTGGTGGACCAGACTTCAAGCTGAACACTACTTGTAAAAGGCATTGTCCGCCATATTTCTGGTTCATAGCCACTATCCCGACAACCCCTATAATAAGCTGCAGAGTGCAGACCTCTGAACAGTCAAGTATTTCACTGTAGAGGTCTCATGAGTGTAGATGTACATCTTACATTGCTATGTTACCTGTCAAGATGAAATTTACGCATTTTTTCCGAGCCAGAAGAAAAGTTACATCAAATATACAAGTCAATACATTATTTACAAACAGGAAATGCACATAAAAACAAGGAATAAGTGCATAAAATCTTCTAAGATCACGAAAGAAATACTACACGTCGGCCACCAAGTTTCGAGTGTGCAATCTGGTGTAACAAAATCGAAGGGTTTATATACCTGTGTGACGGTGTCTATTTATGAGTAGTGTTCAGCTTTAAACTATAGACCAGTCCAGTAAGTTGCTCCCATGCCTTCAATAAATTCTAACAATGGCAAAATTTCATTACCTTTAATTAGAGATACCGTGACAATATTCAGGTTGCACAACATCTCCACTGTACATACATGACAAGTATTGTAAAGATGATATATCTAGTGAGATTTCACTGACACATACTCAAGAGTGGATAATTTAACATCACCTTGTTGTAACCAAGTATGGTGGTGTCCCTAATCTATGCATTGATACAAATGGAGATCATCCAAAATGCAGACTTCACAATTAACAGACTAGTGAATATTTCAGCACTATGCCTTCAGTGCCAAACTGAACTTCTAAACCATTCACAAAGCACCAAATAATCAGACATTCTTAAAATACAAAATCTCTTTTCTTTCAAACTATCCCATAAACTCAAATTTTCACAGCAGTTTTTTTTTAAACAAAAGCAGAGATTTTATGGGCTTATGTATATACTACTTCAACAGATGTATATAAGCAATTTTTCATTTATCCTCAAATATTCTGAAAGCCATTTTTTGGTAGAGTATGGACAGATTATTTAACATTTAAAAGTTAGAATATGCTGAGGTTTCCCTCCTTTTAAATTGACAAAACCTAGTCTATGTATATATAGAAAAAAAAATAAGAAACAACTCTAAGACCAACAGAGCACAAATAAAATTTAAGCAAAAATCTGTTCCATTCTAGATTTCTGCTGAAATAATAAAATATTCAATGAATAACAATGTAAAAATACTTGATAACACATCTATGTAGTCAACAACATCATACTCTTATAGAAATTATTCTCACCCAGGTACTATGAGCAAAACATCAACCAACCAACCAACCCCCCCCCCCCCCCCCTTTATGGAACTTTGTAATTTCCTTTTGAAAATTTAAACTTTTAAATTCAGTTTCTAGATGTGATGGGAAGTGAAAAGAGAACCCACTCCCCATAAACAACTTCACTATCTATCTGTATCCAAAAAGTGTTTATCTATATCCAAAAAATCTCTACCTGTATCCAATAGTATCCAACTAATGTTTATCTATATCAAAAAAATATCAATCTGTATCCAAACAATACTGAAGACAAGTGCCCACACCAGGAAAAGGTTGTATTCTGTTCAAAATGATATCAGAAAAGATAGTGTGATACAAAGTAATATTTTAAGCACTAAATGTTGACTGAATTATGGAATGTTTAACATACCTTTTCCACATACAAACACAATTTTTTACTATGAGAAATCACACAATCTGTACACAATAATTGAACAAAAACACCAATAAGTAATGATGTGGAACTTGTGTCATGATTTTGTGAACAATTTTTCACCTTAAGAAAACAAATTAATTAGAGATGAATTCAGTGGTGGCTTCCTGGTGACTTAGTATATAATAAAGATTTAGGCGGTAAGGTGAACCAGTCACTCAACAACTACTACTTCCTCAGCATCGAGTTTTGCTTTCTTGCTTGCTGATTTATCACTTTCATTACTCTTTCTTTTCTTTGTAGAGTCGGCATCATCACGTTTCCGTCTACTTTGAATTTCATCCCAGATCTCTGATTCAAGTTTGGTGAAAATTTCTCGTTGTTTTTCCAAGTCCATTTTAGCCTTTCGTTCTTTACCCATCGCAACTTCAATTTCTTTCTCAGTCAGTCGTTTAATTTTCACTGAACACCTTTTTACATGTGTACGAATGTGTTTATTGTAGAATGCCTGTTTAAGGTTCTTTAGACCACAGACAGGACATTTGCGACCTGCTGATTTACAGACATGCTTGGCTAGATCTGCTGCTCTCGAGACCACCATTCCACATCCTGAGCACGTAGCATGGTCTCGGAGACAATGAAGAGTCAACTGAGTGTTGTCTGGAAATTGTTTTGAACAGAAAACACAGAAGTTATTTCGAGCGCCTTGAGGTTTGATGGGTTGAGCACTATTTGAAGACACTGCAGTGGGAGCACCTTTAATGACGATGCCATGTGCTGTTGCCATGTGCATTTCCAGATCTTTTCTAGACCTTGTTTGAATTGCACAAAACATGCATCTTCTGAGAATCATACACTCATTTGTGGTCAGGTGATGAACAGTTTGCAAGTGAGAATACAGATTCTCTGGCTGCTGAAAGCAAATCCAGCATCTGATCTCTGTTCTAGGTGCATGGATAACAGTATCAAAATGTCTGGAGCTTTGTCTGTGTTTTGCAAGTCCCATGGCAGTCCAGAAAGGTGCTTGGCACACATTACATCTAAACTGTGGACTGTTCTTTTGGAAGAGTACAGCAGGAAGATCCACTTTGTGGGCATAGAAGAAGTGGATTTGTAGGGACATTCGGTCTTTGACATAGCCCCCACAAATTTCACACACTTCAAATCCTGCTTGTTGTCCAGGTAGAACACTAGGCTTGGCTACCACTGGTCTGTTAACACCCTGCTGTTGTTTTAGCATTGCTCCGACGGTCTGAGGCGGTTGCTTGGTTACTGTGCTTGTACCCATGGATACCAACATGGGATTTGTCACAGGTCTTACTGCTCTTGTCAAATTGAGTTGACTTATTTGGGCTTGACTGAGAGGTATCATGTAGGGAACCTGAGCATTACTGGGTCCCTGTTGTAACATTATGGGGGCTGATGGTTTTGTCATGACTATTTTTGGCCTGATCAGTGGGGGTTTAATCTGTTGTTTGATAACTTGCGGCACAGGTGCTGGATTGGCTCGTGCTTTTTTGGCTTCAATTTGGGACTTGTACATTACGTTCTTTAAGCAGTAATTAATATCTGTGTAATTAGGATGGAGATTTTGGTTAAGTTTGAACTGTTTATCACATTTAAATCTATGTCGAGTCAAATTGTTCTTCACCTTTGCTTCAAAATAGCACAAATGACACTTGAATGGATCTGGTTTGTCATATATCCTGGCTTTTACAGAGTGTTTTTTCTCCATATGTTCAGCAAAAGCCTCAGGAGATGCAAAAGTGCTGAAATCACAAGCATCTTGTGGACAGTGTAGGACCCCAAAGGGATCTAATGGGGGGCTCATATGTGGGTGCTCTTTGTGAAATGCCATCACATTTTTTGATTCAGAGACAAAATTACAACCAGCACACTTCTCAGTTTGTAATTCTAAATGCTTGTATTTCTCCTTTAATTCTTTCACTACTTTTTTCATTCTTTCCAAGTTTTCCTTTTCCTTGTCTCCCAGTTTGCCTTGGTCAGACTTTCTTCCTTGTACTTCAACAATCTGGCTGTAAGCAGACTGCTTCACAATATCACCTCCTAGATCTTGAAGAAACTTTGTCATGGAACTAATATCACTTTTAACTGGACAATTGCCATTCCAGAAAGTGTTATCAAACTTCTTCTGTGAGGCTTCATACTGAACTAAGGCCAACAATTCCCAGCTGGACTGAGGGATGAGATCATCAGGGTGAATACTTGCCTCTGGCTGCTTTGTAACACCTGCTGGGTGGGTATTTGCAATGGCTTTGTTGAGCAGACTTGTATAAGGCCCTGGGCCTTTGGAAAAAGATGTGGAGGAACCACTCGTCACTGGGACTTGGATAATTTGTTTGCGACCATCAAGACACTGAATTACATGCTGAATATATCTCTGGCCATTCGGTGCAACAGTGATCATGCCCGGTTTAAATGGCATTACAGGAGGCTTATTCTGGACTGGAGGCAATGGCTTGTCATCAGAGAGGTCTACAATCACTACATCATCTTTGACTGTACTTGTCACCTTGGGAATTTGCTGCACAGGTTCTGGCTTTACGCTGCTCCTTTTGTCTTTTGACACATCTTCATCTCTATCACAATCTTCATTGATGGTTATTAAAATGTCTGATCCATCAATATCCTTCACTTTATCCACAGCCTCATTACTTTTCTCCTCTACAGTTGAGCTGTCCTCCGAGGCTGCATTGTTATTCTGACTTTTATCAGTTTTATTTTCTATAACCTCATTTGTATCAAGTTCAGTTTTTTCAGAATTGTCCTCTTTCACAGAACTTTCTGGCTGTTTCACCACAGTGTCATCTTCCATCTGAATTTCTTTCTCTTCCTTTTCTCTTTTTTCTTTCTCTTCCTTTTTGCCATCACCTTCTTCACTAATTTTTTCTACAGACTTCACTTTTTCTTCAACGTCAGCATTTTGATCCTTACTTCCCGGCTCTTCCTCACCAGCAGAAGCTAAAAATTCTGGGACAGGATCACTGACATTACTCTCTATAAAGCTTGAGTTATCTTCTGACACACTGATGACTGAATCATTGAGTTCCATCTTATCTTCTGACACACTGATGACTGAATCATCGAGTTCCACCTTATCTTCAGACACACTGATGACTGAATCATCGAGTTCCACCTTATCTTCTGACACACTGATGACTGAATCATCGAGTTCCACCTTATCTTCAGACACACTGATGACTGAATCATTGAGTTCCACCTTATCTTCAGACACACTGATGACTGAATCATTGAGTTCCACCTTATCTTCAGACACACTGTTGACTGAATCATTGAGTTCCACCTGGTCTGATCGTGACAGAGAAGTACCTACATCAGAACTATCTTTACTGTCAGAGAACAGAAGGTACTTTTCTGTCTCAACATCCAGCTGGGTTGGTAGTTTGGCGAGTTCCCTGTCTTCTTCTACAGAAATATTTTCCAAGTTTCTGGATTTCTCATTCACACTTGAAATGTTTTTCTCAATAGTCAAATTTAACCTTTCCTTTGTAAGTGATGAATCCTCGGGTCTTTTTTCCTCTGAATCACCAATATTTGTTTGATCACTTTCCAATCCCCTGCCAGTTTCATCTGTGTCACTGTTTTTATCCTCAGAAGAAGTAACTACATTGGATTCATCAATTGGCAGAAACTTCTCCTTTGACATAAACGAATCTAGACTGGACTCGTTCGATGACACTGTTTTATTCAGCAAGTTCTCCGATTTAATCACCATTGAATTGACAACACCAGAGCTTACATTGTCAACCTCATCCAAAGAAGAAGGATCTTCAATAGGTGCTTCATCGTCTTGATTCAAAGAAGAAGGATCTTCAATAGCTGCTTCAGTGTCTTGACCTGGAAATTAAATAAAATATCTTTTATTGACACTGACTGCATTTCTAATAAGAATATTTCTTATAAAGTAAATTGAAGTTCGTTATACATTGGACATGGAATTCATCCTTTGTCTATGGTAATCAAGAGGTTAACATGCCTTGGGGGCCATCTGAATACCACAAGTTTCTTAAAATACGACCATTTTTGCTCCACCTTGGACTAAAATTCGGCACTTACAACTTGAATTGCTTGGAAATAACTGTATTTTAAAAATATGAAAATTGTTTTTATTATGAACCACAACCCACACTATCATTTACCTTGATCTCAAGGAATTAAAAAAAAACAAAGTGCCCTTCCACAGCATGATACGCCCGTCAAATATTGTTCAATTATCACAAACAGTTTAGAGTGCAAGAAAATCAAGTCAACCTTGATACAAGGATTTCCAAGATATTTCCACTCCTTATAATATTTGTTTATACCTTTCCTGTGGTGTAGGCATGAATTATAACAAATATTACATTATCGATCCTCAACTGGTTGTGTTAGAGCTTGACAAATGCCCATCTGCAGCCCTCACCCCCACCCCCCACCCCACACACACATTGACAGTCATACACATCTTTCATATTTGTGAGACATGATGCTCTGAAATTTGTTTGTTGATATTTTCAAACAATTAAATAAAAATATCATATTAAACAATATCAATTAAGTCTTAACAACTTAATCTATACCAAATTAATTTTGAAATAAAAGACTGGCCATCAAATGACATATGCTATAAACTGACCAGCAGTTTTTCTGTCTAATTCCCAAAGGATACAGATAAGAGCTGCTTGATCAGAGATGCTCTAAAAGAAATGATTGAGACAGCTAGCCTACCTACACTGAACTCATTAATTAATCTTTAACTGAATGCATGTCCACTCATTACTCCAAGGGATGAATGGATCTGTGCTATCTGCTTTGTAGTGCAATTAAAATGCATATTTATGTCATTCTGAAATTAAATTTGAAAACAAAGATTTTTTTTTTCAATTTGTTACAAAGATTTATCAAGAAATTTTAGAAAAAGAAATTGTAATCTTGAAGCAACATTTTTAATAAGGTTACTGCTCGACTCTAAGATTTGTAGGGACTATCTACCATAATTAAAACTTTTTTTTTTTAAATACTTGATTTTTTTTGTTTAGAATCAATGTCAGGCTGGTTTTAAGCTGCAATTCATATGGACATCGGGCATGCTAATTCCAATATCCCCCCCCCCCCCCCACCCAGTATAATTAGCTTAAATTAATTAGTTTATTATACAATATCAAATTAGTTTATTATACAATATCAAATTAGTTTTAATTACTTTTCACGACAAAATCATTTTAAAAGTTAGGCTAGTCCACAAAAACTATTTAATCCAACATGGCTGATTCCTCTGCCCAATTCCCAAGAGATAAAGAGATATAGATAACACCTGCTTGATCAGAGATGCTCTACCAGTTAGGTCCTCACACTAAACTCATTAATTTCTCTTTAATTTGACATGCAATTTTCTGTTATCAAAATTCTCCTAGACCAGTGCTTGATAATTACACCCATGAGAGAGGTGGAATTTCTCTTGTAACATTTGTTATAGATTGCTGTAAAGTATATAAGGAAAAAAATAAGTATTTTCTTGATTTTAACATTTTTTTAATAAGGATACTGCAACACTTTTACATTTTTTGGGATTGTGTAAATTCATAGTAAAAAGACAGTTTTTTTTTAAATTTCACTTAAATTAAAGGTCACAGTAACCTTGAAATAGGTCATGACACACCTTCTACCTAAGATGCATAAACTGGCCAAGTTTGATGATTCTAAGTCTAATAGTTTTCTAGTTGAGCCGGACAGGATTTTTCCATATTTGGCCATAGCATCTTAATTAAAGGTCAGAACGACCTACTTTTAGTGCTCGACACACCTTCTACCCAAGAAGTATCAGCTGACAAAGTTTGATAATCCTAGGCCTCATAGTATTAAAGTTATGAGCCAGACACGAGAAAATCTAACAGACAGACAGACGGACATGAACGCCATAACATAATACGTCCCGTCTAAAGACAGGCGTATAAAAAAAAGAAAGAAAATTTTAATTTCAACAAGATACCCAAGGGCTTTAATGGTCACCTGAGTATAATACAACCCTGTAAAGGATGGTATGGTAAATAATTATATAATAAAATGTAACTGCAGCTCAAAAACAAAGTACTTTTAATATATAAAAAATTCTCATATTATTCTTTCACTCAATTTACCTATCATAAGTGAATAACAGTGCCTTATCTTCCCATCAATCTGTCACACTCACCATGGGCCACATGTATTGATTTTTGAAAGAGTTTTTCCCTATATTCCCATGTGAAATTTAAATCCCCCTTTGCTCATCAAAGGATACATGATTTGGACAAACTTGAATCTGCATTACTTGAGGATGCTTGCATATTATAAATATCCCCCTTTGCTCATCTAATGATCAATGATTTGAACAAACTTGAATCTGCATCACTTGAGGATGCTTGCATATTATTGATATTAATATAACTAATCATGTAACCCCTCTCTTGCCCCTGGATAACATTGATCAGAAAAGTTCATGACATTCTTATTCAGCTGAGCTTAAACTTGTTGCAATGTCAACCCTGATTTAGAGAAAAGGCTGATATGTTCTTAAGTTTATAAACCAGCGTTTTTTCCCCTTATATAACTGGTACCGATAAACGGTACCATTCCCAATGCCAAAAAACATTAATTTTTCCCAATTTTGAGACTTAAAATTCCCAATTCAACGGCCAAGCAGCAGAGTACGGTGACATCGTATTTCTTTTTATATGAAACATTGTACAAGTTGACTAATTGTTTCACTTCTGCTTAAATCAAAAGTAGAGCTTAGTCGTAATATGGCGGTACCTGTGGTGTAGACAGCATAGTATCTTACATTTTGACAAATTGAAAGCATGAAAATGCGAAAACAATGGACATTGTAATGAAAAACAATATAAATACTTGTTGTTTATGCTTTTAAACACGGAGTAATAGGTAATGAGGTTGGAATAGACGCAAAATATATTTCATTTGTTTTAATGACAGAAAATTTTCCTTTGTTCTACTTCGATGCTATTTTTCCCAATTGAACCAGTACCTGACCCTTTCCCAATGGGTAGAAAAAATCGCTGTGAACATCATACAACCACTACATTTATTATACAGAAATGGATAGCAATGAGATACCCATGAAACTTGTCAATGAGTTATATAAAAAATTCTGAAATATGAACTTTTGATCTGTGCCTTATTTGAAATTATGAAAAATGAACTGAAAACCCCCTTCTGATTGCCTTTACCTTCTTGTGTTTCTTCCTGAGTGAGTTTATAGTTGTTTACTGAAGGTTTTATACAGAATGGATCATCAGCATCATCTTCCAAATCACCTACAAAAACAAGAACAAATTCAATAGCTGTTGTTTTTTTTTTTCTTTTCTATTAATTCTTATTATTAAAAAGTTACTACACTGCTGAAAAAGAAGCCTATGGGCTTTGATGGACACCTGAGTATCATAAGTTTTGCATGAAGCTTGTTTCCTAGGTGCTTAGGAAAAAGGAGGAATTTTTTTTTCAAAAGCCATCATCAAAAAAAAAATTTGTTTGATGTACTCTGACCCACATTTTTTCAAAGTGAGTAGTAGGTATTTTTTTTTAAGTTTATTTACAGTATCTATTGATAATTGTCATAAAAATAAGAAACTTTTAAATTTATTGATATTTTCCTTATACACAGGACCGCTACAGTACCTGGCCATAAGTGAGTCACAATTTTGTTTTTTTTACTTCTGCAAATCACCAAATTTTCATGACACCCTATATTTGCGAGATTTTAAAGATGTAAGTGTCATATACAAAATAACTAGAACTGTCCAAAATGGACAAATTCCCCCTCTGGGTGTTTCAGAGAAAGTGCCAATTCACTAATACTAGTATTTGATTTGATTTAAAAAGTGTTCACAATTTCTTTAAACAGTGAAAATTTACCGGTAATTGCTTAATATATTTTTTGATGAAAGAAACTATGGTGCAGCCTAATAAAACATCAATACTAATAACAACACTGGGTTTTTTTATTACATTAAAAAATATATAACAATTTTTCAAGTATTTCCCTATTGGAAAGTATGGCTGCATTATTTATCCATTTTTTCTACAGTGACTATAGGTCAAGATCATGACACACCCTCATGTCATAAGCAATCTTTTGTGTGGAAACTCCCAACATCCCAACATTATTCTCCGTAAGAATGATACTGAAATGAATTATGAACATTTTCTGTCACTGACCTTAAAATTGCCCAAATGACCTTGAATCAAGGTCATGACACACCCTCAGGTCATAAGCAATCTTTGTGTAAAATGGGGAACTCACCAAGTTTACCTATAAGAGATAAGGACCGGACACAAATTTTGAACCTTTTCTTTCAGTGACCTTGAACTTGCCCAAATGACCTTGGGTCAAGATTATGACACATCCTCAGGTAATAAGCAATCTTTGTGTAAAATGGGAACTCACCAAGTTTATCCATAAGAAAGATATGGACTGGACACAAATTTTGAAATTTTTCTTTCAGTGACCTGGAACTTGCACAAATGACCTTGGGTCAATGTCATGATACACCCTCAGGTCATAAGTAATCTTTGTGTGAAGTAGTAGATTCTAATGTTTCTCTGTAAGAAAGATATGGACTGGACACGTTTGCACAGACAGACAGACGGACTGAGACAGGGAAGGACAGACACACAGACAAGGTGATTTCTATATACCCCCCGACTTGGTTTGTGGGGGGTATAAAAAATTGGCATCTCATATTTGTTAAAGATAAACATGACTCATAAAAGGAAGACCTTTATCCTTATCCTTGTCCGCCATATTTCCCTCCAACCACATTTTAGTGAGCCCCTATGTAAGCCCGACTTTTTCGGGGTTCTAAGTATTACACTGTACAGATCTCATCTGAGTAGATGTGTCTACAATATTTTCAAGAGGACAAGCACCTTATAAGCATACTACCTTCCTACAAACAGTCTTCTAAAGCTCTTAAAGATCCTTTGAGTAAAGAAGATCTTCAAAGGTGTACTGCATTTTCAAAATGTAGTCTAACTTAGCCTTACCCTTGCACCTTAACCCCTAAAGGACATGAATATCACAACTCTAGTAGACAGACTGCAGCTGGCTAATTGTATTCGGCGCGTCGGCGCGCTCGCGCAACAGATTTTGTTTATAAAATAAATTATCGCTTATACAATATTGTTAGCATCGGGCTCGATATCATAAATAATCAAAGTACTTAGAAGTACAGAGAGCCGGTCTCATTTACAGAGAAGCGAACAAGTCCGTTTTACATGAAACATACATTGTAATTACAGATGAATAACAACAAGACACTGGAAGAATATGTAACACAAAAATATATTTATGGCATATAGTATAAATAAAAAATGTTTAAAAAATAAAATAAAATAAAATGCAGTTTGAATTTACATTGATGCAGCAAGGTCAAATATACACAGACGGGTCCTCAGCGGGGAGTTTTGCATAAAGGTGTGCATCGGGTCACATGCTCCCCGCATTAGCCTGGAAACACAACCTTTATCTATAGAATATGAAGCTGGCAGACTTGATGAAATTACCTATCGCATCTTTTAAACAAATAATTTATTGAAGAAAAGGGGAGAAAGTATATTATCAATTTTTTTTTTTTTAAGAGAATTTCTTAGTTAAATTAAATTTGTTTAATTAAGTGTTTGTATTGCTTCAAAGGTGGTTGAGCATACGTACTATATTCTTACTCATATTTAATTTGGCGGTGAGGAAGCGGTATTTCCGGTTGAACACCGTAACATAAACCGGCTATTGCTCTACGAGCAATGCGCTCGGCTAAAAAGAAAGTTTTATAGATGGAATTTTGTTTTTGAAGCTTCAACATCACTTGTTTGCACAGGGTCCGTTCGCCTTATTTATATTGCAGAAATTGAATAATTAACCAATGGATTTTTTAAATAAATTATATGTACATTGGTACATAAATTGCACACGGGAGACAACAGACGAATGCATGTGGTCAACTATACCGGTAATTTATACCTGTACTAATCAAAGACCCAGCAGACCAACAGAAATTAACATCTCAGTCCTTTAATTGAACATAACGCAGATTGTATGATCCCCTAAATTACAGTGACATTATTAAGTATAATTAAGTATAATTAAATCAATTAAGCATGTAAAGAGCATAAATATCAAATTTGAATTACTTCATTAAGATTACGGTTGATAAAAAATAAATACTGTAGCAACATTTGAAAAAAACACCAAGTAAAATATTTAATAAAATTAATAATAAATGTTGATATTTACTATATACTGTATATATAATAGGGCGAACGAGATATAGGGCGAACAAGAATAATGGCGAACGGACCCTGCGCGAACGGACTCATGCGAACAGGTAGATAGGGCGAACGAACCTGATACCATTATTTAACCGCCTGTTGTTTCTTTTATTCATGGCCACTAATTAATACACTAGTTTTATCAATTTTCATTGGCATAAATTTTTGTGCAATCAGCGAATGATTCAGTATTTCGTAAACACAGGTCATCATAAACCTTTTTGATATGCTTCTTACTTTAATGACCATCAAATTCTATTTTAATTTTCACTCTGCAAAACAAACAAAAAAAAAAAAACAAAACAAAAAAACAAAAAAAAAAAAAACAAAACAAAAACAAAAACAAAACAAAAATTAATGTTTAAGGAATGTTGATGTATTTTATATGATTGGATTTGTAATGAGATAAGTGGTTGAGAAGACTACAATATGGGGAGGCAGGACTTTATGTATCTGTATCTAAAGTTACTCCCCCTGCTCAAATAAAGAACAAGCTAATTTTTAGTAGTAGTAATATTTTAATACGTAACAAGGAATATTTGTCAAACACTGATACCAATGTTTTGCAGCTTATTGCCATGATAATCAAGTCTCTAAAAAGGGGGTTAAACTCTAGAGTCTAGGGTCATTACGTAATACCGGTAAATTTTTGTTATACATAAAGAAAATTTATAAAAACCAAAGCACTAAATATTTTTAAATGCTATACATGTATATAGTTAATGTCTAGGGTCATTACGTAATACCGGTAAATTTTTGTTATACATAAAGAAAATTTATAAAAACCAAAGCACTAAATATTTTTAAATGCTATACATGTATATAGTTAATGTTTGGAGAGAGAGAGAGAGAGAAATCGAAAGTATAGGCCAACTCAAAAAATTGGGGTATATTTCGGATTACTCTAGCACAAATTGTGGTAAGGCATGCATGGATCAAATGGGATCCGGATCCCTGGAAAATTCAAATTTATTTGAACTGACATAGTAAAATTACTAAAGCTTTGCCTTGGACCTCTTCCCCTTGCGATTTGAGCCAACACCTCCTAGGGAAAAATTTCTGGATCCACCCAACAAAAAAATACAATCGGGCTCGGGCTGTCGACTTGAATATAACCGATAATGCTTAAATCATAAAGAAAATCGATGTCATTTGAGTGTTTTAATGCAGGGAGAAAATACTTTTGTGATATCGGGTTGAGATGGACGCGCTGGCGCGCCGACGCGCCGAATACAATTAGCCCTGCAGCTCATCAAAACCATGCAAAAAGTTTGCTGTTACATGTCAAGGAGTAAAGAAAGATTCTCAAAGGTATAACATTTTTTCAAGGTATGACTAACTTAGTTAACCTAAGCACGGTGTCTGAACATTTGGCTCCTTGGGGATGTAGTTAAATTTTGGTGGTGGACTAATCGTTCATTATACCCATGCATAGTTTTCTTCTAAGATTTCCAGAAATATGAAGACTGCAGGAATTCTGATGTTTTTTGGCCCCATCCCTCAGGTTCCAGAAAAAATGGGACCACAAAATTCATAATTTTTTCCACTTTATCCATAGATGCTACTTACCAAAACAATTGAAAATGGATTAAAAAAGATAGCAATAGGTCAACTGAGTCACTCAGATGACCTAAAAAAAAAAACTTGCTGTATGTATGTTAAAGGGTACCTGCAGTGGCTCTTTATTTTTAAATATGTTGAAGATCATGCTAAAATAAAACTAAAGAAAAAAACCGCACTGAAATCTATGCACAACTAACGAAGCTATTGGGGAAAAACCCTATTTCACACCTGAGCGATTTTCTGAAACGCTCGGTTTTCGGGCCTTAGCCGCGGTGACGTCACAACATGTACCGGCCATTTTGAATGCATAGAATACGGTGGAAACACGATGAGGATTTTTTGTGTTTTTTCATTAATTTTTAGGGATTTTGTGAATATAAATTAACTATGACTATAGTATTAGTTCTTAGTTTTGTTTGAAATTAGTTTAGTGAATATTTTTTTCATTATTTCTTTGTGTGTGGTTATAATAATTAACGATACTTGGAATCGCCAAAAATCATCGATTCATATTTTCCAATAATTAGGAATCGGATTATGCCAATTATATCATCAATTTTTTTTCCTTCCGAATATATATTGACATTTTTTAAAATTCTATTTGTAAGCAATAATCACAAAAAGACAGTACACAAACGTACGTTAATAAAAGAAAACATTTCTAATTTAAATAAAAAATAGTAAGTACAAGGTTAGTGTATAGGTCCCTGGTTAGTACTTATATGATGTTTGCTGTTGTATTCTTTGAAAAGTGAAAGTATAGAATACATATTTTTCTATTATTTATATTGGGAAGTACATAGAATTAATATGAGAGAGTGAGTGAGAGATTCCCTTGTTTAACCCCCCTCCCCATATACATGTAATTGATTCAACAAATGTTATTTAATTTTATGTTCTTCGTTATATCTTCAATATGAGTAACATTTTTATTATTAAATTGGATTGTTCATTTTTAACGTCAGTTGAATTTATTAGTAACCCCCCCCCCCCCCCAACACACACACACATAATTTTTTGATTAAAACAAGTGTTTCTGTATTCATCTTTCTAACATATTAATCTGTCAAAGCCATTTTAAAATAAATTTATTGCTTATTCAACTTTTGTTTATTCGTGTTTCTTATTTTCCTACACGAGGGACCTGTAGCATGTTCGTCTCCGTGGTTACGTACGAAATCCACGTGTTTCACCTGTCAATCAATATCACTCGACGCAATCTTGAATGGTGCGATTTGAGACATTCATCGGCTCCTTTGTCGAATACATAGTGGGACATAAGTAAATAGCCGGAGGCACCGAACGTTTATCACACCTTTCCAAGTCATCGGTCTTGACCATAGCAAGTGTATTACTCAGGTAATCCCAAGTCCTACCCCACCACACGTGTAAATTAAACTGATTACAAAGAACTTGTTGAAAAATCCTATAGATTAAATATTTTACACTTTAATTAATTCAAACTGTTTAGCCTGTCAAATGGTGATTTGTATACAGTTTTAAAAAAATAAACAAAACACAAGTACATGTATATTCACCTAACTTTTTGTTCATATTTTACTGAATTATAATAGATTGTCTGTTGAATTAGTGATAATTAAAAAAAATGATTTTTTTTTCTCAGTTGACATGTTATTCTTCTAAATTCAACATACATTTAGAATTTAAATTATTCATAAAACCGCCAACGATCGGAATTACATATGAGTTTTGTTTCCGAATCTATTACAGATTTGATAAAGGGAGGGGGTCTTCTGTAATTAGGACCGTAGACTATTATTTGAAAAACCGGGTACTTTACAGTTCTGCACTTTGTATGCATATTTTTTTTTAACCTTAATGGCTCTTTTAAAAATTATATCAAAGATATCTGAAGACTACATAAGAAGGATATGATGAGAGAGAGAGAGAGAGAGATGAGAGGGGTTAAGATTTATTTAGCATTGCAGACACACTATTTGATGTAATGTAACGTGTTTTAAATTTTTATTTTGTAAATTAATTTTAATTAGTACAATGACAAAAAAAATTATAAGTACATTACCATAATTAGGAGTACGCGGGTATCATTATTTAACAATTAGTTTTAATTACTTGTATATTGAGAATGACCCGATTTTTGAAAATATATTTGGTTTTGACTTTGAAGGAAAATTGAATTGATAATATTGTTTCTGCTGATTGCTAAATGGTAACAACTGATTATCAAATTTAGACATAGAATAATTTTTATCTAAAGGAGAAAATTGTCAATTATCATTAAGCCGATAGTTATGAAGATCTTGTGGAAATAGTTAACAGCTTGATGAACGAACTGTTTTAGGACATTGAAAATATAGAATTGAAAATTCCTGTATTTTGGTTTTGATGATTTTTTTTCCAGTCATATTCAGTAGGCTGTAACAGGGAGATATACACAGGAACTTTAATTGTAGTATACACGACCCTGGCTGTAGGCTATTTTGAAATCTAAATTCCTCGTTAGAATCGGTTTCTGGTTCAGCCTAGTAAGGTCTGATGCAAAGCTCAATAATTATTCCCTCTGAATTTTTAAAACTTATAGACCACTGCCTCATATCAAAGCTAAAATCGTCGTTGTTTTCCAAGTTAATCTCATTGTCGTTAATACTGACCCGCTTATGCGGTACATGTTGTGACGTCACGCCAGTAGAGCCTCGTTATCGATCATTTCTATTTTCGCTTGATTGGATTTTCAAAACAGGTAAAAATAGGCACTTTTAAAGCGCGATAACTTCGTTATTTGTGCACAGATTTCGATGCGGTTTTTTTCTTTCGTATTATTTTATCGTGATCTTTATCATTTCAAAAAATAAAACGCTACTGCAGGTTATCTTTAATACACTAACAATCAATTGCTTACATGGTCAGATTCATTATAGAAGATAATAATACCGTTTTTGATAAAGGGGTTGTCTAGCTTGAGTTGGATGACTTTTCGTGTTGCTAGACTCTGCTGTAGGGAGGGACCCTTGGTCTCCTGCACTGGATCATGGTTAACATCTCCATTGGGAGTAAGAGCCTGCTGGAGGGAAGCATCTTTGAGATCCTTTGGGCCATAGTCAACTTCTCCATTGGTCCCATTTTCCTCCATCATCCTGCAAAGTTCAGTATCATAAATGATTATGCATCCATAAATTTTATAACCTTACTTTTTTTAGGCGAAACAAAACACAAACAACTTATCTAATACAGACAATGAATACTTGTACTGGCATCTGCGAAGTAAGTAGATATAGCTATATAAATTAACAGCAAGACAAGGCGTTAGCACATGATGACCCTGTGTGTTATATACATTGTCAAAAATTCACACTTTTCAGACCTGCAAGAATATGTTTTGACTGCACCCTCAGATCACCAATGACACAAGCATTGCAGACAGCTTTGGTTCCAGTAATTGAATTTTAATGAATGCATATATACAAGTGATATGCAAAAATGCAGATGTATAAGGCCTAAAAAAAATCTGTGTTCACATTAAACTGACCCCTAATTTTTGTGCCAACCCGATCGTTTTTTTCATATTGTAATATACAGAAATTGCATGTCTTTATGTTTAAGTTTTCCTTGAAATGTAATGGTCAATAAGATCACTTTTTAAAAGCAGTTTTAGGAGCTGTCAAACTGTAGATTGGGAAAAAAAAAATACTTTATCACGTTCAAAGATATTTTAAATTATATGCTATTTTATACGTTACTGAACTCTAAACAGATCTTGGTTTTCAGTGGGAAAAATTCACAACACGGTTAGTTAGGCACTTACCGTATATACTCGCTTATAAGTCGGTTGTACTTTTTGCAGTTATTCTGGAGTGATTTGCCACTGACCCACTTATAAGTCGGAACAACTTTTTGCCAGAATTGGTCGACAATTTCAAATTAATGCTCTGATGTTTTAACCTGGTTTCAATCAATATCTTTTAAAAAATGACGTCAATATTTAATTTTTGAATCATTAAAAAATAAGTAACGCACACTTAAGATTAAAATAAAACTATTAAATGTTATCAATACTTGTAATTTATGCACAATCTTAGAATATATAAATGATTTAATATACAAAAGACTTTGTTCAACGATAACCGGTCGTTTATAGATTGTTATCGTTGTTCAGAAAAATACCAATTTTTCCAGGACTCGCCTATAAGTCCGACACAGAGTTTGGAACCAAAATTTAACTCCCAAAAATCCGACTTATAGGCAAGTATATACAGTAATATGGAGTCATCTAAGGTTGAAATGGTAATCTGTAAATGGAGTCAGCGTCACCTCCCCTCATACAGATTTCCATTTCACACCCAGGAAGGTATATATAAGGTCCCAAACTAACCATATATCTAATAATCTTATCATTTAAATTTTCTTCTTCATTAGAATCAGTTTCAGTGGTGGATTTAAAGGGAGTGGCACCTGACCTGCCAACTCCCTAAAATCATCAAAGTCTCAATTTTTACTTAGAAGACTTCATTATATTTGCCCTGCATAATCTGTTAAGATAATGGTTAATTCAATTGTTGACAACTATATCATGATATATGCTGTAACGCATGACTGTATCGTGATATGTATCGTATCGTTAGGTAGCTTGCGATACTCAGGCCTAACAAGCATGTCATATATGGTTGTGTAGATAAATTATCTTAGAAGACAATGGTAATAAACAGTTTGTCAATACATTTCCTCTGAAAGTGTGTGTGTGTGTGTGTGTGTGGGGGGGGGGGGGGGGGGGGAGGGGGGAATAATCCATGTAATTTGGAGCTGGATACCTTGTGTTATAACTATACTATGGGTTAAAAAATTTAAAAAATTTATTACTGAAATAAGTGCCTGTGCTTTTTTTGTATCCAGATATAAGCACCAATATCAATTATTTCTGTTTTATTGTTGATAATCGTCTGGTAACAAAATGGGTTGCCATGGAAAAGATTTTACATCAGAGGTGAGAAAAATCATAGTTTATTTGAGAAAGATGTTACATCAGAGGTGAAAAAAATCATTGTAAGTTCATTTAAGAAAGGTTATTCTGGTTGCAAAATCTCAAAAATCACTGGAGTTAATCTGAGGACTGTAAATAAATTCATACAAGTGAAAGAAAGGGGAAACAAAGAAAACCTTCCAAGAACTGGCAGGCGGAGAAAAACTGACAATAGAGACGATCATTGTCTTTTTCAGATGGTCCAGAACAACAGAAGGCAGACCTTTTAAAAATCTCACAAATTAAGTTAACAACAATTCCATTGAAAACATTTCATCAAGGACTGTTAGAAGAAGATTATTTGAAAATAATTGTAAAAGACATGTTGTAACTAAGAAAATCACAATAAGGAGAGAAAACTGATCATGGCAAATCAGTTTTTGTAGAAAGAAATTGTGTTGTACAGTTGAAAATAACTGGTCTAAAGTAATTTTTAGAACTTTATGATACAAAAGTGGCCATTGGAGAGGACAAAAAATTGTTGTATGAAGAAAATCTAATGAACATTTAATGGGAGAGCAGGGATGGGGTAATGGTAATGTGTAATGGTAATTGATAGTAATTAATTACAAATTTCGATGTAATTGAAAGTAATGTGTAATTGGCCCAATTTTCAATTACATGTAATTGTAATTTAATTAATTACTTTTGAGAAAAGCATGTAATTCACAATTACTTTTCAATTACATTCAATTACACTGGTGTTTAATAAATGAGAAATAGCCCCTCCCCTTTTATCAAATCCCAAACACTCTATTCAAGAAAGGTTAACTAATTTTTAGGACAAAATGTTCTATAATATGTTTTAAAAATCATATTTTCTTTATTTAGTGAATTGCTGTTTCCTCTTTAAAATGCATTTTCTTCAAAACTTTTTAATATTATTTATCTCCTTGTTTATAAATATATTAAAATAAAATTAATAATTTCAATTAAGTTGTTTATGAATTAACACTTAAAATATCTAGTCCAATGGATTCTAATTCTTTGTTTGCCATACCTACAACTTGTGTAAGAAGTGATTAACAGGTGCTAATTAGTGCCCTAGGGTTATGTACATATTGACACTTAAATAGAGATTTTACACACATTTTGACCTTACCTATTGGTAGTTTTATACACATACATTGACTATGTCTTCCCACAAACCTTTTTTAAAATATATAATTTGGTGTTATAACACCATGGCAATTTTTCTATTTTAATAACAATTTGTGGGAAGACAGTATAGTTTAACACACAATATGTCAATACTATAACATCTTGAGATGTATAGCTTATTAGGATGATGAAAAAAAAGCAGAAAACAAGGCAAAACGCATCCATTGTTTTGCAAAAATATATATGAAAGCTTAAAAACGAACACATGAATTAATGGAAAACAGCATCCAGGTCCTGTAAAAGGACTGTGTCTGAGTTGAAAATTGGCTCTTTTTTCCCAAAATTTAGGTAACAATTCCCAACTGATGACCAAATTCAATTTTTTGATGCTGTTTATGTATAGAAATAACGTGTTTTGAAATTTTAATCATTTTTAAAGATATATATCATGTGTATATGGGGAACAAGTCCAATATTTAACTCTTTAATCAACAAATAAATATAAGTCAACAACATTTCCCAATTTTGCCACCTTTTCGATTAGCCACCTTTTCGATTAAAAATTCACAATTAGAAGGGTACAGGACCCTGTACCAAAACGGGTCAATTAAGCCCTGAAACTTGCTATATTAGTCAGTGTTTATTTATTCCTGTCACAAATGCCCAGTGTAAAGTATCTTCATTGTGGCAGAAAAATCTTTAAACCTGATAGATGTAGGTTATGGGACACAATGCTTTAAAATTTCATTAACTGAAACTATATGAATATAAATGAACGTTCATGTTATTGACTATTTATCATTGTTTATTTTTATATGTTTTTTCTTAATGTAATTTGTAATTTAATTAATTACATTTGCAAAGTAATTGTAATTTAATTAATTACATTTCAAAATCCTTGTAATGGTAATGGTAATTTAATTGAAGGTTTTGGGCAAGTAATTGTAATTTAATTAATTACTTTCCTATGTAATTGACCCCATCCCTGTGGGAGAGGGCACATGTTCTGGGGCTGTATCACCTATAATGGTGTCAGTGCAGTTACACTTGTTAATGGAAACATTAATTCCAATATCTATATTGAAACTTTAGATAGATATTGTGGCCAGTCGTAACAAAAAATGCTGGAAACGTTCCTTGGATATTTCAAGAAGATAATGCTCCTTGCCATGTATCAAGACTTCATTTCTGGAAAGCAGTATCAAGATGTCATTTCTGGAAAGCAGACAATAATATTCCCATTATACCTTGGTCTTCACAAAGCCCAGATATGAACATTATAGAAAATGTATGGAGTGTTCTGAAAATCTGCACCAGACACCACATAAATGAAATAAACAAGTCAGGTCTTGAAAGAGTAGTAACTGAAATCTTGGCATCTAGAGTTCTTGAAATCTTTTTTCCGCTGTCAGTCATATGGACTGACTGCAATGTGAAGTTTGTCAGTCCAGACAGATTTCTATCAGTCCAAAAAAAAAAAAACCAACAAAAAGATGAAAACTGTATTTGAATTTTATAATCAATACATTTTGCATCCTGCGTCAATACACACTGTACATTTCATGCCAATTTGATCGTCGTATAACAATCTTCATTGAATTCTCATGGGGGTTGATTTTCTTCGTAAGTTTTTAATCTAGTTCGATTTTCTCACCTGGCTTAGCGCCGTCAACAAACTTATTTTAACAGTTTATCAATCAAAGTTTAGCACTCATTGTTCATCGAAGAAGCCTTTATGAGAAACAGAAAACAGATTACGATCGGTCGGTTATAGGGAATTCATACGAAATTCAGGGGTTGAACTATACGGTAGCCCGATGCCCAGGGCTAGTCATTTTAAGTCTCGGGCTAGCTAATATAAATGTAATGATAGCCCATCCGACTAGCAGAATTGAAAAAAAAAAATTCTCGTCAGTTTACTTTTGCTTTTCTATGTATACTTGTTTCTTTCGACTGAGAACTAGTTAATTTGTTCCTGTCATCAGAGTGTTTTGAACTTTAACTTGTTATGTTTTAATTTTACATAAAAAAAAAATTGTTGGGCTAGTTAGTTTGAAGTTTGGGCTAGTATTTTTTAAATGATCAGTAAGGTTGCAACGATAAACCGTTTGACGGTATATCGCGGTATATTTTTCCACGGTTCAATTCACGATACGCTAAACCGATATCGCGGTTCGGTTCAATTGGTCCAGAATTATCCATTTTGTCCGTTTTATTTCCTTCTTAACTATTTCAAAATGGCTTCCGCGTAAAACATGAGGTCGCCGATAACGCATTTACGGCAGTTAAACTCATCTCCAGCATCTTACAGACCTCAGATTTAACACGGAGAGGGACTTAATGTGATTATAAGTTATAGATGTCAAGACAAATGATAAACCCTTTAGATCTAATCTTATTCTTTGGTAATACACGATATTCCATCACGTGTGTATTTTGATGAAAATTCGCTGTCTTGTTGACTAAAACGTATTAACACGAGAAATATGACAATTGGTTTTCTACATAAATAAATGAATGAATGTCTTCCTTTTTCATTCCAATTTAAAACGAAGATTATTAGGAAAGGTCCCTGTAGTTCCCTGTAAATGTTCATCATTGGTTTAAAATGAAAAACTCAAAGATCTATTTAACAATCCAATTCAAGTTAACAAAATTTTATTTTATTATAAAAAATATGAACATTTTGTATAACCCTGTCAAGTTTAAAAAAAATATGATGACAAACTTGAAAGACTTTTTAACCTTCTTATGTATCGTGATATGTATCGTATCGTATCGTGAACTGAATACCGTGATACATATTGTATCGTGAGGTTAGTGTATCGTTGCACCCCTACTGATCAGTGGCCCCTGTGCTAGTGGGTTTTTCAGGAAAATTTCAACCCCTGAAATTTAGTCGGATTTTTGCAAGTTGCTCTGTCAACATCTACCGGTCATTTGGACTGACACAGAACCTAAAGTAATCGGTCCTTGGGCCATCATTAAAAATATCTTTGTTTCCCCTAACCCGACCCTAAAATCTCAAGCTGGGTAGGTAGGTAGGTAAATTATTTTTTTTTCTGACAGCAGTTTTAAAAATACATTCTGAAAAATTGAATAATATCTTTATAAATAAGAAATAACAAAAAAAAAACGGTTTATAAATCGAATATCATACAAATGAAGCGTCGCACGTGTGGCGCAGTGGTTAGAGCGTCTGCTCTGGAGGCACGAAGTAAGGAGTTGATCCTTATGTCGCGGGTTCGAATCCCACTGTGGGACGTGGAGACCGGTCCTTCGGATGAGAGCGTATAAACCGAGGTCCCGTGTCGCAGTAGGTGCTGGCACGAAAAAGATCCCTCACTGCTCAAAGGCCGTAAGTGCCGAGTATAGAGACAAAATTTGCAGCTCTCCACCGGCAAGTGGTGGCGTCTCCATATGAGTGAAAAATTCTCAAGAGGGACGTTAAACAACATACAATCAATCATACAAATGAAGCAACATGTATGGTACATTAAATCACAGATATTATTCATTTGAACTTGTGAAATATCTCAGGCAAGCGAATATTTATTGAAATCGAATATTTACAAAAAGACAAGATTCGCAAATACTCATTAATCGGACATCCGAGTATATTTTTCAAACCTACCATCATCTTTGAGATCTTACACAGACAAAATGTCAAGGGCCTTGCGTGGCGCAGTGATTCCGGTGTTCCGTTTTGGAGTCACGATGTAATTCAGGAGTTAATTCTAAGTCACATGTCCCGACGTGGGACGTGGAGACTGGTCAGTCGAATGAGACCGTAAAAAACGGTTCAGTGTCGCAGTAAACATGTAGATATTGGCACGAAAAGATCCCTTACTGATGCTGAATATCAATGGCCATAATTATGTTCCGAGTAAAAATCTAAATGAGCCCTCCACCAGACAGGTGTTCAAATTCTGTCGCCTAAGCAATTTCTAAAGGTATTTTAAAGCAAAGAAACAACCTCTTTTCAAGGGCCTAACTAAAGAAAAATACACTGTACGTCTCAGAAGCCATACCATAAGCCAATTTTAAAGATTTCAACACTATTTGAAAAGAGTGTACATGTATAAACAATATTTAATCTAACCAAACCATATCTAAAATGATTAAAGTTTCATATACATGTACGTGTATCTTATGTTAGAGTCACAAAATTTACCCCATATATAAAAAAGGAATGAAGAAACAACATCTGGATTATATTTATCAAGATGAAATAACTAAACAATGACATATTTACAACTCCTTTGGTCCTATATAGTGAAAATAGGATCAAAAGGAACTGCTTATTAGATCGAATCGAATGAAATGCAGTTAAATTTATTGATATGCATACACAAGGTGAGCCCCCCATCTGCTCATGAGGCAGGCTTTGCCATGCTTACTACGTACGTTAATTTTAGAAGACACATTTGTAGATACCATCTTAACACTCCTTAGTCATGGTATATTTAATTCACGATATGTTTCAAGAGTGTAGGATTCTTATAAGTAAAAGATATATAATAAGATTGATAGGTCGCCGTTGTTTCATAACATGAACTAAACCTCTGTGACAACATGTTGTGGGCACCAAATGAGAGTAAAACAAAAGCCACCGTTCTGATAAAAAACGGATTTTGATGAAATTGTATTTTATAAAGTTTATAAACAATAAAAAAAAATATTTGAATAATCCTATTTAAAAAACGTTTCAGTCAGCACGATTTAAGTGGGTCGGTCGCGTTAGGGGAAACAAAGGTATTTTTTATTTTGGCCTTGGTTGTTTTTATTGGTCTTGCCGACAGGACCGAAAGATTTCAAGAACTCTGGCATCACTTCCTTCACATTACAGAAGAAGTCTGTATCAAAGTATTCCAAAGAGAATCACAGCCATAATGAAAACAAAAGGATATATAATGAAATACTAGTAATTTATAGTAAGTGTGTGTTGTAATTAACATTTAAAAGCGTCTCCCAGTTTGCCAGTTTGGGAACGACTACTTTACCGGTCCCCAGAAAAACGCGCTAAAATAGAGCGTCGCCATAGGCAACTTCAATATATATATGAGATTGCGTGAGCGATCAAAAATAAAATGTATGAGGTTTTTGGCCTTTTTGACCCCAAAATCATATTCTACGGTTAACAGTTTAGTTTAAAACTTCACTTTTTAATGAAGTTTTTAACCTCGTTCTCTGAAAAAAAATTAATAAATATTGTTTATTCATTGAAAAATCGACAAAAAATAATTGTCAACGAAGCACGTGCGGCGCATGCTTAGTGTTGTTTCTTTCATACTTAGCCATTTTTTTCATGTAAACAAACCAATTGAGATGCCATTGAAGCTGAATTAAGACCTTGCAAAAAATCGGAAGCAACTTTAATTTCATAATTCATCTAAAAGAATGAGTCACTGGCCCTTATATCTCGGATGGTATGCAAGGACTAACCCAAATCTCCCGGGCAGATGCTAGACTAACCCTAATCAGTCAAATAATGTGCGAGGACTAACCCTAATCTCTGGGATGGATGTGAAACTAACCCTAATCCGTTGAATACTTGTGCAAAGACTAACCCTAATCTCTCAGGTGGGTGTAAGACTAACCCTTACCAGTCGAGTAGTGACTGCAAACCTAATCTTTATCAGTTGAATGACATAAATCTTACGTCATAGTGCAACGAGCATGCAGATCTTGCGGATCTGGGGACCGGTAAAGTAAAGTCTACCCCTAGTTTGGAAACTAAATTATGCAAACTACTGTATTTTGCTATATGTGTCAATAAAATTACAATAGGGACTAAGTGGACACAGTTTAATTTTTTTTTTCATCTTGACAATTACAGTTTTTCATTAAAAAATGATTAACAAGTATAAAAATTAATTATATTTCGACAGGCAAATTCCATGATTACTTGTCCAAATGGACACGTAGAACTAGAGAATAAGTTAATGTTGAGCCCTGGTTGATTGCGAAAAAAAATCTTCACTCCATCACTGCAGGAATTACCCACTGCAGGATCCCCCGTTTTCCATTTCTTGTCAGTCTTTATTTCTTACATTTACAGAGCACCGGTTCTAACGTTTTTGTTAGTTCAATTATTTTATTATTTTTCTAAAATTAAAAAAAAAAACAAAATAAATAAGAACTAAGAAGAAGACCATACCGTCAGAAACATTTTATGCCAATATTGTTCTCACTTCCGGTAGATGATTCCTTCTTTCGATTTACTGACCCGTGCACTCTGAATTCTCAGTTCAATTCTGATTTACGTAATAATAGCCCCCAATATATTCATAAAATATTTAAACTCTTCAATTTTTCTTGCTTTTGATTGATATTACGTGTTAAATGTTTTTAGGATATTGACGAATGCTTACAGGGTTGGTTCACCATACTTTTACCGCCACAACACGAGAACCCTTCGATCCACCACTGATTTAAATCTCCTGCGTATTTTGTTTACATAGCAATGGGGTCAGCATTAATAGTCACCGATTAACCTTACCCACTCATAATTATTACGTTACCTCCAGTGACTTGTTAGATGAATGTACAGCTCACTCCTAAAATACGTTGTCCATTAACAATGAATCCTGTTTTAACAACATGGCCGACTTCAGGTCACGTGATAGTGTCCCCTTTTTCTGCAAACGTGCTGCTTGCCTACGTCATATCGGAAAAGGACATATCGTCCAATCAAATTTCAGTTGATGTTAAGGCCTTCAAGTCGAGGAAATATATGTAATGACGTCATTAAGTCACGTGACGACTCGTGAGAATAATTTGGAGACGCTTCTTATATACCGTCAGTGGACGTAAATGACGTCATTTTCACAAATATATGACGTTTTGCGACGTTTCTGGCTCATGCAGAACAGGGAAGGGTTTTGTGTTCAGATAGTTAACGTATACTAATCAGCAAAGTATCTGTTGATCCTTGGGGATGGGGTGAGGGTTGGGTGCTGTTCCAGCAAATTCTGTGACGTTATCGTATTTCTGTGGCTAGTCGATCAATGCAATTTTCTTAATTTTTTGCCAAAATGTCCACAAATTCTTCAAGGACCCACTGATGAAAAATAGTTTTTTGGACATTGAGAAAATTATATCGTAGAAAGGTGAAATTATCATTAATGAGTGTCATGTTTAACGCGTTAACTACGATCTCGAGCCATTTATCCCCAGGAACTACAAAGTTTTTATGAACAGAAATCACTAAATATATGTGTAATTTTTTTTTCAGCTTATTTATCTTGGATAAAATGGTGAGAATGCTGAACAATTGATCAAATAAATCGTGTAATATTCTGCAGAATCTTAATCTAAGAGCAGCTCACTCTTACTGAATAAAAAAAACTCTCTAGTGTGTTCTGTTAAGAGAGTCCTTAATGTTGAGAAATCAGTGGAGATTTGATATGTTACTAAATTTGATTTAAAGGGGTAAACATGTCTTTCCATATCAGAACAGCGGTGTTTTTGATGTCACAAGCAATAATTATTGATATTCATTTCTTTTTATTAAATTTATTCCTTCCGAAAATGGTTTATAGTTGACTGGCATTAATGTGCATACATACACGAAATATTGTGATAAACTAAATGAAGTTATTCATTAGCTTTGAATTACATGTATTACAGGCCCGTAGAACGCGGGGGGGGGGGACTTTTTCTGAGTATAGTATTTTGCTACACAGTAAATTTTCCTTTATAAGCTGGTTGCCCCCCCCTTTTTTTGTTGTTGCAGTATGGCTAAGCACTGGTAATTTCAACGATTTAGACTGTTATTTATGTTTTGTTTTTGTTTTTGTTTTTTGTTTTGCTTGTCAGATTATTTCCGTAAATTGGCTCCCCTCACTTTTTGGTGAGTTTAAGGTTTTTTTTCTTTTTTATTGAGGGGGGTGTTTTTTTTTTTTTTTTTTTTTTTTTTGCTTTTCAGATTTTTTGGGAAGTTGCCCCCCCCCCCCAACTTTTGAACCGTTGCTACGGGCCTGTATATACCACAATTTAAAAATGGTCATAATGTTTACAGATCTATATATGCTTGAAAAGCAAGGGGTGTGTATAGTTTTATGGTGTATCAGTCCGTCTGTCTGTACGTCCGTCCGTTACGATTTAGGGTACCCATCTCTTATTCGCAACTCCTTTAATACCACTGAATATTTAATGAGATTTTCACAGAATCTTTGTTACATAGTGCCATTGTGTGCCTCCTATTTTCCATTTGATCGATTGGACACCCATGCATAGCAGAACATGGACTTTGCCATTATAATCATATGGGAGGCGTGAAGTATCATTTGGTGAGCTCAGTGCTCACAGTGCCTCTAGTTTATTAATAATTTGTTGTCTCTTCTTCATGAATGACCGATCGCAATTTCAATTGAGAGGGAAAAAAGAAAAGAAAAACATAAACTCCAACGATATTTGTGTAAATGCAAGAAGGTCGGCATAATTTACTGAGAACTTACAGCGATTTAGCACAGAAAAATATGGTTTATTGACGAATGTTACACCCAAAAATTGAAGCCAAGCGTGTGATTTCCAAATTTATTCCATGAGTGTATAGCATTGACGAGAATAAACAATAAAAATTCACTAACAAAGCATTATATAGAAGCTATAAATGACTAATTGGAATTTACAGAAAGTCACAAAGTTCCCAGTGACAGGATGTGAATGACGCTAAGATATACATATAGTACTATCAAGATAACGTAATCAGCTTTATAATTACATTGAAACAAAAGTCATGCATGACAGTCGCTAAAACTGGGAGGGTTGTAGTTATTAAAATATCAAATTGTATGGTGAGCTGTCAAATTCAGTTACACACATCTAGTTGATACACTCAAAATCTTGAGTATAAGAATAAAAGGAAAATATATCTGTATAGAAAATTAACAAATTTTACTCTTAACAACGAATTACATTTGTACATGTATAATTACACGTGTGAAATCAAATATACTGATATACCATGGGCTCACTTATAATCTGATTAAAATCAGATCCTTTGATCCGCTCACATAGATCCGCTACACAAGGCCCCTTATTTAGCGATCTATGCATGTGAGCGGATCAAAGGATCTGATTTCACTTACCACTGCATCCAACAATAAATTTAACGATTATTCAAATAGTATATTTATTTGAATATTTCGGATTAAATAGAAAATTACTTTTTCATATTCAGTCAGGGTAAATTTTAAAAATTATTTTGTTTTATTTCAGAGTAAATAGAAAAATCGTCTTTCATATTCAATCACATCGTCGAAAACCACGGGTTTTGTGTCCATTCTATTTCCACAAACGGGCATAAAACTCGTGGCTTCGATGATTCAATCAGGGTATTTAATTTGAAAATTATTTTATCTTATTTTACTTAATTTTTTCATTTATCTATTTATTTATTTATTTTGGTTAGACAAAAATTAGAGAACTTAAGGGAGCAAATGGGGGAGGTTAAACGGTTTATAGTTACTAACAATCCTTCAACAATACTACAATATAATTTTTCAAGTTAAAAAAAGTGGTTGTTGTGAAATTAAATTAAAAAAAAATTGTACAAGTAAAATATTTGAAACTAAAGAAAAGTGTAGTTACATTAAATAAACACCTAGAGCCATTTACCAAAAGATAAGCACGTCCAGTGAAAAAGCGTTTATACTGACTAATTTTTTAAGAACCTAATTCAAAACATTCATGTAAAAATTCGCATAGTCCTTCTTGTACTATAACTACATTGACAGGATTACAACAATACGTGTCCAAAGGATAATATTAACTTTTGCCTTTATATGTAGGACAAGTCATATATAAAATGTATTGTATCTTCTATAACTGCATTTTGTGCAACAATGAGTGCATGGTGGTGGTGGTTGTGGGGATTCATTCGCCGATGCACAAAATATAGAACTTTTAAGATATAAGATTAAGATTATTTAAACATTTTTCAATTAATTTGGTCGTTTTTCATTTGAAAAAAAGAAGAAGAAAATCACAAAGAAAATATATATATTTTATGAATTTTAATGAAAAATTTCATTCCATTTGTTTTGATACTACTTTGTATGTGTAGAAGATCATTTTTATATACGATTTTTTTTTAAAAAATAAAATGTTGTTTTAAATAGGAAAAGATTATCTAAGTTCCATAACTTGTATCTGATCCTTTTTGACTGAATTTTATCAATAAAATATGTTCAATTCATTTCTATAACAGTTTTACAAAAGTGACAACAATTAAATCATCTTTTAAAAATATCTATTTAAATTGGATTTCTTTTCTATAAATTTCATCTCGTGGAAGAGATCAGTTCCAGTCCTTCAATCTGTCTCCCCTCTGGGGAGGGGGGTACTAGATTTAGTTGTTCTTGTGAAATTTTGTGTAAAATCACCAAATTAGTAAATTAGAACGATAATGAAAAAAATACTGAGACAAAATTAAGAAACTGACATAAAAAAGGAATAAATAAAAGAATAAATAAATAAAAATCCAAGATACAAAGAACGATAACTGATACCACCACTAAATAATGGTACACATAAATATTGTCTCGGAAAAGAAAAAATATAATGCACATTTAGCAATTTTTAATTATTAAAACAAAACAAGAAAATGATTTATAACAAGAATTTACAAATATTTAAAGAATATGAAAATATGTCAACAACAAGTGCCTTTTTAAATAAGCCTTTTCTAACATGTAAATAGTAAAGACTTTAAGCTCAAAGCAACCAACCCTTGCTGGTATAATAAAAACTCAGTAGCAAGTTGAAAGTGCCCGGATGAACCTCGGTGGTCCGGGGTGCAGGCTTCAAACCTGTAGCCGATTAGCGTCGGAGTGGTTCAATTCCACCTTCTGGGCGACAGTATTTTTCCCCAAAATATTTGAATAAAATAAGAAATGTGAATATAATTAACATTCAATGTGTTCAACATAATTACTTTTTTCCAAAATTACTAAAATCGACAGCAAATAATTTACATGTTGAGAACGCCCCTCTTCCGGCTCCCACACCGGGTGACCTTTGAAACCTTATTAATACGCATCATTCCGTGTGTCAGTGATGAAAAATTCCACTTTTTCAGATTGTTCAATATTCAGCTAATTTAAAAGAAAAAATAATAAATCAATAGGAAAAGAAATGTATTTCAAACTTTTAAATTTATGTATATACATAGGATCACAAAATACAGTCATTTCCTATTGAGATCTATTTTTTATTGCGGTGTCATAAACTGAATACACATCTGTGATTCGGCAGTCAGTTTAGGAAGGTGATAGTGTGAGGTTTTAATTATGTCCTCTTGGTCTTCAGAACATGTTTTCGAGTAAGTTTGAAATTTTTTTTTAATCTTACACGTCTGAATTTATTAATATTTTGTCGTCAATCAATCATATCACATTTTTTATTCTTAATATTGAGTAGAACTTCGATCGACCTTCATTCACGTGTGTGAACATGGTCAATGATGAGCATTGCGTAATATTGAAAAAAAAATGAATGAGTTCGTGAAAATAAAAAGATTTTTCATTGGATTAAGATTTTCTTTTGAACTTTCACTGTTTCATAATAGTTTTGTCATCATCACCATATTATTCTCTCCTTTTGATTATTAACGGTTACCCCACAGGTATGTGATTTACCTATTTAAAAAACCATTGATAAAAATTTCTATCAATATTTCAGACATCCATGGGAGGAAGTTGTGAGAGCAGCTTTCCGTAAATACCCCAATCCATGTAACCCTGCAGTATATGGTGTAGATGTTGTAGATCGTACAGTTTGTCCAAAGGGAACCATACAGACCCATCGTCTGCTTTCCACAGAATTCCCATTACCTGATGTAGCTGCCCGGGTATGTAGATTACATAACAATCCATTTGTTAAAATAGCAAGTAGTTATCACCATTTAATACATTATGATAAAGATGTGAAAATTGCTTTTCAAGTCATGATTTTTACCAAGTTTCTTATACTGTAACATTAGGATTGTCAATTTTACACTGGAAGTAAGTTTATACAATATAGAAATTCAAATAATTATTTTCTTGAAGACAAATGTAAAAAAAATCCCAGAATTTGTAATAACTAGACAAAAGCTCAAACATAAGACACTGTGTATAGCTATTTGGAGATCTTGTTAGGTATAGTTACATAAATTATTTACTGTGTGATATAGCTTATCATTGAAGAAAAGGATATGTGGTTTAGTACATGAAGTAGCAGAATAGATCTGTACTATAATCTTTTATTATAGGATTTCATCATGACTCAAATTTTTTGATATATATCAAAGTTTAAATGCTTATATTAAAATCATTCATTTAAATTTCTTTGCAAAAAAATTCATATTCTTGGCCATGTTTCAGTGATTCAAAGTTTGATTTCTCAATATTTTGATTGCCAGTGGTATGCAGCATTGCTCTGACATCATAGGTGTCAATCCTGGTCAAATGAAGTACTTCTTGTGTTTAGAGGTGGCTTGCTTTGCAGTGTAAAAGTTTTCATGGGAAATAAACGAGATATTAACTTCTTAAAATAATTACGAACTCAAAATGTAACTGTTAGTAATGATTCTATTCATTCAATGTCCAGAGTTGTCAAGGCTTTTTCTTCACTTCCTCTCTATTTGTCTGGATATTTCCCTGGTTACTTCTGAATCTCTATGCTAGAGGTTCTTATTAATAAGGGTGCAACGATAAACCGTTTGACGGTATATCGCGGTATGTTTTTCCACGGTTCAATTCACGATACGCTAAACTGATATCGCGGTTCGGTTCAATCGGTCCAGAATTATCCGTTTTGTCCTTTTTATTTCCTTCTTTACTATTTCCAAATGGCTTCCGCGCACAACGTGAGCTCGCCGATAACGTTTACGGCAGTTAAACTCATCTCCAGCATCTTACAGACCTCAGATTTAACACGGAGAGGGACTTGATGTGATTATAAGTTATTATGTTTAGACAAATGATTAACCCTTTAGATCTAAACGTTTTCTTTGGTAATACACGATATTCCATCACGTGTGTATTTCGATGAAAATTCGCTGTCTTGTTGACTAAAACGTATTAACACGAGAAATATGACAACTGGTTTTCTACGTAAATAAAAGGAATAAAAGAATGAATGTCTTCCTTTTTCATTCCAATTTAAAAGGAAGATTATTAGGAAAGGTCCCTGTAGTTCCCTGTAAATGTTCATCATTGGTTTAGAATGTTGACACAACTCATAGATCTACCTAACAATCCAATTCATGTTAACAAAATTTTATTTTAATTATTATAAAAAAAATATGAACATTTTGTATAACCCTGTCAAGTTAAACAAAAAAATATGATGACAAACTTGAAAGACTTTTTAACTTTGTTATGTATCGTGATACGTATCGTATCGTGAGGTTAGTGTATCGTTGCACCCCTACTTATTAATTAAAAAAATGAACATCCATAATCAAGGGACATAATCAATGTCATAATTTCAACCATCCATGATGTATAGTTGATTGTTTTAATGTCTTATCTTTTTTGTTGTATATGTTCTTTCAATGACCTATTTGAGTGTTGACACCTATGATCAGTGTTTTCCCTAAGAACCGACTACTGGCTAAATTGACTGCTTCAATTGATAAAAATGCCGCTTTGAAATAAAAAAAAAATCAAAATTTAATTGTTGTAAGGTCCACAGAAATTTGTCATAAATTTCAACCCAAACCTTGTTACAATTGATCTCTAACCCTTTACTTTGAAATAAAGGGAAAACACTGATGATGTTTTAGTACCACGTGAACTGTATCTAATTAGTGGATTACTCCCAAGAGATTCCTAAATAATCTAATTACGACTGTTTAAAGCCAATTAAACGGTAAAATGAAAATGATATGCAAGAAGAATGTAATTGTGATAATTTTAAAAGAAATTTAGAAGCGTGATAAAAACCCTTTAAAGTGGTGCATCTGGAAGAGCTGAATATAAACACTTAGGAATGGCTGACTGTTGTATTCTGAATATCTGTAATTCAAGGAGGGAATCTTATGTTTCTAGTATTTAGTAGTGTCATAGAATTAAGATATACATGTATATATAAAAACATGTTCAATGCATTCAGATAATTGGCACACCAGAGAAAAATTTCATCAGTGAACACTCAACATTAAATCCCAGAAATAAACTGTTGAAATTAGAATCCCGTAATGTAAGTAATGGATATTAGAAGATGCATGATATGTTGTAATGATTGCATGCTATCCAGGTACGGCATTGTCATTGTATATTATATATGTACTAATTTTTTGATTTCTGTAAACCCTGCCTTATAACTCCCGGATGTATGTCTCTTATGGCTGTAAGCTAGATTCTTCCTTTTAACTTGCATGCTAACACCTTTGTCATTTGTTGCTAGCTTTTAGGAGCCAGTAGTCATGGAATGCATATCAGTGAGCACTCCAAGCTTGATACAACACAGTCCACATTCAGGCTTCAGTCTAAAAATGTGAGTATTCAGGGGAATAAAAAAAGTTCTTTGGTAAAACAAGCAAAAGATTGGGAGTTTTTGCAGTCTGTAATATATCAGGTATGTCATGTAGAAGTTGAGATGCCGGAAGCCATTTATAATACTAGGTAAGTAAGATTAACTAAATCTCTATGACACTAGTATCAGATCTGAATGCATACATTACCAACTAAATGTAAATGTAGCCTTGTAATGCATGTTAGCTAATTGTTGTCAATGACACAGTAGTTTCTTTGTATATGGTATGATACAGAGATGAATGATCTATTGTTCAATGTTTTTCATTTTTATTTAGCACATTAATTTGATATGCAAAAGCTTTGCTAAGCACATTCATGAAGTTATAAATGATAGGAATTGAGTTAATTTGTTTCTAATAAATTTTTGGCTAGCTGTCAAAAAATTTAATTTAAAAAGCTTAATCATTGCATGTATGTCATTTTAAATCAAAAAGGCATACCTTTTAAATTTTTTTATGTAGACTTTTTTTATTTCAAGCAGTGTAAACTATATGATTGGTTATTTCTAATCTAAGAACATACCAGGGTTTGACACCAACACACTTCCCAGAGTGTAATATAAGAAAATTCCTGTAATAAGAAAAGCTTTCAATTATATAAAGATTAGTACTTTATAACTACATGTAACTATTCATATGGACCACTGCATTTTCAAATTCATTGTCAAACCCTGCATTGTTAGTGGATGCCAAAAATATTGAAGTGATCTATGTTTTATTTTTAGCTGACTCTGGGACATTTAGTGTCAGTTCATGAACATTTGGAGTATTTTCCCCATCCACAAGACAAGTCCAAGTAAGTAATTACTGTGGAGAACTATTCTTGTAAAGTGTGGAGAACTAAAAGTTGCCTGAGAAATGCTGAACAAGTTAGGCTTTAACAGTTTCCTGTCTTTACAACTAATGAAAAAAAAACAACTAGAAACAATATCATGTAGTGGCAAAGAATTTAAAAATATAACATTGGTATAGAGGTATAGAGGAAATTTATAAGAAAACTCAACACTATTGAAGGAAATCTTGATTAGATGAACCTATAGCAACCTTTTCATGGAGTAAAAGTATATTTGTATCTGTTTGTGCTACCAGTTTTCTAGTTCCTGGAAATGCCTTCAGTCTGGACTCTAGTTGTTCCAAATTTAACACACACCATGGAATGCTTGGCTGCTTCATTTAATTCATATAAATTGATAGTCCTGATGGAGATTTAAGTCCTGTAAGGAGACTAGATGCTGTGAACTGTGCCATGATTTATTACTTCTGAAGATTTCTCATTGAAAGAAAATCTGGAAAATTGTGATTGAAATGAACACCTGAATATTTTATTATCTGCATTAACGGGAAATACTAGGAATTTTAACCAGTTATTTTAATCACTTACTTCTATGTCATCAAAAATAGGCGAAGACATGACAGGGACCTTTAAACAGTGTATCATATTTACAGGTTAGCTAGAATGCTAGAACATGTGTAGAGCATATGAATATTTTAATGAATTTTCTATTTCTCCTATAGAACCTGTCTGAAACAACAATCCGTAGTCAAAGTGAATGTGCCTTTTTTGTCTGGTTACCTGGAAAAACTCCTTATAGAAAACTTTGAAAAAAATGCACAGAAGGTAAATTATCTTTGGCAATATTTACAATGAAAAATACACAGAATGTATATCATTTCAATTTTCAAGTTAATAAGTTTTTCTGCTCTTTAAAATTTAGGAATGACTTTAATTGTGAAAAGTTTGGTATTATATTATAAGTAACACATTTCAGTAATTCGTCTTTCATTTGATAATTCAGGGAAGAAACGGAATGGAGTGGGTTATGAACAAGATAAAGGAAGAAGACTCTAACAAGGTGAAATTCGAGACCTCACCAGACATTTTATCACAAATAGAAACGAAATTCAAGAAAGAAGCTGAGGATCTCAAACAAAGTATGGACAGTTTTCTTAAGAATGCCCAAGCCACTGGATCACCGCTTTGATGCTGGGGAACATTAGGTGTAATCATATTTATTCTGGCCCTCTGGATGAGAAATTTTATGGACGCAACAATCTTGGATCTGATCCATATTTGTATTGCAGCTTGTTTACTCTGTATGACTAGGCCATTTTATTTTGTAGCTATATTTTCTGTGATATATCATGACCATAGGATGTTTAATTGCATTGCCTCCTCAGGGTTATCATCATAGGAAACAGAAATCCATCCAGGCCTTTTATTTCTCTTCTAATTACTAGGGGTAGGTTACTAGGAGAATTATTGTGTGCTGTTTTATTTCTGTTGTATTATAGGAATCTCAGATCCAACATTCTCCTCTACATGGCACATGAAGTACGATGGTTTACTGAATCATGAATATACATTATATTACAGAAAAAATATCAATGGCAGTAAAATGTTTATTCATTCCTCAGCAATTTTTCGGAACTTAGTTGTTGGTGGTATCTTAATGCCAGATCTCAGCTTTAAATGTATGTACATGTTGTTCTAATGTTTCATGTTCACCCCGAATAAATTTGAAATTTTACTGAACAAATTGGGCATTTAAAAGTACAGCTGTTTTTAAGCATTTCAAAAAAATGCCTCAAAATTTTAATTGCAAGACCAATGTAAAAATTCCTGTTTTATTGAATAGCTTGATATATGTTTACATGTGTTTTGTGTCATCATTATTGTCACACCTTTTGTTATCATGTTGCTATTAAAGTTTGGAAATTTCATTTGGAGTTCTTTCTATTATTAGCACTTCTGAGGAGCAACTGCTATGGCCTTGTGCATTGTATTTGTGAGCCATATCTTGAGTTATTCAGATTATCACCAAACATTCATAGTGATGAAGATGTATATAATGTAGATTAAAAATTGACTAAGGCATTACCTTAGAGCAGATTAAATTTTGGTGTGGCATTCCTCCTTAAGAGTTGACCCAAAATAATAGTTTGTTGAAACTTTGCACACTGTGAAGCCAGGATCATCAAAGCTTGTCTGTTGATACATTTTAATACCTTGGGTTATGTTGATTCAAAAGTAGGTCATGTCTTTTTCGATTTGCAGCTTTTCATTATCAAATTGATTTTGATACATATCTTGGATACTTTGAAGTCTATGAAACCCACAAGAAATGTATCATGGTGTTCAAAAAAGGCCTACCGATAGTTGATGATTGTTCCAATTTTGGTCCGTTGCTTATCTTCATATGCTTATATTATAACATTCAATAAGACCATATCAAAGGTTGTTGAAAAGTATGTTTAAGAGATCTGAAAATTGTTCTGGTTAATGTACATAGTAAATATATTGGCTTGCCTCAGCACCATCATTCTCTCCATCTGCTTATGAGGGAAAAATTACTGTAAATCTCTTGTTTTATTTGGCATATATAGAACTATATTTTGGCATAATTAAGCGAGCTAGACTTCTCATGAAAATTTCATTATAACGTGTATTAGTATAGGTAATATACATTAGTACAGGTAATACAACAATAACCAGAATTCGTGAAAATTTTGTCTCACCAAAAATGTGAAATATTTTTATCATGAAAATAAGGTGTTTGCAAAAATTTGGTGATCTTCATGTACAAAGTATGAATCAAAAAGTACCAATATGTACTGTAGAAGCAGAGACTTTGTGGGGATAGAATTTCATTGATTTATAATCTTAAATGACTTTGTTGGGACATGCTTTTGTATTACAAATTACCATATTTTTAGCTCTTCTGAGCCAAAGGCTCAAAGAGCTAATGTTATGGCCATTTGTGGGGTGTGCATAAACTTTTTAGAATATGGGCCATATCTCAAAAACCCCTTGGCTAATTCTTATCAAACTTGTCATGAGTATCCTTGGCCCAAGGGCTCTCATTTATACTAAAAACGTGATCCTTAAACAAGGGGAGATAGTTAGGAAAATAAAAGCAAAAGTACTGGTTGCTAAAAAATCTTCTCAAGAACCACTGGGCAGATTATCATCAAAACTTGCACACAAGGATGAGGAAATTGTAGATTAAAAATTGTTCAAAGCATCACCCTCGGGCATAGGGCTTGTTCTCAAGGTCACTTCAAAGTTGACCAAAAATTATAGTTTGTGAAAACTTTGATATTTTGCCTACTTTAAGCACTAGGATCATGAAATATTGTCAGTTGATGCATCTTAGGACCTCATATCATGTTGACTCAAAAGTAGGTCATGATTACCTACTTTTTGAATTTGCAGGCATTTGTTTTCAAATTTATTTTACTGGCATATTTTGGTCACTCTTAGGCCTATGATCATCAAACTTTGTTGGTTGATGCATCTTGGGTCCTCAGAGTATGTCAAATGAAAAGTAGGTCACCCTTACCTACTTTTTGAATTTGTGGCTAATCCTTTTCAAAACATTTAAGGTCATTATTTCAGAAACTGAGAGGTTTAGAATCATCAAACCTTGTAAGTTGATGCATCTTCGGGCCTTAAAGCCTATTTATCAAAAAGTAGCTCACAGTGACCTACTTTTTGAATTTTGCAGGCATTGGTTTTCAAATTGTTTTAAGGGCATATTTTGGACATTTTAAGGCCTATGATCATCAAACTTTGTCAATTGATGCATCTTGGGTCATCGGAGTATGTCAACTGAAAAGTAGGTCACCATGACCTACTTTTGAAATTTTATGGCTATAATTATATATTTTAGGTACTACTTACTGGCTTGGAATCACCAAACTTTTCCATTGATGCATCTTGGGCCTCAGAGATATCAAGTGAAAGTAGGTCGCCATTACCTACATTTGAAATTTCATGGCTATATTTAAATATTTCAGGTATTAATTGGCTTAGAATCATCAAACTTTGTCAGTTGATGCATCTTGGGTCCTCAGAGTTTCTTAACTGAAAAGTAGGTCACCATGACCTACTTTTAAAATTTTATGACTAAATTTAAATATAAAGATACCAATTGGCTTTGAATCAGTAAACTTTGTCAGTTGATGTATTTTGAGTCTTCATAATGTGTCAACTGAAAAGCAGGTCAGTGACCTACTCTTGGAATTTTAAGGCAATATCTAAATTTTTCAAATAATAAGAGACTTAATCATCAAAACTTCATTAGTTGAGGCAATTTGGGGTCTTGAAGTATGTTTATCAAAAAGTAGGTCACAGTGACCTACTTTTGGAATCTCATGAGTATATCTGAATATTTAAGATAATAAGGGGCTTCGAATCATCAAACTTTGTCAATTGATTCATCTTGGGTTCTCAGAGTGTTTTAACCAAAATGTAGGTCATGATGACCTACTTTTGGAATTTTAAGGCTTTATTTGAAAAAAAAAAAACAGGATACTTCTGGGTATCAAATAGAAGTGATAGGTTGTACAATTTGTCAGTGATTCAAGGCCCTTGGGCCTCTTGTTACAGTAACTGGGTAAAATTTGGTTGGGGATTAAGTATGGTTAATCAACACTATCAACAAAATAAATGAATTCAATTCTCAACAGAATTTCTCCTTTTATAGTACACCATGTTATAGATCTCTGACCATGATCAGGTGCATACTGAATCTTCTAGCAAATATTTAAGTATTAATCATTATTTTTGAAAGATGCACAAATTGAGTAACAGGCTTTCAGGTATCACACATTAGCACAATACTCAATTTTTTTTTTATTTTGCGCACACCATTGCAGTTATATGAGACTACATCTTTCAAAAACAAGTAATTCAATGCTTGTACAATGTACTACATTTTTTAACTCGCTGCCTAATCGGCAAAAATGATTTATATTTCAAAATCCCTGTATTATCCTTTAGGTAAATTACTATTAATGGAAGAGCCATTGCAACAGCTACCACCCTTACACTCATCAATGGGAGCGTGAATTTCAATTTGCCTACGATGCTGCACTTGCAATGGCATTCAGCATTTGTGATGTCAAAATAAAATTCATAATTTAACCTTTTGACCTCCCCATCTGTGTTATGGTATATTGAATGCTGAAGCTTTCCACACATTTTATAAGCAAAATATGTGTGGAATGTAAATTATTAAAAATCACATGTACAATTCAATATTTTATTTACACATACATGTATAAGATTGACAATTTCAATATGAGAAACTTCATAAAAAATTCAAATCTATTATAAGACATAGAATATTTCCAAACAATTGAGATTTTCAAAAATAAATAGAAAAACAACCTTACAGGAAATACATAAAAAATTATCACAGTACAAATTCCATGGACGGAACATTTATGTAAATAACACTTCAAAGTTGATTCTATCACATTTAAAGGTTTCTGAGCACTATATTTACACGGTGACTCCTTTCAGGTAATACACCCACTGTACATTACTGCCACCAGCTGACTTTGGACAGGTGATAATCAGTTTGCCCATCACTCCAGCTTTTGTTCCACTGTCGTTTCCATCAAATCCAACAACAATTTTGTACTCTTTACGATGCTTAACGTTCTCACTTTGCTTGGTGAGGTGGAAAGCTGGATTATCTACCTGGAATGTAAAGGCTGTCTGCTGGTGGAATACATTACGGAATGGAATGGAGGTGGTGGATCCAGCTTTTACTACATAAGGACCCTGTGGTTTGGGTGGTACACAGGTTCCAAAAAGAGGGAAGACATATTCCCCTCCCTGTGGTGAACTGATAGTCAGTAATGCTCTCTGTTCTCCTAGTTTGGAGGGTTCAAAGGTCACATCTAGTGCTACCTCTGTGCCACCTGGGGCTCCTGGAGCTGCCGCGACCGTCTTCTCTGTGTGGAAATCATTATTGTCCACCTAAAAACAACCATCATCAATATCAGTATCAATATACGGGTACAAGGAAATCCTCACAGAGGTGACCAATATTCTGTTAAACTGCATGGCTTTATTTTATTTCTTAATGCTAATTTACTGAGTATACATATTTGTCATGAACTTTTCTATCTAAGGATGAGCAATTTCTATTCAACACATAAAGCATCTCTAATTTGAAATGTTGTCATCCTTACCTTGCAGGTGTAATCTGCTTTTGCTTGTTTGGCAAAGTTCAAGAACTTGGCAACCTGGATGTGACTTTGTCCTAGGCCAGCTCTGAAGTACAGGGCTTTCTCAGGTCTGGCTGGTGTAGCCTTGAGCTTCAGCTCATAAACATAGCTCCCAAGGTCATTAGACACCATCTCTATTCTCTGTAGGGACTCTCCAACCTTCAGGGGCTGGTACTCAATGGTACACTCATACTAAAGAAAAAACATAAGGTTATTTTATACTGCCATCTATGACATTCTGTTTATGCTAATATCTCCAGGATACTCATACTCTTATTTTACATTGTATCTAACTTTTATGCTTTGTTTAAAGAGAATGATGAGAGGAAATGATCAGTATTGGGTATTAATTCAAATAGATCTTACCGTGGACTGTGGTGGAACAGAGAATGTGTTTGGCATGAGAATCTCGGGGATATTATTCTGGACGTTAAATGTGGTGGCCTGTTTGGTGGTGTTTTCCAATTTGATCTTTTTAAATGCACTCTGCCTGACTGGTGTCGTCAGTTCTATTGTTTCAATGGTTCCACCTTTGATGAACTTGTACTGAAGTTCATACCACTGGTATTCTCCAGTTTTATCATTTGTAAAAACAACCTTTAATAATAGAGAAGTTATAGAGTCAGTACTTACAAATGGGAAAAGTATCATCGTTGTAAATGTACAAGTCTTTACATTTAAGGCCTTCAAAATGAAAACAAACAATTCTTTCTGAATTTGAAGTAACATCAGCTGTATAAAAATCTGTTCGTTGTACCTTTAGAGGTAAAGTTGTTTCTTTGTAGGCGAATACATTAAGCTTGTAATCCTTTTTGCCATTAGCTGGTACATCAATAAAACTCATGCCCTTAATGTCGGTAGAAGTGTCCTGTCTGGTATCCTGTCTCAAGATTTCCCACTTCACAGAGAACCTAAAAATTACAGACAATTCATAGCATCTTTGATATCACATTGTCATCCCTTGTTAAATATTATGTTTCACTACAAGTAGGACTTATCAGTAGGAGCACCACCTAACACATCCTTACCTCTGAGGCCGCTTCAGCCAGTTCTCAACAGGCAAGTGTTCTACAAAAGGGACCTTACAGGGGATGTCATTCAGAATTTTCTGTCCTCCGTTCATTTTGGGAGGTTCTGCAGTACCACTGACAGTAAACAGAAGACCAGTGCCGTCAGGTAATGGGAAGAACACCGTGCCCTAAACACAATGAGACACTCAATGATAACAGTTTATTATACAGTTTACATAACAATCAAGCATCAAGTATTTACAGAACAGAAAGGGTTTCAAACTGTTGTCTTACTGTGTGTTTCTTGCCCTCCTGGGTCATGGTGAGGGGGTGGTATGAGATGGGGTAGGGTTTGTTCATGGTCTGGGGCTCCACTGTAAAGGTCAGGGGACCACTCCAGTACTCAGCATCAATAACAGGCTTCAGGTTCCACAGGGCGTTAGTCTTGTTAGTGATTTGTAGATTCCTGAAATAAGATTTAAAATGTGAAATAATTTTGACTTAAATGATCTGACAGACTGGGTCACTGAAGGAGACAGGTATTCTGACATACTTTACATCTGTGGAACGGACTGGACAGGTGAAGTGCTGAGGAACTTCTTTTGTGGTGGGCTGTGCTGTACATCCCCCAGTTAAGGTCAAGGTTACTGGAGGATGGACTCCAGGTTTCCTAGTAACAGGGTCTTCCAAGAAGCACCTCAGGTTCTACAAGTTTAGAGATTCAATCCGTAATTTTATGTACGTAGACATGGGTACATAAGTTTTTTTCATTTATTTTAGTTAGAATTGAGAGTAGGTACTGAATGACTTACATCATATCTGATGTCAGCTACAGCTTCCTTAGGTTCAAAGGTGACCTCAAAGGTCACATCCATGCCAGGAGTGATGCAGCCCTCTACTGGGTAAATGGAGAAGTCAGGACGAAATTTCTTCAGGTCCCACTTAAACCTGAAACATACATGTACATCAGTTTGGTGAATAACAATATAATTGCAAAAAACTAAAGATAACATCAACTTTAGGAAAGTAACAACATTGAAAAATATGATAAGATATTTGAGATACACTCTCAGTGCAGTGTCTCACCTGGCTGTCATGTCCCCAGTGTTACTCATGATGAGTTTCCTCGAGCTGGAGCTGCCCTTGACTACAGTAGGGAATGGGATTGCTGTGGTGTCCAAACTGACCTCCATACCCAAACACTGACCTTTAACTACAAACAAGGTCTCATATTGACCAGCAAACTCCATTGTCACTTCCTCCGAGAACTGTGGAATTCTGGTATTGCTGGCAAAGGCCACCTCTACTTTACACATGCCACCCGGTTCTAGGGTGATAGTGTTTGTAGGAGATATGGTCAGGGCACCTGTTGACTGAAGAGCAGGAGTCTCTGGGGTCAAGGCCAGGTTAAAGGTCACTGGAGCAGGACTGTTGTTGATAATTGGGATAAATTTCTTTTTCTTTGGAGAATTTTTGGTAACTTCTGAGGCTCCCAGGTTCACAATCTTGTGTTTAGGGTCAGCAACTTCAACCTGAAGATCACAACTTTCAGATATCATCATACTGAACAATTTCATCATCAATTTAAAACCTCCTATTTCTTATTCTTTTCTTTTGTTGTGTAAGGACACATTTTACTGCATTAGATTGAAGGCAGCTTTAAGGCAGGATTACATGTGGAGAATCTGATATTGCATAAAACATGAATTGACTTCTCATAAAGTAAGTTATTTAAATAAGCCCATTACTGTTTGTTAAGAATGACAATGATTTCAGCTATACCTTTAATTCTGTTCCAGTGCCAATCATCTGTACACTCTGTTTTGATAAACCATTGATTTCAAACTGAACAGTTTCCACATATTTTTTGGCCTCCCTCGGACAGAAGGTGAAGGTCATGTCATAGGATTTACCGGGAGGAATACAGATCCCACTCTCAAAGGTGTGCCTCAGGTAGTCGTTATTGGGATACAGGCACTCGACACTGTAAAAAAAAGTCCAGAAATGCATACTGACAAAATACTTATCTTTCTCTATATAAATTAAAAGATAATTAAATTTTACAATCTGGTTACCTGATTTCTTTCTTGTCTTTGTTGGTGAGAGTGAGTACTTTTGTCTTGGGTGGAATGCCAGGTTTGATGATGAAGCAGTTTCCAAAGTTGTAGCTGGGGAAGGAAAATCCCAGGCCTGGGGTCACACCCAATCCCTCCAGGTTTATCACATAGCTAGGGCCATGAGAGATCTGTAATGAAAACAAACAATAAATATATTAAAAATTGCCAAATCAAGCTCTACAACTCATGTTCATCTGAATACCAGTTACATGAATAAGCAAAGTGCTGTCTTTCCGTTCACTGTAAGTAACACAAGAGTTGAGGACTTGAGGAAATAATCAGTTTATTATTAGACTGATACCTTGAGGACAATTTCTGTGTCCTTGAGCGTGGTCCTACAGGGAGGACAGAAGGTCAGTTTACAGTTGACCCGGTTTCCATGCTCCACTCCTCCACTCATTGGCTCGATGGTCACCATCTCCCTCTTTTTGTTGGACATGTGTAGCTCCCACTCGTAATCAAAGTTAAACTTGCCTGTGTTCAGAATGGTCAGGTTCCTTAGCTGTTTTTCATTCACCTCAACCTGTACATTAAAAGTGAAATATTGAAATTAAATTGGATAAGTCCTTTTCCTGCATAACGTTTCTAGACAATTCTTAGATTTTAACAGAAAAAAAACTTATTTTTTCTGAATATTTTGTATATAAAACAAAAAAGGTATTATCATCATTCTACCTCTCCAAATCTAATGATGTTAATTCCATCAGACACAAACTCTTTGTTGACGCCTGTGGAGTCTTCACACAACAGCTGACAGTTCATGGCATATCCTTCCGCCTTCACATTTAAGGTCACAGGGAGCACCTTGCGTTTGACCTTACACACAAGGTTAAAGTTCACTTCCTTGTCAGAATTTGGCACAAAGTACAGCTCTATTGGCATTCTGAAATTTTTTTGTTTTAAAATGATATACAGGACATACTCTCTAAGAAATTAATTCTTGAAGTAACTGTTATATTGAATACATATCAGAATTGCTTCAATAGAATAAGAAGCTACACTTGAGTCTGTATGGAGGACAGATGATGATTCTTGTGTGAGTGATGAAGGATCAAAATGTACCTGGATTTGGGCTGAATTAAGCCCCGAGTTGGTGAAACCTTCAGTTTCTCAAAAACCCCAGGGAATGGACGATAAAAATGCCAGCTCTCCTGACAACCACGGAGATAGAGAGAACTTAGGAAGGAGAGAAGGAAGAATAGATAGGAAAACAAGAAAGAAACATAATGGCAGCAATGAGAAGAGTGAGATAACATGAGAATAAGAAAATGAAAGAGTTTTAGAAAGTTTAAAAGGCACAAAGAAAACTTCAGCATTTGGGTATGAATGATGGCAGGTAAATGAATGGCTGAACATTTAGTTCACACATGTTTGTGTCTATCTTACCGAGATTTGGCAGGGATGGTGGCAGACATGGGACTGACCCCAAGGTGAGCTGCAAAGCCAGCGGAATGACAGGAATCCTCCTCAAACTGGAAGAAGAATGGCTGGTCCTCGTTATTCATCAGGTACACAGTCTCCACAGCCTCGTGACCTGTAAGAGAATGTCCAATATACACTACCCACCTACACAACAAATACCCAATGTACACCACCCACATACACAACAAATACCTAATATACACTACCCACGTATACAGCAAACACCCAATCTACACCACCCTCGTACACAATAAATTAATCTATTTAGTCTAACTTTGACCTTGATGATTCTGTTTGTATTTGTTCTAACCAAGTTATTTCCACTGCAAAACCAGCTTACCAATGAGGAGAGCTTTGAAGTTCATGTGAGATCTGTCCATGGAAATATCTGGTTCACGGGCCTGACCCACCAACAGGAATGGGACACTGATGTTCTGCTCAGGAATGTGGAACCTCCAGAAGGATTCCACCAGAGTAAGCTCCTGAGAGGTGAACTCAAAAGAGACCTAAAACACAAAATATATCAGATATTTATCACAGACATGTAGGAAATGGAAAGAAAACTTGAACTAAAGCTAAAATAAAGAGTGAAAATTCAAAGTTTGTGGTTACCTGGTATTTCTTTCCACATTTAACGCTGCCCTTGGGGGTGAGACATTTAAATGCTGAGGGTTTTTTAGCATCATCCTCGTCTTCACACGACCACTCAAAGGTATATGGCTGACTTGTGGGATTCACAATGGCAAATGTTCTACAAGACAATAAACAGTTCAAGCTTCACACTCAGTGACATTCTACACATCTCAACAGTAAAGTCACACCTGACTACTTTGTAAAAGGCATAGTTATGGTCAAATTGAAAACCTAAGTTAAAGCAGTTTAAAAGAGAATAAATGAAGAAGAATGCTACTTTCATCCCCCTCTTCCTACATCTGCCTGGCTTCCATAGCAGTTTATGGATGATTTCACAAACCAGAAAAGGACCAAGAAATCAGCAAAAAAATACTAAGGTACCCAACTAGGCTCCATGACATATATGATATACAAATTAAATTTCAGAAAATCATTTATTTCAAAATTAAAGTGAACTGATGCATACTTGGTGTTTTTGACACCAATCCCAATGCAGCTGAACTCTATGACCCTAGTGTTGGGATCTAGGGTGGATCCTGGGGGTGCTCCATTAGGTCCCTTCATCTCTGGATTCCTCCGGGCACCACTGATATAGTCCGAGTCCTCAAGCTCAAAGTGACAGTACGGCATCAGGCTTTTCCCTTTCAGACCAATCACAGGGCCCTGCTGATCCTTCTCAAGGTTAGGGATCCTGTCAAAGAATTATAGAGTGCCACAAACCCTTATCTAAGTAAAAAATAAAAAGAAAAGGAAACAACAGGCACTGTATGCAGTTATACACAGTTTTAACAGAAATCCTTACGTGCAAATAAGTCTTCCTTCGTATTCACTGACATCCAAAGGAGCCATCTTAACAGTGAAGCTCTGTTTTTTGCCACCTGAGATTGTTCCAAACTCAGGTTCAATACTGAATGGTACATAGCTCGAGTCAGGGACCTCCATTCTGGACTCTGGGCGGTCTCCTTCTGACACGAAGGTCACAGCCCTCTGTGGAGGTGGGGGCATGTTCTCCATGACTACCTGCCAGCTATAATCCATCTTAATGGTGCCCTTATTGCTGATAGTAAATCTGGAGGAAAACAATGAAATTGTACATCATTTCTACAGCTGAAGTATGATCTTCATTATTAACACATTTATTTATCTAAAATGGGTAATAAATCTGAAGTAGTAATCATACTCATAAACTCTGCTTTGGAACATGAGGGTGTCTTTGAAGTGGATGGACTCAATCTTGCTTTCATATTTACAGTAGTCTGCTACGGCTGACACTAAGAGCTCAACATTCCTACTTGAGTCGGCCTGCTCTGTGTGAGCGGGCTCAGTTTCTGTCTCAATCACCTTCTTCTTGGCTGGACGACTACTCAAGGGAGCCTTGGCACCTCTACAATAATAAGATTATGCTTAAAATGTTTTATAGTTTATGTTACTTATGTTAATATCAAAAATTCAAAAGTTTGAAGAAACTAATGACTTTCTAAGAAATATTAAGTGAAAAAATCTTGTCTAGTTTTCATCCACAACAACTTTACTTACCCTTCACTTGAGGGTTGTGGGGAGGTGGGGACATCGATCCACTTGACTGTGCGAATCCTATCGTCCCAGTCCGACACCTTCTGAGGTTTGTCAAATGTAATCTTGGTGACCTTACAGTTGATTGGACTCTCAGTCAGGGTTTTAGGCTGGTCAGACTTGAAGGTCACTGTCATGTCTTTGGCAGTGTTAGCATGAAGGTGACCCACTTGTGGAGAGAATTTAAGCTGTGGGTGGTCTGGCCACGCAAACCTCAGACAATCTGTCTTGGAATGGTTTCTCATTGAGAAGGACAGAGTTCTTGGCTCATTGATGAAGCAGTCACCAAATCTTATCAAATTTGGCTTGGCAGCTGAAAGGGGACAATAGTGTGTAATGCTTAATAAGTAAGACCTGCAGTATTCCTTTGTATTGTAATGATACATAAAAGAGACACCAATTTATTTTGTTTTATGTACATGTATTTTCACCCTTACATATCTTGTTCAGAGGCTTTGAAATTGTAAAAATTGAAGGGTAGATGAGTATTGTACCTGCTACATCATCTTCTGCCATGTTTCCTTCCTCGAGGTCTAGTTCTGTACCAGTCCCTACACTGTGGATGTTGTCCAGGGTGATATCATCCTGGTAACCTTCACCCACCAGCTGGATGACGGAATCTTCGTACTGGTTGTCCACTACCATTAAATGGATGTGGGCCTGTGACCTTTGAACTGCTGTGGGTTTATAGGTCACAGTGAAAGATGCTGTCTCTCCAACTCCAACAACCACTGAAGCAGTGTGTGGACGTTTTGTGTCTGAAAAAATCAAACAGCTCTAATAATGTGTCTACAGCATTAGTACCAGTATATATATATAGCATATCTGTTGGTCATGTTTTAAATGGTGTCTAAGATGAGTACAATAACGTAGTACATGATATATGTCTATACACTTGTATGATCTAGAAAGACAGTCACAAACTTGATTTCACTTAAAATTACATTTACTTCACACAAGTAGAACTCCTGATGTCTCTGTTTGAGTTACTATACCTTCATAATCATCTTCCATGATAGCATTGGTACCATCTGCTGGTTTGAGTTGGAACACATTATCTTGGTCAATCAGGTCAATGTCCACCTTACTGGGCAGTGTTCCATCATTGACCAGAACCAAAGGCATTGTCTCTGTACTATTAATCAAGTTCTTCTTAAACAGCATCAGAGCCTGACCACGCTTGTTACGCACTGCTGGCTTCTGTATGTTTATTCTGGGAAGGTTTCCATCTCCAGAAACTTCGAACGTCAGGTTCTTTCCTCTAGCTTGGTTGGTTGCTACACCCTCAATGGCTGCCTCAAATATGGCATTGAAATTCTGCATAGATGTAGGTGTGAAGGTCACGGTGGCATACACATGACTGTGGTTCATGATCTGAGCCCTGACTGGTTCCACCTCAAATATATCCTGCTGTTGTCTGGTTCCCTTTGTCTGTACTGGTTTTACGGAGAAAAGAATGTCACAGGGCACCTTGTTGGTGTTACTGATCTTAAAGCGAGCCTTAGCTTTACGTCCAATGATCACATTGTTAAAGATAAACTTCTTGTCATCTTCTCCATACACTCCTCCATCAGTTGCAGTGTTTTCAGCACTCTATAATGATCCAAATTATTTCATATTTCTTAATCAGAATCTACCAATGCTAAATATTTTCCTCTTCAACATACATTTTATCAACTATTTCAAATTTAGTAGCAGCAGTACTCTAAATCACTTTTTACTTACGAGAACTTTATACCTGTCTGTCTGCTTGTGAAAATTTCATTATCACTTATATTTGTATTGTTTAGGATTTTATACAACAATAACCACAGCTTGCGAAAATTGTCTCGCTTGTTAAAATTAAATAGCTATCACGCAAAAATAAGGTGTCGCTAAAATAAAGTGATCTACAGTATGTGGACTAATTACTGTAGAAGCACAAATTTTCACGGGAATAAAATTTCGTTGAATTGTCATCCAAAAGGGTTTCATGGGCATTAAATTTCATTGTTTTGAAAGTAACTCTATTCAATATATAGTCATTAATAATTTCGTGTGGGATTTAATTTCGTTGCCAATTGTTAAAAACGAAATAAACGAAATTTAATCCCCAACGAATATTTCTGCTTTTACAGTAAATACCTGACTATGGTGCTGCCACAAAGCCAGATTCTTGACAATTCTATGTTCCTCAAAGATGGAGCTGATGTCATCGACATTGATGGAGGGTGTACAAGTCTCAGCAATGATTCTGTAGGAGATTCCATGTGGGTAGTGATCTGAGGGATCACGGTCTGTGATATCTATTGACAGCTCCTGTAAAATTATATCAAGATTGTGAAGAAATATCTATCATAAACATAACTAAATATTCTGTAGCATTTAAAAAAAAAAACAAACAAAACAAAAACAAAAAACAAAATATCCATATATAGAAATTATTTTATCAGAGTAAATCTAAACACATTTTCACAAATTTATCATTTAGAGTTCATCAGAAACATTGTAAAATGTTTGAAGTTTGAACAAATTTACAGCATGTATCAGAATATGACGGTCGTAATTTTTAACTGTTCTTACCTCATCAAATCTGCCCTGGACCTCTGCGGCACACTCCACAAGGATCTGCTGGCTGTGGTCAGGGTAGATAATTCCATAAGCCGGGGACAGAGTGAAGATCTTAAACTGCAGACGAGATTGTCCACCAACTCCCTCTTGTCTATAGAGAGATTGACAAAGTTGATATCACGTTCAATACAACATAGATCAATGTGCCAAATAAAACTTGAAAAAATATAGTACGGCTTATAACAAATAAAATTTTAATCAATTTTAAAACAAGATTTCTACTTGAAAAAAAAAGATTACTTTTAAGAAGGATTGCTTTTGAGATTTTTTTCTTCATTTTTACTTAACTGATTTCATTTTGTAAAGGTATACATGTATTTTCAAATAAAAATTAATAATTGCTTAAAATAGCAATGTTGTTATAAAACAAACAAAGGTACAAATAAATACTTTTAATTACATTGATAAGATTAAACTGAAATTAATTCGTCTACAGACTCAGTACTCTATAATCGCCCACAAGCAGAACCCCAGTATACCTGTACAGGCCTGTGCGTCTGTTAGTTTGGTTGGAAGGTTGCAGATTTCTGGACGCTGTGCGATCAATTAAACCAGCCTTGCTATAGCTGTTATATTCACTACTTTATAAAGCGTAGAGAAATACGCAATTAGACACACACACAAAGCAAGCAACAAACCAAGCTTTTGTAGAAAATCAAAATACTAAAATTACCAATAAATCAAATTTTCTCTGAATTCATATTTACTACAAAAGCTTGGTTATTATTTTAGAAGAAATTTGGTATTACTGAGTGTATTAATTCTAGAAAACTACATCCCAGATATTAGCAGCATTAGTAAATCTTTAATTCTTAAGATACTACAGAGTACTGACAATTATTACTACAAAGTGATCTGTGAGTTGAATTCAAAGTGAATATTAACAAAGGATGACGGTTAAATCTAAGTGTTAAATCTCTACCACCGTAGTGACTGAATGTTCTAGATGTGGAGAAAGCTACAAGCACTACAGTATTTAACTAGATTCACAAAGAAAATTCTTACCTGACTGAGTCGGTTTTCTTGGGTTTGGCTACTGAGCGTCCTGAGCTCGAGCCATCTCGAGATCGACTTCTCTTGTTGTCTTTTACAGGCCTAAAACATAAGCCAATTAACCTTTACTGCTTCAGAAAACCATAATGTTTGTTACTACACATGTAATAGACAAATGATACCAACATTACACATGTTTATGTGTTATACTTACGGGCGATTTCCTCGAGCCTGACCCTGCTGTGTGTCCTTATCCTTCTGCATTAGGGTAATGGTGTATTTAAATTCATATTTGCCCTGGTTATAAATAGTGAACATTTTCTGCTTTTTATTATTCACTAACAGAGCACCAAAGTTAATGTCACTGATGGGGGAGATTGAGTATCTAAAAAACAAACAAAAAACAAAAAAATTAAGTACAGTCACTGTTTTCCACTTTGTTTTCCATTAGGATGTTGGCATAAATTGTAAAGTCACTGACATAATCTATAAAAAGTACCTTAATGATCAATGTAAAATAAATCAACAATAACATATATATCTTACTTTGCAAATTCGGCTTCAGCGGAAACTTTGATGGGAATGTTTGCTATAATTTCCCCTCCATCACCAAGTCTCGGCTCAATGACCTGACATTTGAGGATAGGCTGTTCTTTTATGTGAACCTCCTTGTTTGATTTGAAGGACACCGTGACTGGCTGGGGTCGGTCGTTCATGTTCAGAGTCATCTTACTGGGATTCACAGTGAACAAGTCCCAGGGATTTGGGTTCTTGGGATCACAATTGTCAAACACAAAGCTACAAATTAAATATATATATCAAATCAACATGTGTGACAGAACGATGATCAAAAATATCATTATTAGTCATTACCAGTAAATTAAAGTTGTTTATGGTGTATACTTGTATGTATTTTTGTATGTATGTATGTATCACCTGCATCATGTATCATCAAAGTTGCTATGTACTTACTTGTACTGAATCTCAAATTTGCCTTTGTTTTTGAGATGACATGTGAGTTTTTCTTCCTGACCAACTTTTACAGTTCCAAAATCTAGTCCTCCATCATTTCCTGCAAAACATAACAAACAATTTGTTAATATCCACAATTATTTATCATTTATCTTTGATGTTCCCATTTCAAATCGGACCCACCTTTTTGGAAACTGACATCCAGAGCAACGTCATAAGCCTCAGCCATGACCTGAATAGCCTCGTTAGAAAACAGACCAGTGATCTCCTGAAGATCAGATACCTGCAAAATAAAAATCATGTAAAGGATGTGAGCTTTAAAATAAAAGTTTGACAAGAAATGATGTCAGATCATTCAGGCTGTATACTGACCTCCAGTCTGATCATTTTTTTGATGGTGGAGACGGGTTTCATGGCCCTGAAGTAAGCATGGAGAGGGACTTCAGACAGAGGCTCCACGACTCCGTTATCCTCCGCCAGCGTGAAGTCATCCCCGAGGTTTTCCCAGCCTGTGATCTTCCACTTCACCGGCAGCTGGGTGTTATTCCTCATGTAAATGGTCTTGGTGTCTTTTCTAAAAATTATATAGGTATCTATATGTAATATTAGTTCAATGTACAAGAGGATGTATAGTTAGTGTATACTCTTGCTCATACATATTTAAGAATGTCAGTAAGTTACTTTGCAAGTATTTTGAAAAGGTTTAAAGCTTGTACTTTTCTTTGCACTAAATTTGAAGGTAACAAGGGTTTGTATGTAGTAATATGTATAGTTTAAATGTAAGAGGACTCAGTACCTGTGTAGTAGGACACTGTCAAAGTGGAACACCTTTTTGTCTAATTCCAGAGCTGGAAGGAAGGCATCACAGCAGACTTTAAACACCACAGGCTCGGGGTTCTCTCTAATACAGCAGACAATCTTATCCTCATAGTGCCCCTCATGTCGCGGGTACGCCCAGATGGTGAGGGGTTGAGACTCGCCAGGTTTCAGAATCATATTTGTGGGATCTAAGAGGAACGTCTCTCCTTTACTGTCCTCTAGATAACAGAAGCTGATATCAGCCTCCAGAGGAGAGGTGTTACAAATCGTTATCTTCTCCATGGTTTCTGGGAATCGACCACTCTTCATGCTGAAACATAACAGATTTCATTGCTTTTCTATCAGAATTGTATTTCTTTTTTTAAATTTGATCACAGACACACAACACTCTTCTGAGATTTAAACACTGAATTCTTACTCTGCTCTGGATTTTCCTGGAGAGAGTGGACCAAATTCAAAAGTCTCTGTAGCAAGAATATATTTCTTGTGAACAATTTCATCAGATTTCTTGTTCTTCTTGCGATTTGGGAACACAATCCTACAATTCAGTAGAAAGAGATTATGATAAAAGGGCTAATAGCAAAACTGAAAAATTTTGCATGTTAAAAATAGAGTTTCACTACTTGGAAAAGTAGGTTATGACATATATTATGTGAGAGTGAATATACCTGGGTTCACGGCTGATAGAGGGGAAAGCACACACCCCTCTACAGTAGAGCTGGTATCTTCTACGAGTTCCCACAATCTCAAAGTTCAGGGTCTGGTCAAACTGACCAAGTTCTTCTGACTGGAAGCGCAGCCTGATAACAACTTCTCCATTGGCTGGGATTATCCATCGGAAAATTGACAGTCTACAAAAGTTTACCCCAAATATTAATCAACTTATTCATGATTCAGAGTTCAATATCCAATATCAACCAAGCATAATATACATTGTTATGACATATTGTTTACCTGTAAATTTTCATCACAAATAATTTATGCTCAACAAATTTTAATTTTTGGTTGGTTTGAATTACTGTGAAATCACCAATATTCGTGGGGGTTTAATTTTTGTTGTTTTTCAAGGTATAAAAAGACCCATGAATTCATGTCACCACAAAATGTAAATTTTCGTATACATAACTAAAGACTTCTCCATCCACAAAATCAAATCCCAGAAACCAATAATTTTTCCTCAAACCTCGAAAATTTGACCCCATAAAAATATGTGATTTTACAGTACCTGGTTGCCAAACTTTGATAAATAAAAATTTACTGGGGAAAAAAGTGAAGACCTGTCACTAAGCCTAATTTTAAATTAATTCAATTAGGATGAAAATCAAAATACAGTGGAAAATGAAAATATAGTGGAATGAAATTATTTATTTTTTTTTATTATTTTTAATTAGCTTCATAAACTAAAATAAATGAAATAACCTTTAAAGATTTAAAGTCTGTATACCGAGTACATAATTACAATGAAAGCTTAAAGTATAGTACATAATTTTTAAGATATTGTAGGAACAAAGAATGAAATAAAATAGACATTTAAAAAAAGTTCCAAGGTAAGTTACAAAGAATGTTAGTAGATTGGTTAGGTAAAAAATAAAGCATTAAAAGTGAACAGCCACTAAACAACACTAAATACCAGCACCAATTCTAGCTGAATGTATATACACCATTATAACTACTAACTTATCCTTGTCTTGTGTAATATTGCATACTTCATGTATTTTGCATGTGATACTGTGTAATATGTATATTATATACACATTCATTGACTACTGTAACAGTAATAAACGAGTGAATGTAATATTTGACTAATTAATGTTTAACATGTAAGAGAAATGTAATAGGAAATTCAGACCCTCCTCTTTAAATCTGTATCTCTCTTATATAGTATACCTAATTAGTCTGTGTTTGTACTTCCATATAAATATTATCTACAGGCAGTTTTTGTGTATAAGTGTTCAGCAAGATTGACCTCCCTTACACACTGTGATAGATGGCGATACTTACTTGGGTGTTTTGGCCTCACCGAGAGCCACGCCTTCCCCTGTGGAGCTGTAAGGAGATACAGTATTCAGCATGCACATGCACATACAGGCAGTTAATTAAGGAGGGGATGGACACAGGTTAGAGGATGAGAGGGGTGTGTGGGAGGGGATATCCTTGCTACCACTGGGAGGTACATGCTTTCTACATCCTCTATACTAGTTTTAGAAGGTTGGTTGAGATAAGATGATGCTGTTTTCTGATTCATGACATACGATATATTAGGTACAGACAAATCACTACCACCTCACTGAAGCCAATTCATTGTTAGGAAGCATAAGCATGCTTTAAAGCATATTTTTTTGGGAGCACAGGGTAAAAGGCTATGTATTGCAGTTAGTTCAAACAGGCTATGATCTGGCGTGATCAATCTGGACTTGACCCATCATGAACTTTCATAACATGGTAATGTCAGTTTATTAATGCTGCTTAAACAGAAATTATTTTTTAGTAACATACATTCTAGTACATGTAAATAATAAGACAATTTGATCACTGTGTTCTAAAGGCTCATCAATGTGTGCCATAATTCTGATCTACATAGTACAATCCCACCACAAGGATGGGTGGTCAAACTAGACCAATAGGTGAAAGGGATTAGCATTAATAGTCCAATCTTCCCTGGGAGCAAACCACCGTGATTTTCACATACAGCCAGAGCAAGCATTACCTTAAGGCATCGATGTCTGACACAGGAGTTGTAGCCCCTGGTGGTGGGGATGCCACCTGCATTGAGTTGCGTCGTGATGAGGACTTTCCTGTGGCTGTTCCCGTCCGCCTCTCGGCACTCTTCTTACGCTCCCCCTTCTTGTCTTCCTTATCTTTCTTGTCCTCTTTACTCCCCTTGCCCCCCTTGCCTTTGGTGGGCGTAGTGTGCTCTGTCTTGTCTGGAGTCACAGATTTCTCCTCTTCCGGTTCAAGTTCCTTAGGGTCAGGTGCCCCTATGTTTCTGAAAGTAATTCATGTTAAAATTAATTTCATTTACATCCTTCTGGTACTTTCTTATTCCACTTAATGCTAAATTTCACTCTACAGAGGAGAAATAGATATAAACATACGGATCATCAGGGGATGATGCTACAAAAATGTAGCGGCCTCCAAATTCACTGACTGGTGGTGCTCTTCTCTTCACTGGGAAAGGAACCACAGCAAATGCAGCAGGGGGAGGGATTGGTGGTCCTTTTGGGCCAAGACCCAGACCATCAAGAACCTTAAAGAAATCATGACTTAATTTAGTTTTTGTTTTTCTAAATCACTCATTTTTGAATTCCTTTTTTGTTAACTGACTCCGTTTTCTTACCTCTTCCATGGAGGGCAGTCTGTTGGTCTGTAGTACTTTATCGTAAGCAGACACTGATTTATCTGAGCAGTCTACGACGATGTTTGGTACTCCTGTGCCATCTTCTTCCTTTTCCTTTGCTGCTTCATCAAACATGACCTCACCGTCCAATCCATCACCCTCACCCTGCTGGGCAGCCTTCTCTGCAGCCTTTAAAAGTAAGAGAAAATCATTTGTTTATTTTTTAATTAAATACTTCTTGGGGAAAAAATTCTGAATTCTTTATGACAGAGAAAGAAATTTTGTGTCATTTGTTTACAAAAATTAGCTGTGTTACAACAGAATTTGAGACAAACTAACCTCTTTGGCTGCTTTCTCTGCATTCTCCTTTTCTATCTGTTTCAGTCTCTCTTTCTCCTTCTCTTTTTCTTTCTCATGTTTATCTATTAAATATACATTGAATTATAAAAAGACAATATATTAAGGTTTTCCCTGTTTCTTAACAAAAATTATATTTTTACAATTTTAAGATGACCCGACCTTTGCCCCCTTTTCCCTTTTTTCCAGACGGAGGGTGGTGAGCCGCATCGTCCTCAGATTTCTCTGATGGTGTAGGTGGCCTCTTCAGACTCAGAGTGGTTCTGTCCCAGAACTCAATCATTTCCATGATATCTTTTTGAGCATGCTCAAAGGTGCGGAATCTATCGCAAACATTAATACATTAATAAACCTAGTAGCTGAAGCAATATTGAATTTCAAGAACACACTTACTTTCAGGTATTAAATAAATCATAAAAAAGATAAAGAGTTAAATCTAATGAATAGCACTAAACACTGTAGAGAATGATGCTATTTACCTCTGCATGAGCAGGATTTCTGATTCCTTGGGAGGGGGAGGTAATTCCTCCTGTGGGGGATCTGTCAGTTCCTTTGATTTCTCTTTCCCCTTTTCATCCTTCTTACCATCCTTACCCTTCTTTGCTTTCCTACAAACAATAAAGATTATGTTTAAAAACCATTAGGTGATACATATTTCCTGTTTGCTATTTTTGCACATGTATTTGTTATTCAATCACGTACTTGTCATCCATAGCTGTGTCGCTTTTCTCTGTCTGATGGGACTCGGGTCGTTCATTAGCGCCGGTTTTACTGCCATGTTCCCCGTCCTTAGCCCCAGCCCGGGAGGCCTGTACACGAGAGTCCATGGCACTCTGTGGCTTCCCTGTTGCAGTACCCTTCTTTCCGTCCTTGGCCGGCTCTTCTTTCTTTTCAGCCGTCTTCTTCTTTCCTTTCTTCAAAGCCCTGTACATAAATTTATTTTAAGATTTGATAACTTTTTTACTTTTATTTTGTTTGAATAGGAACATTCATTGTTCATTTGTTTTATGTTAGTTATTTTATAATCTACTGAATAATAGAAGCTTAAACTAATATAATTCCTTGTCTAATAGAGCAAAAATATTTAAAGTGAAAGACACTAACAATACAACAATAAAACCAACACATCAGGAATTCACCACAGACACAAAAAACAAGTAATAATTCTTGTCAGACTTAAAAAGAAGAATTGGCACTTCAGAAATTGACAATATTATAATTCTACACTGAATACATAGGACACGACAGTTAATACTGCAGTCACTTTGTTAGTACAATCCTAGTAGCCACTGTAGATAAGTATGGTTTTGGTGTCTGCTATTGAATTTGTAGAGACTTTGTGCTAAATGTAGTGTTAGAATAGACTTAGTATTAAATATAGTGTTTGTAAAGACTTAATGTTTACTGTAGTGTCAGTACCAAATCACTATTCACTGTAGTGTTAGTACACAATGTTCACTGTAGTGTTAATGATACTGTTGACTGTAGAATTAGTACATATTCATTGTTCACTGTACTACTAGTACACAGTATTCACTGAACTGTTAGTACAGACTTAGTGTTCATCATGTTAGTACAGAGTGCTTACTGCTGCTGGTCGTTAGTTTGTGCTACATGATGCCCTCCTCCCTTGTGGTGTCTACCACAGATAATCAACACAGATTAACTGACAAAATTCTACCAGAATATCAACACAGATTAACTGACAAAATTCTACCAGAACCAGTTACAATAAAACTCAGCTAGAGCAAAGTCCTTGGGACCTGTCAATTTACTCTGCTATATCCTTAACATTTGCTATATCCGTAAATTTGTTATATCCAAGTTCGTTATAAACCATAAAATTTTTCAAGGAATTGTTCAGAATTTTGCGAGGGATAAAAAAATGTTATATCCGTAAATTTGCTATATGTGTGTTCATACTAGAGCAATACTGTATTTTTATCTACAGATTAAGAATTACAACTACAAGACATCGGTCTTTAGGAAGGTATGAGTCGATTCTTGACCTTTAACCTTTAACATAGCTTGAATAAAACAGGAATTGTGTCTCGATATCAATGAGTTTCATGATGATATGGTGCAGTTTACAATAAAAAGGTTCTGTTCACTTGTGTTAAAGTATGACTCGTCCCAGACAATGGGGCAGATACAGACGAAGTGACCCCTATGTGTCTACCACTGAGGTAATAGAAACAAAAAGTAGATTTAATGTTACATCTAGTTACAACTATCTTTAGATCTCATATACTTTATTTTTTCTGTGTCTTAGTATGACCTTTGACATTAGGTAGTATAGGAGGACTTACTTTTCCTCCTCCAGTCTTTGTCTCTCTATTTCCTCTAATTCTCTCTGTTTCCTCTCTCTTTCCATCTTCTCCTCCATTTCTCTGTAATTGATATACATCACTGGTAAGTATTATCAAAGTCATTAAAATCATTAATCCTTACATCCCTACAATAAGACAATACTGACTTTCTGATGCGCTCCTTCTTGATTTCCAGTCGTTTTCTGTCCACCTCGGCTTTTTCTTCGTCAGACAGAGCGTCATATTCATCCTCTGACATTTCCTCCAGTCTCTGTCTATCTTCTTCCTCCTTCAGTTTCTCTTGTCGCACTAAAATGATTCAATTGTCTCTTAGTTAGGCTACATTTAAGATGAGTTTTAAATGCCCATTCACTGGCACTATATGTTTAAAGAAAAGCTCAAATATACAGAGTGACAACATCGTGTCAGTAAAGTTCACCTCTTTCCTCCTCGGCCTTCTTCTCCTGCTCCTTGAGAACGTTATAATCCAGTTTCATTGTCACAAAGTAGATAAATCTGCGGTTATTTAGCGCCCTCAGTATGGAGTGGGCAGTGATATACAGATTCTGGGCAAACAGATTCTCAAGGCCATCAAAAACAACACCCCTGTGGCAGTCATTTAACTGAAATATAAAATTATATTTTATTCATTCAATTAAAATATTGTAAACTACATAAAAAGGAAATTGCGAATATTTCAGTTGTTCAATGAAGGAAAATAAATTTGTAACATATTTCAGTTGATTACACTCCATTATCATTAAAGTTACCTGGAGCCTCTCTGACAGAATTTCCACGATGAGGTCCTCTGGCAGTACGCAGCTCATCAGCCCCTCCTCACCAGCCACGCTGGCACTGACACTGAGGCGCCGTGCAATAGGGGCTGCTAGAGGTGGGGGACTGCTGGGGACCTGGTCAAATAGTGAAAAAAATTCTTTAGTCCACAGTAAATCAGGGTTTTATACAAGCATTGCTGTTTTTACATCAAAATAAAAATGTTGGTAAATGTTTTTGTTTTTTTTTTTACAACAGATTCATGTATTATACACATATCAACAATTTGACATAATTAATCTATTAGTTTTAGAATGCTTTGGAATCCTTAAAATATTAGTAGCAGAAACAAAATGTGTACATCACTACAATTTATACAACATATTAACTCAGCCCATTCAAAGTGTGGTGACTGCCATTACAGACAATATCAGGCTTTTATCCGTCACTTTATATCAATGTTATTCATTCAAGAAAAAAGATTTTCTGAAAAACTCAAGTTTTTCAGAATTTTTCCTTCCTGTCTTGTTATAATTAGAGACAAAAATAAGGAACTACAAATGTTATTCAACAGAATTGTAAAATTCCAACAAAGAAAAACTATAATGGCTAAATAAATGGTTAAAAATACTGTTTCATTGAAGGATAAAGAACTGAAAGAAAAACTATGCAATGCTTAGTTTTAGAGTTATCTAACTTTATCATATTTAAATACAATGACAGCCCTAACATTTTTCTTGTTGATGTATACCAAGGTATTTGTATGTTCTGTCAGTTTGTATTCCATGTGTAAGGTACCCAGGTATGTCAAGACACATATAATGTACAACTACATGTTGTTCTTTATATGGCTTTTTCTCACTAGTTAAAACATAAAGGTGATAATGTTAATCTTGTGAAAATTTGTAAACTTATGCAGCAATTAAATTCAAAAGAAAACTGATTGGTTAGATTATAAAAGCATTTTCTCTAACATAAATTTGATAAATTAAATGAATCATAGAAAAATGCAAATATGGTATAACAAGTTAATATTAATGCAAAAATCACTTAAAAAAATAGATGAGAAATTGCTACAAAATAGGTACCTATACTTCTCCTACACATAAAGAAAACTCTACATGTGATTGCACAACATTAATATGGAGGAACATATTAAAATAAATGACAATATGGAACAATATATCCAAACAAGGTAACTGGGTGCAAAAAAAAGACAAAACACAAAGGGGTGTGTCACAACAGAAGCACCTTCTCTGCGTGGGCGCCCTTGGTGGGCGGAGCATGACCAGCCCCGCCTTTTTCTGGTGGGTGTCCATGACCAGGAACTGCCTGTAATGTGGTCAGTGTCTTACTACTGGTTTGCTAGAGATTAGTAAAAACGGTTAGTAATAGAGGAAGATGATGTGAGTGATAAGAGTTATCCCCCCTCAGAATCATTTTATGTAAACATCAGTATTTGCAGCCCATTCCCTATGGGTGCACATGTGTGATATATTTTGCCTGTGTGCTTGTGTGTATGATAATCACCAGCCTTCACCAGTGTCATACACTTGTGTGATATATTTTGTCTGTGTGCTTGTGTATCAGCCTTTACCAATGTCATACACTTATATATAGTAACCTTGTATCTTACCATGACAGAATACAGGTAATGAGCACGACTATACATCTGAAAGCACGGTTTTATCTGTATCTGATTGTATCGTTATATAACACATAGACTGGACAGATTTACTGATTTCAGAGATTATCAAATTATGATAGTTAAAATGACAAGAATGATTGTTAATAATGAGAAACTGAAACTATATGTTATGTCATTATTAATGAAAGGCTCAGCATATGAAAAATAAGGGGAAAAAATACAATTTTGAAAAATAACCTTTACAGACACTTTAAAAGATTCAATATACAGTATGTTACATCAAGAATTATAACACAATAATCAATTAAACTAATTTTAGCACCTACCTGACTACCAGTGGCTCCATCTATTGAGGACGTATTGATGCCCGTTTTCCCTGCGGCTGTACTACCGTGGTGCTTGTCCTTCAAGCCTTTGACATCTGAAACAGTGCTAGTCTTACGATTGGAGATGATGGAAGTAGTCTGAGGTACAGTGGTGGCGCCCGCTGTGAATAGTGAGTGGTGCTCAATCAGTGAAATAACAGGAAGTTAGTCCACATTCAGAAGCCACTAAATACAGTCACCATGAATGTGCTCAAGGATATACAGTTAAGGTGTACGCCATGCTGATACTAATCACACACAATTAACAAGACGACATACAAAATAAAATGTTACAAAATGTCTTCCCAGACATCCAAATACCCAGTACAATAAATATTGAGAAAGTATAGACAAAAACTTAAGGTTAGTTTTGATAAGTGTGGTTGTGAGAATGTGTAAAACAAATGGTGACAATCAAAGCAGGAATATATAATATAATTCTGTTGAATCATTCAAAATATCTGGATTTTTTTATTTACTTCTCATTATACTACATGTATATCTGGCATGCATTCATGTAACTTAACTTTAAATGAATAATTTGACTAGTTGACATAACCTCAGACTTATTAGTGACTTGAATACATATATACACATATATACACATAAGCAATGTTAGACTTAATGGTACCTTTATATGACTTAACCCAGACTTACTGACTTGTTTCCAATATAAGACTTAATGGTACCTTTATATGACTTAGCCCAGACTTACTGGTGACTTGAGTGTGTGCTGTAAGTTGTTCCACACTGAGTCCTCCTGGTTTCTTCTCGGCTTCCTCTCCCTCCAGCAGTTTCAGCTCCTCGGCCCTTTTCCTAGCCGCCTCTTGACACATCTCCCTGGCCCGCAGACCTGCAGATGTGTTTCCACTGGAGATGGCATCTAATATTACCTGATCAACAGTCAAAATGGCAGCCTCATATTTCTTAGCCAGAGCAATAGCTGTAGCTGTTTTTCCTGTAAATATAACGAGCATAGATTTAATTATGTCCAGAAGCTGATCAATGGGGAGGCAGCAAAAACTTACAATAAGACATTTTTGCTATTATACCTGACATGGGAGCACCATGGACAATTATAGCCAGCCCTCTTCTGTTCCTGGCAGCTTTACCCTCAGGGGTGAGGTCAATACCTAGATGTCTAGCAATGGCTGCAGATACTGGGGTAATCTCTAATTCTCCCACTCCAATACTGCTGGCAGTTTCTTCTACTGAAAACATCACATATCAATTTAAATCATGCAGTACTAATGCAAAAATTGGAAACATATAAAGAGATCACATAAAATTCTAAGTAAGTTGAATGGGCTAGCCTATAGAATCTCACCATCATCCATCTCATCTTTCTTCAGACGATCCTCGAGATCAAGTGCTTCAACAGTCCCTGCTTTGGACCCTGCACGGGAATCGTTTGTCCCTGGGGGTAGATCTGTGCGGACAGAGTCCTCCTCCTTTCCTTCTTCACTCTCCCCCTCCCCGGTCTGATCCTCCAGCTCACGTTTAGCGGCCAGAGCAGCTTCCTCAGCCTCTTTTCGGGCACGTTCAGATTCCTCCAACTTCTTCATTTGCTCTATAATATCAAATTTAGTCTTATCTATAGGTCATCTAGATAGATCTTCTCAGTGATCATAAATACCATGAGTAACTAGGATCCCCAATCAACATTTAGATATATACCTTCATAAAATTCTATCAGTTCTGGGGGTAATTTTTCTCCAGTGCCTCTTGGAGGCAGTAAGATTGTGTTGTATTCGTCATATCCTTTCATGATTCGTAAAATCTGCATGTTGAAAAAAGGTAGAACTTACTAATCATTAATTCAATTATAACTGGCACACAAATCAGGAAGAAAACTTAATTTTTTTATAAGAGTTTGTAGAATAATCTACTCCATTAAAACTTTATTTCATTTTGTAACTCTCCAAGATACAAGTACATTGCAAGTATTCCTATGCTAATGAGAGAGAAAAAAATCAAGTGGATACCTTTTCTTCCTCTAGATATGTTGAGTCAAACTCCAAGTTGTAGAATTCTATAGGGAATTTACAGGGATTCTTGACTATGATTTCCTGTTCATCTCCACTGCTGTGTGGCAGAATTGGACCAAATTCCACAAGGTTACGATCAAACTCCAATCTGGGCTCCAACCCTTGTCCCCGACACAACAAGAGGATCCGCTGACTGCTCTGGTAGATTCTGATGGGAATCCTCTGCTCATAGAATTTCTGGAAGAAAAATTAAAATAAAAATGAAAAATTTAATTTTTGTTTAATATTTAATGAATATCTATCTTCTAGAAACAAAGAGTATGTGTTACCTCTTCAGTGGGCATAAACTTGACTTGGACATTGATTCTTTGTCCTGGCATCAGAACACCAGTAGGAGGCATGATCTCAAAATGACGAGGCTTTGTTTTATCTTTATCTTTTTGTTTCCTCCGCAGATGCATTGGGACATGTTTCTCAGCCTGAAAAATTGAATTCAATTTTAGTTCAGTAATATAATTAGGTAAAAACAAATTTTAATGATCCTTTATAATTTTATTACCCGATAATTATAAGTGAAGTTTCTGTGAACAGTTTTGACCTCACCTTTCTGAGCTCTTTTTCCGAGGGCAGTGAGTTCCACTCACATTTGACCTGCTGTTGGTTGTAGAGCTGTACTGTGATAACTTTACATTCTCCACATTTCACTTCACTAAAGTCCAGAGAATCATCAGATATTTCCATGTCTGGCATTGTCACGTTAGCCTTCAGTTTCAATTGAATGACTGGGCCATTCAAAATCTACATCAAAGAAACAATAAGTTATCAACTCATCACATGACTAGTTTTCCTGTGTTCATATTTTCACTTGTACCATAAATTTCAAATATATATTTTTCATACATCTATTATTCTCAAGTATTTTAAGTTGACGTACATTAATTGGTACTACAGTTTCTATGGGTCCTAGGGGCAGATTAGCTCCCCTGGGATCAAAACTAACAACAAAGTCCACTGTCTCATGGTCTGGAGCTCCGGGCAAATTCCGGACCCGATCCAGCTCCACATGGAATCCATAGCGATGCACATCATCACGCTCCACTTGGAAAGAGACAGGAAACACCCCGGTGTTGGTTGCCCTTATGATGTGTGTGCACACTGTTCCCAAAACACGATGACCAAAGTCCAAAATATATTCTGGAAGTCTTGGTCTGAAAGAAAAAAAGTAATGGTAAAAAGCAGCTGCCAAAGTGAGCTTGTGACTTCTATATTTCTATAATACAAAGGCAAATCAACAAGAAATGGAGAGACACAAATACCATAAATCTCTTATATATTGTACTGTAACTTTATTTTGGTGAGACAACAGCATTTTATTGAGATACAATTTTTGTGAATCCTTCATCCATTCAGTAATGGATTATTTTTTGTTATTACCGTATTCAAAATAACTAAATTTTTGGTGTTGAGACAATCTTGAGATCAAAACATTAACAGCAATTCATCAGGCAAACTGCCACATTTTGAAAAAATTACTATGAATACTTTAGCTTTTAGGACACCAATTACTGAAAAATTAATCTAGCAATATTTTTTCTAGCTACTCAAATATTCATAAGCAGAGGAAAACTCAAATAAACCTGTCAGCTATTTTCCAGAATATTATACAACTTTCAGAAGTCAGATTAAGTCAAACTACAGTATATGATATAAAATAAACATGTGTACAAACATATTGATAATTACATGTATATAATGTGAAAAAAAAAACATTCAAACTATTTATAACGATAAAAATCATCAAGAAACTACAGTCAAACCTCCTTATCTCGAACTTGATGGGACCGAGAAAAAACTTCGCGATATCCGAAGATTTGAGATATCAGGGGTAAAATACTTAAAGAATAAGTGGTTGGGACTTCCTAATCACTTTGACGTATCCATGGTATTCAAGATATCGGTGTTCGAGATACCAAAGTTCAACTGCATGTCAAAACACTATGAAATAATAAAGAAAAAAATCAAACTTAAAAATTAAACAGATGCAAAACATAAAGAAAAAAAGTAGAACTTGAATCCTTTATGACTCACTTTGGTGTACCAGTAGAAGAGAAGGATAAGGACTTCCTAAACATACCAATATCACAGGATATATCAGAAAATAAACACACATATTTAATCATACACATGTTTCAATGACTGGGATTGTGATTTTTTCATTATGAAATGCAACTGACAAAATTGACATACTTGACTTTCTTTTTCTTTGGAGCCTTAGAGTCACTGGTTTCTCGGCTCTCGTTACTGTCCGGGGGTGTGACATCATACAGGTCAGGACGAGCTTGTATCTGAGCCTGCTGATCAAGAGCAAACTGCTGAACAGCCAGACGTTCTACTTCCATCTGTACCTCCAGTTCTTGAGGTTGTGTTGACATCTCACCCTACAAACCATGCCAATAATCTTCTGCTAATATCTAATTAAAGAAATTGTCTTTACCGACTTATTGTGTGGTAATTTTGACGTTCTTAGGCAACTGACCTGCATATGATCGTGTCTGAGAGCGTGTGTTGCCAGGCCACTACTGGGTCGCTCCATTGCCTTGGTGGTTTTTCTTCCTGTCTTGGCTAGATTTTCTCGAGCAGCAGTTTCCAGTTCCTGGTAGTAGCCCTCTGGGTCATTGCTTCTGGGCAGATCCAGGGAAATACGGGGAAACACTCCCGATCCATGGATCTTAATTTCATCTGGTTCAAAATGAGCAACTTGGATTGTGAAGCTCTTGGAGAAATCTTCAGGAACTCCAGGCAGGTACTTGACAGTAAGCTTCTGTTGGCTCAGGGGCTCAATGTAACCCTGTCAATTGAGGTTTCAGTTTTACATTTTCACAATTGAAGACTACTTTTCAAACTAGAGACTTTTTTGTATTTAAATATTGACATCTGAAGCCAGGTCCTATGATTAAGAAATTTCTAAGACATACAAGTGAAAGTTGAACAAATGTTTAATTCATGTATTGTGCTAAGTAGTATAGAAATTAAATAATACAAAATAAGAATGTTTTGTAAAATTGTATTACAGAGGTTGTGGTTATTTACAAATTTTGAGTTTTTATATCTAGAAATGTTTAATACTATCTTACAAATGACAAATATTTTGACATTTTCATGACCTTGTGGTAAGACAGACTTACAGTGTGAGGCACCATTATTGGCACACCTGGCTTAGGTTTCTTGGCTTGAGCTGGATCCATGCCTACTCCAGTGAATTCAAAACCAACTTTTCCCAGGTTAACTAGAGTAATCTCAGCAGTGCAGACATGGTCATACATCTAAAACAAGTGTTATAGAATTAACAATTCAGAAAGGTGACTAACTCTATAAATAATATCAGTGTTTTTAGCAAATCCTACCTGCATTCCATAATCAATCTCTTTTGTATCAAACTTGTATTCAACTAGTGAAGCTTCTCCCTTCAGAATGATCTCATAAGTAGGGCCACCCTCAACCTCACAAATGGCCTTTGCCTGACCCCAAATGTCTGCATGACCATAAAAGGTCATGGTCACTTGTTCTGTGTCACCAGGCATCAGTGTTCCATACAGAGGCAAAATGTCAAACACCTATAACAAAACATAAAACAATGTAAAAAAAGTTAATCCACTGTCTTAATGTTTCTACCTTCTGAAAGAATACATAATAGGTTATGTATGGTAGCTGATAAATATTGAGGGCAAGATGATCCTACATCAATTTCTAAGTAAATCAAATGGTGTAAATAGTTTTTAGATTAGTTTAGATGAGTATGAAGGCATACCTCTTCAATACCAATGGGAGACAACTCCTCTCTCTCCTGTTCCAGTAGACGACTCAGTGCACGGTTACTCTTCAGAGGGTCGTCTTCTACAGGAGCCTCCTTCATTGACCCGATACTGATCCTCAGGTCATCGGTCCGGTCCTTCTCCACTCCGTGTTCCGGCATGCCCTCCTGTAACAATAAGCTCCACATAAAACATAATCCTTATCACTGATTCCATAGTATCTCTCTATATGAGGGTGTTGTTTACCTATTTGTCAGAGAGTTAACTCCCTTACTTTACCTCTGTAAGTGAAGAGTACTGTTTACCTGTTTGTCAGAGTTAACTCCCCTTCTTTATCTCTGTGTCAGTGAGGAGTACTGTTTACCTGTTTGTCAGAGTTAACTCCCCTTCTTTATCTCTGTGTAAGTGAGGAGTACTGTTTACCTATTTGTCAGAGTTAACTCCCCTTCCTTACCTCTCTAAGTGAGGGGTACTGTTTACCTGTTCTAGTTGTCCCTTCTCCACCTGATCCTCCTGAGCGGGACTCTCGGCCCGGGGACTCGCTGTCTGCTCGTCAATCAGCTTATTGTCTTCCTCATCTTCTTCAGGCTTCTTAATGACCTCTTCACTTGGTTCTGTCAGCTCAAGATTGGATTCTTCCTCCTAAAATTTATAGCAAAATCAAAGTCTATTTTCATTCTCTAGGATTGCAATGTATTCTTATTCTTAAAGTATTATCATTTGTTTTCATTAATGCAGGTAAATATTTTTCATACACATGTATATTTAATATATCTAATCTATTCTTGTATAAATACTTAAATCCTGAAAATTTTTATTGGCCTCCTTTCAGAAAAATTCAAAACAGCAATCGAACAAACAAACAAAAAGGAACCAGCTTCATGTGACTTTGGTAAATATTATGACCACAACTTAGATTGTTGATATAATAAATGAGTATCATGCAATAAATAATAATGAAAATATTAAAAAATTGCTGCATGCAAAATTATTACAAGAACCTGAACGAATATGTAAGAAACCATGTCACTGATCCTGATTATGTAAATTTATTTCTAAAGTTAAACTTACCATAATCACAATTAATCTAACAATATTTTCCTACAAATAGCAGTACACGGCAACTGAACAACCAAGAAATGAAGTTTTAATTCTAGCTACCACATGAAGTATTTATATGCATCTTTTCTTTTTAGCACTCAATCAAAGCTGCAATTACTTCTAAGCTTCAAAGATTTGTATTGATTTATCACGTTCATCTTTTGTACTGTAGTAAATAGTAGAATGGCTTTTTCATGTAATATTTCTTGTCTAATTTCTTAATTTCTATCTGATTAAAAAAACTTCCTAGTAGTAGCGTGCTGTAAAATGCATGCCTAAAATGGCATTGATCATGTTTGAGTAATATTTTTTTAATAAAGATTTATTTAATGATTCATTTCTATTTTTTTCTTTAATCCTAAACAATGAAGAGTCATTGTGACTGATTTCTTTCACTTGTGCACCTTGTGTTTTCCCTGTAGGAACCCCTTCCCTCCTCCTTGTACACACCTTGTGTTTTCCCTGTAGAAACCCTTCCCTCCTCCTTGTACACACCTTGTGTTTTCCCTGTAGGAACCCCTTCCCTCCTCCTTGTACACACCTTGTGTTTTCCCTGTAGAAACCCTTCCCTCCTCCTTGTACACACCTTGTGTTTTCCCTGTAGGAACCCCTTCCCTCCTCCTTGTACACACCTTGTGTTTTCCCTGTAGAAACCCTTCCCTCCTCCTTGTACACACCTTGTGTTTTCCCTGTAGAAACCCTTCCCTCCTCCTTGTACACACCTTGTGTTTTCCATGTAGAAACCCTTCCCTCCTCCTTGTACACACCTTGTGTTTTCCATGTAGAAACCCTTCCCTCCTCCTTGTACACACCTTAGTAGGTTCCACTTCTGCCTTTTCCTCCTCTTCCATCTTCTCCTCTTCCTCTTCAATGACCACCTCCACCTTCTCTGTCCCCTCCTCCTCTTCCTCCAGCACGTCTTCTTCCTCCACCACCTCCTCCAGTTTGATGGTCGGTTTTCTGGGAGGTGGGCGATTGATAACAGTACAGGGTTCATCCCCAATCAGGAAGCACCATCTGTATTTGACCTCCATTGGGCTGTTGTTGGTGATGTTTATATATCTTGTGACCTCGGTGTCATTCAGGATACAGCCAAAGTCTACCACAGTCTTCTCAAACTCCAGATTGGGGAAATAGACCTCTCCACGCAGAGCTATGTAATCCTGGTCATAAATAAAGCAAATCATTAAAAACTGACAAATAAGATAATCACTGGCACTAGTAAAGGATAAATGTAAAACACAGTCAAGATATTGCATAATAAAACCCCAGTAATAGAGTTTATCCTTTTAATTTTCTATGTCAGGATTCACTTACAATGTGGGGATGCTCCTTGTATGCAATGTGTAGAACTTCATCAATGGTCCGAATGTGAAGGTCATCCTTGTAGGCTGGGTCAAACTCAATTCTCAAAGTGTACTCCTTCCCAACGGCCAAATGTATTTCCTGTTGTAACAGAAGTATAGAATTATCTCCAAATTTACAATTCAGTTTCAAAAAGAGGAAAAAAGTTAACTTTTGGATGAAGTACTGACCGTTTCAGACACCCTGGAGTCATCATCTAGTATGATCTGGAATGGCCTCTGTAACTTCAGACCAGTGGTCAGTGGCAGTGTAGACACATTCATCATCTTCAAATCTCTGACCATCTTACTCAAGGTGTCATGAGGTTTCTGAAATAAACATATGCATCTTTCTTAAGTCCTATTAAAGCAATCAGATTTTAGAAGCTTACCAAATCATCTTATCACACCTGAAGTTGACATGAGGAGCCTCAGATTGCTTAAATGTAATATTCACTCAACTGCAGTAGCTAAAGACTAAACTCAACTTATCACAACTGAAGTAGACAGACTTGGTGGAGAATTCCAGTAGTGGTATAAACTCACCTTATCACACCTGAAGTAGACAGACTTGGTGGAGAATTCCAGTAGTGGTATAAACTCACCTTATCACACCTAAAGTAGACAGATTTGGTGGAGAATTCCAGTAGTGGTATAAACTCACCTTATCACACCTGAAGTAGACAGATTTGGTGGAGAATTCCAGTAGTGGACTGATGAAGTCAGCAGACACGTCCACCCTCATAATCAGCTCCTTTCCTCCTTGTCTGCCAATGATGGCATGACACAGCATGCGCTCCCTCACAAACTGGGGGCTAAATAAAGCAAAACATTCTATATTAAAACCATATCAATGATATGACACAGCATGTGCTCCCTCACAAACTGAAGACTTACAAAACATTCTATATTAAAAGCACATCAGCTCCTTTAAACAGCTAAAATTTTAACATTATAATGAAGTCTAAGCCATAAATCTCATTAATACATATACTACTGAATGAAATTTGTGACAAATTAAAGAGACAGCAGACCTTTCTACAAAGCCCTCAATAAACATCTCAAAGCTGGCCCCAGGTGGAAGGTCAAATCTGTTTGGGTTGAGGCTGAATATTGGCTTTGGAGGCTGGGGTGGAGGAGGGACATTCTTAAAAAACAAAAACAAAAAAATAATAACATAGTTACAGATTTATAAATCAAAATGACAGGAGTCAACATTACACATGATAAAAATCTGGAATTATGGAAACCTTACCCTGTATTTCATGTCCAGTGGGTTGTAAGCAGCTAAATCTTTCCGTGCTTTACCCACGGGACCAAAACCATCCAAACTCCAGACCAGCTGCTGGTGTCGCCTCCCTTTGTTGGTCAGTTTGAATGACTTCTTCAGAGGACGATTACTGTTATGAAAATAAGAGAATTTCAGATAACAGATTTCTCTGTAATTCTAATAATATACGAACATCTGTTCAGAAGGTAATAACTTAGAACACTAGGATATTGATTTGAGACCCACCTGAAGTTGGGTCCTAGGTTAAGCTGAGGGGTGAGCGGTGGATCTGACACTATGGTGGTGCCCTGACCGTAGCCAGTCAAAGGAATGTAGCGGACCTGACTTTCCAGGAAACTTAGCTGTAGTTTATCCTGGAAGCGGACAGCATCGTCAAGGTGTGCAATGACTTTAATGTCCAAGGACTTCTCAGCTGGAATTTCACCCTCAACAGGGTCTACACTGAAGGCTGAGCGAGGTCTCACCTACATATCAGATCACTCATTTACATCCATAAATTCAACATTCACCTTCAAACACGGTGTGCATACAATTCAAAATCTGTCTCTTAAAGATTAAAATTAATAGCTAAGATTGATGACAGCTCTCCGTGCTTCATAACAAAAACACAAAGTATATTATACTCACCATGTTGGCAGTGAAGCGAGCTGGTATGAGGGATTCGTTAGAGAGGGTGATGACCATAGGAATGTTGGTCAGGACTGGCACTACCCCCCAGTCCAATTCATTAGGAGTGATATGTACAACTGGACCCTCACCAATACACGATATATGTACACCCTTTGCAAAAAAAGGTCAGTAATAAACATTTTCATTCTATATTTAGAAATCTTCTTTAAACATTCAATTTTTTTTTTTTATTAAAAAGGTCTATACAGTTCTTGTTATATGCAGAGAATTTTAAAATCTGACATGAAGTAAACTTAAATCAGTACATGAACAGCTTTATATTGATGTGAATTCAAAACCTAACACAGAAAACAGGAAATTAGTTTTAATTAACATTACAGAATAACCAAGTCAAGTGAATCCCTTACCAAAGGTGGGTCTGGACTGCCAAAGATGGAGAAGTAGGCTACTATGTCTTGTTCCTCAAGCATCTGGGCCTCAATCAGGAGGGGGACATCACACAGGGAGTGGGGTTCCACAATGCCCTGATAACATACAAACAGAGATATCTAAAAACGACCACTGTCAACAATAAAGAAATATACAGAGAATAGGTCATTTTTCTATGCTATCGAGTCTGTTGAATTCATCTATGTAACAAACCTTTGATCTGGGACTACTGTACAGTATTGGCGTATCCTCATTTATTTGCTGTGGCAGAAGTTCATATTTAGCCGGCAAATCTGAGTCGTTATGAAGCTTTACAGAGTGTTCGTATGGATGACGTAGAAAACATCGACCGTAATCCAAAATGGGACTCAGAACTGTGACAGGAGGCACTACACATCTGGAATATCATTGAAAAAAATTAACTCCAATACCTTCCTGGTAATTTTTACATTAAGAATCTATTTAAAAAACATGTTGAAAGAAAAGTTTTTTATTTATGGCTTATAAGGACAACATTTTTTTCGCTTATAAATTGTTTGGGCTTACTTGGCACTGATAGGAAGAGACAGCACATCTTCTCCAACAGTTTCCACATCCACCACCAAGTTCATCTCATACTTCTTGATTGTATTCGAGATTAACTTCACTGTAATCTTCTGTTCACTCTGAGGTTGGAGAGTCCCTGAGCTGGGAATGATCTCAAACTCCCTGGGTTGCCCTGCCCCTGGGGGAGGAGCTGGTGTGCTACTATCTGTTGAATTGTTGTCTAGGTCATCAGTGCAACAGACACTAGGGGTTGTTCCATCCCCAGGAACTCTCAGGTGGAATTTCATGGGGACCAAGGAAGTATTTTGAAGCTTACACGTCTGAGTGTTCAGAAAACCTGTCAGATATGGACAAATCATGCATTAAAGGGTCATATCCTCACTCAGTTCATAAAGATGTACTTGGTCACACAGAGCATACTTACCATAGGAGATTGTTCCAAACTTGATTTTTGGTACATCAAACTGGAATGTAGGTCCAATGACAGATCCACTGAATTTAAAAAAAAAAAATACAAACTGATGAACATGAACCAGAAGCATATAACATTAAATAAAGAAAAGGTGAGATGAATCAATACATACGTGAAAGACACTTTAAGCTGCTGAGGCTGTCCATCAACTTGGAAAGAGAATTCCTCCAAGAAATCTCCTAGATAGGGACTGGAAAATGAGATCTGAATAGCCTGATGTCCCCCTGGCATCACAATGCCCTCAGCAGGGTTAAAACTGAAGCAAGGTCCAAAAATAGTCTTTGTGGGCATCACACTGTAGATGGCATCAATATCGCCCTTGTTGATCAAAATGATCTCATAATAATGCTTGGATCCAATAAAAATATTTCCCATGTCTAGAGTTTCATAAGAGAACTGCACGTTTGGTCCTATTCCATCACCACGGATACGGAGAGGGAGTCTGCTTTCTCTACCTGTGATGTCACAAAAAGCCGTCTTCATACAGGTCTCAGCCTCCCGAGGTTTAAAGATGACATTGACCTCGAAGCTGGAGTTTGGCCACACGTCCCCCTCCACTGGTTCTATCTGGATGACGTCGTCATTAAACAACATCTTGTCATTCTCCACCAGCTGTTAAATAGAGGCATATCCAGGGTTAATAAAAACAAACTAAGGTTAACATCCACAGTTAATAAAACACAAAGTTTAACATCTTTCTTCTCAAGCTTTCACTATATGTGACTTATGCACTGTTAATTAGCTTGCAAGAATATGCAGATAAGATGAAGCTCAATAATTTGTTATCTTTGTTAAATTTGAAGAAGTAAAATGAAGATAAGGTTGATATCCATGTTTTGTTAGGATACTAAAATTTGGTGTCTGCACTGTTGATTTATTCAACTGAAATATGTTATCATCAAAATATGAGTTTGATGCAATTATCTTCATAGTAGTAGACCAGAATCACTGGTAAGCAGTGGAAACTTTACTTTTGGTTGGTAATTTTTTCTATGGTTGTGTTATTTGTCCCCTACCTTTCTCCTGTTCTGGAATGTCCTGTTGAGGATGGACAGTTTGTCCCTCAGGGTAGGGTCCTGGACACACTCCTCTAGGAATTTATTGGAGTCTTGTCTTTCCTCCAGGGAAAGTCTTGAAGTCATGCTGTAAGAAATATTTGATTATTTTCCACACAAACAGAGTGTGAAGATCGTGTTACATTAAATAAATGGTTTCTTTGATAGCAAAAGTTGAAAAATTAAAAAAAAAAAAACACATAAGAGTGCTGTAAACTCCACATACGACATCTTCTGCTGGTCTTCCTCTTCTTTTGTGGCAAACTGTGTCCATCTAAAGTGGGCTATAATGTCTGAACGATTGTGAATCGTCACTGTTCTTTGATTGGCCATGGAGATGTACGTGTTTTCTATCCTAATTGAGTTTTTGTCCAATCGTACATTAGCATCCTGTGCCCCTCCATACAGTGAAATCAGCACATCTTCACCTAATTAAGATAGGGAAGTTTTTAAATAATGTTTCTCTCAAAGTTCTCAAGACATACTTGACTTTACCTGTATCATCACAATATAACTGTATCATATAAGATGCCTATTACATCATACAACATACCTGTGTCATGTACAACATACTTGTATCATGTACAACATACCTGTATCATGTACAACATACCTGTATCATAGTGAAGGACAAGGTCTGAGTTGTAATCACCCACTTTCTGGGGTGTGAATTCTACTGTAACCTGCATACTGTCCTGTACCCCTAAAGTTCCTATCTCAGGAGTGACACTGAATGGCCTGTAAAATCAAAAGAGGAAAGTCAATACTTTTATAATAATACAGCAATAATGAATTAGAATACTGAAGTCAAACATTTTTCAGCATAGGATAAATTTCCGCTATGTATGCAGTCACAGTTTTTTTGCAGAAATTTGTCACAGTAACTTTGTATTTGTTAAGGAAATTTAACAACAATCCAAGAAATCTGCGTAATTTTATAACTTGTGGATTGAACAGAAATTGTGATTCTGTGGAATTATGACCCCGTGGGAAAAAAGTATGTTTACAATATGTGAGTAATTATTTGAGAATCATCATCATTTATTTGGTATCATGCCATCATACGTAAAACAAATACACATAACTATACATAATCATTCGAAAGACGATATTTGGGAATCCATAAATTTTAAATAGATTTATAAATAAATATTCAGGAAACCATATTTTTAGAAATATAATTCCACTGTGACTAGTTGATACCAGGATAACCCATTAAAGCTCAAGAGCTTATTTCCAATGGGGTCCTAGAAACTGTTTTTGGGGAGCATTCAGAGAAAAAATGGACGGTGTAGTTGTCTATATACCTTGTACTCTTCTTTAAAATGCAATCAACAATAAATATGAAATTAAATATATAAAACACCACAAAAGATTAATTATAATGAACACATAAGGAACTAACGGTTCTGCGGAAAGTGTGAACTTTGCCTCGCTGTTGCCCACATTTCTGACCAGAAGAGTTCTGGAGTGTGTGTTCTTCACAGGGCCTGCTGGGAAATGAATGTTGTCAGGAAAGTCCAAAATTGCCCTGGCTCCAATTGCACGTACTGGCACTATAAACTTCTCACGTTCAGTGATGCACACAAGTTCATGATTGTAATCCTGAAACACAAATTACATTTATGAAAAGCTGCTTTTACTTGACAAAGTAACTATGTTTTATTCTATTGAATTGGTACTAGTGTTATTACTTAAACATATAAATTTCAGTGTGTTTGATATTCAAATTTTAGCCAAAGTGCCTTGTATCTGACCTTTTTCTCCTCGGGACGGAACTGTAATTTGAATGTTGTAGGAAGTCCAGGTCCCACTTTATGACCCACATCATGTGGACTGATAATTTCAAAGTATGGCGAGTCAGCCTGGGTCACTTTTACAAGTCTCGGCACCTAAAATATTCAAACAGAGCATAGATAGATTGATAAAACAACTTACTACAAATAAAATAATAGTATAGAACCAAAGTTTTTAAAAGCTGAATTGTTGCAATGGTTAATTATTCAATCTGGATATTCCATGGTATTAACAGTAACACATGCAGCACACCACTGATTTTGCTTCTCTCTTTCTAATGGTGTTAGTTGAATAGTCTACAGAAACTGACTGGGAGTTCAATTTAATCTTACCTTGTCATTATTTCTCAAGATCAATGGTACTTCATAAACCTCATATGGCTCAAAGTTTTGAAAGTAAATTTCAGATGGGAATGGTTGAAACATTGGTTCATCAATATTTACTTGTGAAAACTGAAAAATAAACAATTAAAACTAAATTGTGCTGATGGAACCATTTTTCACCCAGTAAGGTTGAAATGAAATAATAATAAAAACAAAACAAAAAAAGAAAGAAAGAAATCACTTAAAACAGCACATTTTAAATTTATAAATGTATTTTCTACAAAGAGCTTTTTCAATACTTTACTTAAAAGGTACAACTAGCATAAATCAAAAAATTCAAACTGGAAAAAAAAATTACTGGATGATGATAATTACAATTAATTTTTAGACGTAAACACCGCATATTCTTGGTTGAATAGTTCTGTGAAAAGTTTGCCAAACTTTTTAAAACCATAATAGAATGCAATGCTGATTTTGTGAATTCTCAGTAACAAGAACAATTCTTCAAGTCTTTTTTTTTCAACATAAACTTTCAAAAGAAAACAAACACATAAATAGTATCAAAAAAAGGAATACAGTTTACCCAGTTCAAAAAACTTAAACTTCCAATATTTGGCTGCAACAAAATGTTGATTCTCTGCAGATATATTTACATATACATCAAATCAGTTTACTTTTCAACTGAAAATAATCTGCTCATCATTTTCAATAAAATATTCATTGATATAAAAATGGTCAAAATGATTTGCATGAATAATAATGCATACTTATTTCATGAAAAATATATTTGCAAAGCTTACAAGTCTGATCTGCTTCAGTAAAGCTACTAGCTGATATGAACTGAAAAGCAGCAAGCACTGACAAATACGTAAATTATTTATTCTTCAAAAATTAAAACTTTACAAAAAGTGTCCTTCAGTAAATGTTTGGTGAAGTATTTCAAACCATTTAATTATACATTTGTTGTGTTAAAAGACAAAGTACCTTCTGGAGGCTGGTGTCAGCCATGTCCAGCAGTTCTATTTTCTTGGGAATTCTCATAATATGAGTGTTGGCCAATTTTTGCTCTGTGTTCATTTGCATATCAAACATAAATTTGCTAGGTGTCATCTGAAATTAAGATAAACACATTTAAATTCTATTAAGCTTGAATAAGTAATGATAAAATATGCATATTGTTATATATTGGAGAAAAAAGAGTGATTATAGTTTTGTTTTTACAGAATGCTTAATGTTCCAAATCTCAATTAAATAATGTAATGTTTATGTTTTAAAATTTTGCTCAATCAGTAAAAGCTTAAAAAATCTCCATTGTCATTAGCCATTATCATTATGCAGAAATTTCAATATCAGACAGCATTTACTCTTCATGCAATATTCTGTACTTAGTTGAATATATTTTAAACTAAAACGAAAAATTGTGGTGTTTTCCCTTTATTTCAAAGTAAATGGTTGGAGATCAATTGTAACAGACTAGGGTGTGAGGTTTATGAACAACCTACAACAATATTTTTTTTTCATTTTTGATAATGATTTCTGAGCGGTATTTTTATCAACTGTAGTGGTCAATTTGGCCAGTAGCCGGTTTGTAGGGAAAACACTGCATTTCATATAGAGTAGTATTATTTAATATCTTCTTTACCTTGTGTCCTTCTTCATCATCTTTCAGAAGTTTGGGGTTTCTGGGAGCAATAACTTTGCTTTTGTAATTACTTGCATCTGGACCAAGGGCCTCTAGAGTCCCAGTGGTACCCACCACCTCCCCAAATGGCCCTAGAGGCATCTTGTGATTCTTTTTCTATGTAACAAGATTTAAATTAAAAAAAACATGCTGCTTCTAGAAAATGTTAATACAAAGAATTCAGAACTGCACCTGTTCACATTTAACGATCACATTCTACACATGTGAAAAACTGCAGTTCTGCAAGTTTATTAATAATCAGCTATCCTTTGCAATGTTGATATATTAAGAATAAAGTTAAATGACAGAAAATGTATATGTATACATTTTGTTACAATTTACCTTTTCTTTATAATGTTATTTCCGATTTCTTTGCAACAGTTTTTATCAACTGTTGTTTGCAGCCGCCATCTTGCTTTATAGTTGCTATAGAGCTTAATCGGAAGTCCTCCAATTTCTTCCAATTAAAGTTCCGAGTAAACGATAAGGGTAAAAGTAGTACGACCCTAGCTCATTTGTCATAGGCTATATAACCGGAGTAAACAAATGATAAAACGGCTATAAGTAAATGAAGTAAACCGGCGAGAATAAAAACTAATTATTCTCAGTAATGATTAATTATGGTGGATCTTTTATTTGTTGGCATTGTGTCTTAAGTACATGTAGCGGAAAAAAGTTGGAATTCAATATAAAAAAAAATCATGGAACTCACGAAGAACTTTATTTATACAAAATAACAATAGATTAACTTTTAAATGTATGAATGGACATTTGTTTAAGATACACAAACAACTTTTTAAAAATTCCAATTTGCAAAAAAAGTATCTGTATTTTAACACTGGTTATATTTTCCCGCCATTGATCTTGTAAGTGGAATTGAATCTGATCAAGAAACTAAAAAGACAGCGGTGAATTTCATTGCGTCCTTGAGTAAAGAGTGGTTTGTCAGCGCATTTAAAAATTATAATTATTTAAGCTAATTATTTAAACGCCATGAACATTATTTCATGACGTGTGTCCTACATATAACACTGACGCATAAGAAATAAACTTAGAAAAACATGGAACATCGTATGAGCTAACAGTTCTTTTACAAAGGTATTTGGTACATTCTTATCAAATGAAATTTCGTTTTGCACACAAAAGACAGTTTATTATAATTAAAAAGAAAATTTCATTATTATACTGGCGTTATAAGAGATATAAATCACGTTTGCCTTCATGCTCCACGAACGCTAAGTATAGTATGCTTTCTTTATTCATGATTAATTTAATTCTTTATTCATATCAAAGATTCATAATTCACAAAACTAAAATTTCACCAAATTGTTTTTGATAATTTTAAACGCTGTGGATACACTGATATATTAAAAAAGAGAACAAAGAGACCAGTTATTAGCAGGTTGAGACTTAGTGCACATTATCTTGCCATAGAAAAAGGGAGACATTTGTCTATACCCACAGATGAAAGATTTTGTAATATTTGCAACACAGGAGAGATTGAAGATGAATTTCATCTTCTATTCAGCTGCCAAAAATGCAATAATCATAGGTTAACTTTTTATAGGAACCTGATGAATTTTTTTTTCGAGGAAAAATATCAAATATGTCTTGTACTAAAAAACTTCAGCTTTGCTTTAATAGCCAATGTCCAGAAATACTGAAAATAACACACTCATTCATTAGAAAATTGTCATGTATCTAGAAATAAAATTTTTGTATTACTAGTACATTATTCCTGTACAAATGATTGTATGATTTATGCATATCCTCACATTCTAGAATATTGTAAAAATGTATGAACAATTTATTATTCTTATATGTTGTGCCTTTGCCAATTATTGTAATTTAGTTTTTGCGCCTATAAATATTGTATTGTGTTTATTTTACCATTATTTTATTTAATGTTATTTTTATAAAACTTGAAATTTATGTTCATTAAATATTGCCTTTTACATTGGCTAGAAGAGAAAGTTATGTAAGCAAAAAGAAAGTAAATTGTTAAACCTGTCTTCAACTTTTTGGGACAACCCTCGTAGATTCAAGTTTCTTCAAATTATGATCCCCGGGGTCGGGGGAGATGCCACAATATGTGTTCTAAGTTTGACATTGGTAAAGATAGGGGAAATGTGCCATTCAATAACAGCAGGGCCATTTAGTTTATTTCTTTGCGTGTTATATGCAGGACACACGTCATAAAATAATGTTCATTATCTTCATGGCAGTTACCACACCTTCTTAGGTCACAAGACTCATCAATTGTTAGATGACGATTTTCTATTTATTGACAAAAGCTGGTTAAATTGAATGATTAATTGAGAGAGAAAGAGAGCGTTCCCTCAACATTTCTTTAATGCAATGAAAATGATCAAATATTGTAACGTTTGACATCCCATGTATATTGTAGATGTTTGGCAACCGCATACTCGTACTTTGATTTTATTCTTGTGGGGAATTATTTACCATCGATGGTCTGGCGAAAGGGGGGGGGGGGGGCTGGTTTCCGGACTCATCGTAGAGGAGCAGCATTCTTGGCGCAACCTGGTAGAAAAGTCATGGTTCAGCTCATTATAATCTCCTACTGAACAATGCAGGAATTCAATATATTGGAAAACCTTTATTTCTGAACTTGTTTTAGGTTTATTTTCCTATATTAAAAATAGAAGTCAACCTCAAGCATTGGTGTCTCTACCCACCACTGTGTTAAACATTCAGAAAGAGAAAAATGACGGTATATAGTGAAGCAATGATAAATATTTGTTGTAACAAATTTGTATTAAGTTCATGTAGATTACAAATAAAAGAAATCAATAAAGCACACACTGCAGACTCTATTGCAACAAAAAACTTAGATAGAACAAACAGTCTTTTAGTACTCGTTAAGATCTGCAAAGACATTGGCACCCAGTGACAGCGGTAACGATATCTAAAATCTGAGATTCGATCACTTGCACAACTTGAAACTTGATAACTTGACCCCCCACCCCACCCCTCTCCGTTTATTTGCTTCACCTGCATCAGCTGGGATACATTCTAGCCTTTTTTAAACGAATATATATATTTTATCTTCATTTTCAAAATTACACGGGATAAAAGCTCCCAAGTGATTTCGGGGAATGGTTCACTGACATGAATACAAACCACATGATAGCAAAACTGGGTGTGTCAAGCAAATTGACTATATCATTGGATGCTGTTCTTATGGAGCACATGGTCAATTTCGGCATCTCTCTCTCTCTTCATGAAATCCGATTTTGATTCGGCAGAGCAATATGATAAAATACACATGTTAGTGGTTATGCAGTAAATAAAAGGAGATATACACAACATAAAATAACACAAATATTAAAACATTTGAGACTGAACTTGATTGTAATACTGTGATTTAGTTATTTGTAAAATACATGTATTGTAGGATTATATGTTGAACATAAAGGTAGTAAATAGTTAAGAAAATTCGTGTTTTGGGAATTTTGAAAACTTGTCTTTCTTGAAAAGTTACCATGATTAAATTGCAGAATAGTTCACATTCAAATTAGAGATAATTGATGTCAATGTACTTAACCAGGAACATTGGACAAAATTTACCTTTCTCTTTTTTTTTTTAAGCAAAATTCTGTTTCTCCATTCGTGTTGAAACCAAATGAGTCATACTACGATATAATGCTAGTAGCATTATTTTTAATTAATACAGTAAATCACATGTTCTTAACAATTACTATAATGAGTCTTATTTGCTATCCGGAATATATGATTTGCTTCTCTTACGACCAAGACCCCTTAATTCCGTTACATTTCGTACACTTAATAATATATGTAATTTCCATAATTTCTGTTGGTATTTGTGTATCTTCCCCTTTCAATATTTAAGTTTTAGGGTCATCAAAGTAATTAAGTCAAATATTTTAAATGAATATTGGTATTAAATCATCATTGTGGACTTTTTTTTAATTTATGACCAAAAGCAAGAAGGACAGCTTTTTTTTTTGCAATCAACACACGCCTTAGATTAACACCTGATGGTGCTTTCTGTAACACGCGCATCTGTCTTTTTTTATTCTGATACGATGAAGTAATTCGATTGTTTTTTCAAGTATGTGTGACATATGCACAGTCGATGAATGTTAATTTCCTTTTAGTGTGTCAAGACTACCAAAATTTATTTTATTCAAAAGGACATATCAAAATAATATGTTCATATGAACATAAATGATCTTTATAAGTAAATTTTATGGATAATTTCCTCACACTTTTCATCTTCAAGTCACCATAAATCGAAGTTCTTGTAGGAACCGCTTATAAACAATATACTAAACCACGGCTAGGATTAATAATTATTAAGAACACGTTCGTGTGTGACTTTTTTTTTCTAATATAATAATTTACGCAGTTAACACATATACATTTTATTTTTTTTTAATTAGACGATGCTATAAATCATACAAATATGCCTTGATTCCAAGCACAGGTACTTGTGGACAGGAACCCCACCCCCACCCCCCTCGGGCTTGTAATTTTTTTTTTTTTTTTTTTTTTTTTTTTTTTTTTTTTTTTACAATTTATACTTATTACACTTCCTTATCATGTATACCATACGAAAAATTGGGTTAAAACTCAAAATAACCGTTCCATACAAAAAAATACCTCACTATAGGGGCCTACATAATCTCTTTCATTATGCATAGTGAGGCATTTTTGTATGGAACAGTTATTTTGAGTTTTGACCCAATTTTTCGTATGGTATACATGATAAGGAAGTGTAATAAGTATAAATTGTAAAAAAAAAATTCCGACAAGCCCGGCGTCATATATTGGGGGGGGGGGGGGTCCTGTCCACAAGTACCTGTGATTCCAAGTGCACATAGTCTTTCTTTATTCAGATTTGTATGGTTATATTATATATATGCCATATATGATCTTGATTCAAAGAAATATTTGTTCCTGTTAATGAATGAAAATTGCCTTCCCTCTATAAGGAATTGTTTATTGATAGCTTAATTTTCAAAAACATTGATTTCTAGCAATGAATCTAATGTCAGTTTCGTATTTGGAAATCTGGACTTGAATACATAAAATTTTATATGTAATGCATGTACATTTCATCTCTGATGTGGATGTTCAATTCGGGCAAACTATAGAGCCACAGTATGTCTAGCTACACCACAGTGAGTAAGTCTACATCATTGAATTATACAGATGTTAGTGGGGTGGATAGGAACACCTACTGTCCATTTCCACCTTTCTCCCCCTGTTCTCCCTTAAAGGCCTAGGGGCCTATATCTCTCATTTTCTCTCTTTCCCTGACACCCTCTTCTTCCTTTCCTCAACGTTTTCCTCCCACCCCTTTTTACACGGGCAACAGATTGAGGAGGGGGTTCCAGGATCAATGTCACATTCTTCCTCTGAAATCGATGCTCAAATAAATTTTAAAAATGTATTAAAATTTGAATTACCAACTTTAAAGTCGGAATTATGCTTTCAATTCGGAGAAGCCAACTTAAAGTTGGAAACCAACTTTAAAGTCCACATTTTATGCATGTTTGTCTAAGTTATTATTTCAACAGTCGAAAAGTAAATGAATTTCATCTCCAATTTTGCAAGAAGAACAATTAATTGTACAAATTCTTAACTATCTGGGAATCCCTGAGAATAAGTAAACAAGAGGCCCATGGGCCACATCGCTCACATGAACACAGCAGAAATCAGTTCAGTATTGAAATGTTTAAAGGCATAAGTGGTTCCATCCTACCCAGAAAGGGCAAGTGAGGGTGTCATGACCTGAACATGAATCTACACTAACTGAAGATGTTTTCATATTTATGTAACTAAACATGGCTTTAAAGATTTTTATATAGATTTCTCATATATTCCTAAGTAAAAGTTTTATCTTCTTTTGTGGCCCTGTCCTACCCCTCTGGTTCAGGATTTAATATGACCAATCATGGCTATGCGTTTACTGAGGAGAAGATTTTTCCTGTATATTCCTATGTAAAACTTTGATCGCACATTGTGGCCCCATCCTAGTCCAAGGGGTCATAATTTGAACGAAAATGAATCTACACTACCTGGGGATGATTCCATATGAATATGACCAATCATGGCGTTGCTGTTCTTGAGAAGTTTGAAAAAAATCCTATGTATTCCCATGTAAAAAGTTTCATCGGCCATTGTGACCCAACCTATCCTGGGGGTCACGATTTAATATACCTCCGAGGGCTTGAGATAAATTACATTTGTAAATCTAAGGTCATTATTTGCACAATTGCATCGAAGTCTGGTTTGAAGAACATTCAGTCGCCTGTTACCATATTCAGAATATGATGGTATATAGCAGATTTTTAAATACTAATTACAGTAGAAATTAATGTTGACTTATAAGTCTGTAATCTACATTTTGGAATATCATAATTAAAATCAGAATTTCTTGTCGAATACTAGTATCTAGATGTACATAAACAACGCATATATGTGGAAGCATATCAGTTAGATAACTCTTAAGTTATAATGCATCTTAAACATTTAAACAGCTTTTATCTAGCTGCTTGCCTTCTATAACTAAGTTGTTTCCATTACTTTTCAAAGTAGAGTGAATCTTTAGAAGCTATTATCGTTAATCCTGTTACAAAGTTGCAGTGGACAGCAGCCCCATGCATACCACAGTTCTAAGCATATTCAAGTTGTGGTCTTATAAATGACGTACAGTTGACAGCATTCCCATACCACAGAAGCATATTCATGTTGTGGTCCTTAAAATGACGCACAGTTGACAGCATCCCCATACCACAGAAGCATATTCAAGTTGTGGTCTTATAAATGACATATAGTTGACAGCATCCCTATACCACAGAAGCATATTCAAGTTGTGGTCTTCTAAATGACGTATACATGAGGGAGAGACTTTTTCGATTCACTTTAAAATTCATTTTTTTTTAAATAGAGCAAATTCTTATAGGCATTAGTCAGTAAATTTTAGAATATCACAATCCTTGCCTTTTCAAATTTACAACAGAATAAAGAATTGAGTCCACTCTTTTCGTTGAATTAGTAGAATTTACAACAGAATAAAGAATTGAGTCCACTCTTTTCGTTGAATTAATAGAATTTACAACAGAATAAAGAATTGAGTCCACTCTTTTCGTTGAATTAGTAGAATTGATCTGAATTTTGTAGTGATATCTGATCAACCTTACCTGGTGTTATCTATACATACAAAACAAGAACATATATCTCAAACTAGAACTAGCAACAGATCATTACGACCTTGACCTGACCTTGTTACTAAAATTAGACTGTCAAATTTAAATTACCTGCTATCATAACTAAAAGTGATATTATCTTCTTGAAACTGAAAAGTTCACGAATTTTAAAATGCGATATCCTAATTAAATTATATTCTACATAATTACCAAAGTTTTCCCTTTCATAAATTTCTCAAAATGCACCATTCTTTCGTATAAATATTTTTCCCCATACTTATTTTTTGGAATATTAAAACAATATTTTTCTTTTATTATTATTATTCTTATCATTTATTTACATTTCTTTTTACAATTATACACAAAGATAGACATTATTTTAAAATGATGACATGACAATTCATTGCATATTTTCTTAAAATCTCAGGCCAGTAGCCGCGAACTTTTTCAAAAAAAAAAAAAAAAAAAAAAAAAAAAAAAAAAGAGGCGGCAACCTCCAAAATAATTCAAAAGGAAAAAAAACGGAACTGCCATGCCCTCTTACTTTTCGGTATGTATATTTTTGCATTTTTTTCTTCAAATGCTGGAATTTGATTTGCCAGTGTTTGACCGTGTTTACAACAACAAAACAAGAAGTGAACAAGTCTGCGTTGGGGTGGGGGGAGGGGGGAGGAAGGGGGCAAGCAGCTTCCGCAGTAAACTTTTCTCAGACAAAGGGACCCCCCCCCCACCCCACCCCCCACCCCCCGTACTACTTGCCTGCATTCCTTATAAAAATTTTTTTCGTTTTATAAACAATTTTTTTTAAAACAAATTAGGGAATTCGTTATATATTTGGAATTCGTTATAACGAATTCAACAAAAATGAACTTGTAACGAATTCAGAAAAAAATGACATAACGAATTAAACGTTAAATTCGTTTTAACAATTCGTTATATCGCGTATGTATTTTTATAGGCCCTATAAAATTGGCTTCCGTAGTTTAACGATAAAGCCCAAAATAATCTGAAATAAGTTCTGTTGTGTTTATAATTAGGAATCCGAATATTGTTTACAAATTCTTGAAATTGTGCATTTTGGTATTTAAAATATTTATTGCTTGCGCAATGCCATGGAACTCGATATATGATTGAAGTATCTGGCATTTGGATCCGCCCATTTACTTACTTGATTTTAATACAGTATTAATATTTACTTTTTTGTTTACAACTGTCAATACGAAATTGAACAGACAAGTTTAGACTGGACTGCCCAGTATTATGACCCTACGACTGTGAACGTTACAGTTGTTCTCGGATCACACTTCTAGGTCACGCGTAAACTGACCTACTTTCGTATACATGTAGGTTCTCACCTGCGCAAGCCGTTCTACAGTTAGCCAGGAAACACGAGTTATTCACAATAATACATCATTTTCTCATATTCTAGGCATGGGTTATAGTTGTTATTGATTCCGGAGCTCCGGAGTTTGGATTTAGAAGAAGCAGGTATGTGTTTTGTTGTTGTGCATATGTGAAACATAATGACGAAAAAAGGCCTTGGTTGTTAAGTGGGGCCATCATATCTAGGTCCAAATGACGAAAATTTTTCAGTTAGTCGGGCAGATAACTGCAACACAAAATTTCTGTAAATAATGAGGTTCAAATAATGTGTGAAAATACCATTCCGTTTTCTCGATTATCATGTCACAGCTCTTTTTTCATAATTTTTTATTCACTTAAAAAAAAAAGAAAGATATTTTTAGTCTGTCTTTTAATTATCTCCTTACATTCTAAAACCATGGATTTAGTCTAGATCTGTACTTTAGCTTGAATTAAAACTCCACATGTAAAGTATACATTTGTCATCATGACAATGAATTAAATATATACACATTTTCATACAGTTCCATCACTATACCTGTGATTGGGTCTAATTAATTTGTCGGGAATTATCTTTTTCCAGTGCTACAGAAATCAAATTTATATATGCAGGGTTGTCTGTAAGAATTCAAATAGCAGGGGAAATTAAAAAAGTAGAAGGGGGTTGGGGACTTTCTCTCCTAATAGGGGGTTGAGGGGGAATACCAGAATAACCAGGGGAATACATCATTATAGGCGGGGAAATTCTTCAGCCCCCGGGTCTTTGGGACAACCCTAATATGCTTTTGGAAATAGATAGATCTAACAATTTTATGTTCATATATAATTATTATTGTGTTGTGAAGAACATCATGAACATGTATATAATCAAGATATTTTATTGGGACATTGTAGTGTGACACGTACCCAGCAAATGAGCTTGTTATGAAACTTCCGTTCAGAATCACAAAAAAAGAGAAAAATATATGTGACGGAATGTTCCTGGACATTCTAATCCTTTGGATCAATAAATAAATGCTAGCTAGCAGCTGATTTAATGATATTCTCGTAATTTCAATACTTCTCTCTATTTTATGAAAATTGATCCTCTATAATAGCTTGTACCTGTTAATAAATCAACAGAAATAGATCTTACTAGTCACTTTGTTTCCAGTGCCTATACTTCACCATCTGGGAATCAGCTACGCCACTTTTTATACGTCATATCTATATGTATATTGAATCAGGATTTATTATCATCTTCCAGCTATGTACTATTCATTTTGGAAAGAAGACATCATTATACAATTATAGTATGTTGATGAGGTCTATCTATGATTTTATCGCATTAATCAGGGAACGCTATTATATGATTGATTTTTATGATTCCTAGTTCTTTAAGATTGTCTGAAATTCACTATTTTGGAAATCTTAATATTGTTAATATATGATTGAATAAATTGATTGAAATCAACATTCTAAAAATCATTAATTCATATTCAAGGTGAATATAACATTTCATTTTCTATACCTTGGACCAAAAATACACTAGAAACTCTCAAATTAACAATTAAATTGCATTGGTGAATATTGTTCTCTTCAGTTAGATAAATTATGGTATATACTGACCTATTTTAAAAAGCTCTAATTGTAACTATATGTACTGATGTACATAAAATTGACCGAGGACCAAGTGTGAGGCTGATCTTATGTTCTTGGTTGAACAATGTGATAAAATCATGGATTGACTGATATCATCATGTTAGTTTATTTATCCTTTCAAAAGAAGTTTCCCTACCCACAGACACCTATGGGAATAGGAAGGGGTGTTAGATAGTAAAGATAACTGTCTAAATTGGTGTCTTCACATCCTCTCTCCCCCAACAAATAGATCCTGGACCCACCCTTTGGGCATATTTTCAAAATAAGTGTTCCTTGATTTTTTTAATGTGGTCTATTCAGGTCATCCACATGGATTTTATTATGAACTTTCTTACACAAAGTTTATTTGTTTCCATACTCAATCTTTCTTTTTCTAAGAGGAATTTAAACCTAAACATTTTTGTAAGTTTAATTGAAAAGGCATGTTCTGGTTTGAAAAGGCATGTTCTGGTCTTTGACTGACGTGGTAGTGAATCTTTAAATTTTGAGAATCCCTTATTGATTAAGCTTAGCCCCAATAATTATTTTTATCAGATTTTTTGGTTTCTTTGTGTACAGCATGCACTGTTCAAAGGAGGATTTGCAAGGAATACCTTGCTAGATAACAAAGTAGAAATTCATTAAAATGTAAGACAACTAGTGTAACATCCAAGTGTGTTTCTAAATGGCCTAAACTTCCATATTATTTTAGAAATAAAATTAAATATAATAAGTGGATTTCTGAGATCTAACACACCAAAAGCAAATTAAATTCCTTAAACATTACTGGTATTTTTAAATATATAACTTTTTTGATCATGTTGATGATGGATATCTATTTTTCAAAAATAAAATAGACCAGACCCTATAGAAGGAGGAAAAATATGACCAGCTATCTATACTACTTTGTAATAATTAGGGACTCATTTTTTTGGCTTTAATAAATACTAGTAAATCCATGGAGAACTGCATGTACTTTGCTTTGAATATAATAAACATTGTACCCTTATTTGAAGTTATCAAATCATTTTTTTAATGGAATTTTTTTTCTCTTAGGGTTAGTTAATTAATTATAAACAAAAATGACTCTAAGACTTATAAATCTGGAATTTGAACCTGAAATACTCTATTTTGCAAACTCATTGCTGGAATCAGATAAATTGGACTAAAATGTAGGTCAGACTTTGTAAAAGGCGGTCCATAACAAGGTCAAACCCATACATTATATTACAAATTCAAACGTTAATAATTGTAATAAGGAACGATAATAAATAAATTAAAATATCCATTATTTGATAAGTTATCATGATTGTAATATCGTAGTGGTGTTCCAATCATCGATTATAATCGAAAATCAGTCGATTGCTGGCATAATTGAACCGCTCGATTACAAATTTTTTATTCTGATTAATCGGGTTATTTATTTCATTTTAAAAGCGTAATAGTTTTTAAGCCAAATATTCCAGCCGCAACTTTTCTATTAACTTATTTGTGTATTGTAATGGCGCAGACGAAGAGACATTGTATTCATACCCGGGTTACAACGCTCATTCCGGGGTATGGACGTACTTTGGATTCTACAAAATGAGCGTAGAACCAGCTTGACTAGATAGAACATTCTGTCATTAAAATGATATTGTCCTAAGGACTAGGGGTTGTTCCGAGACACAGTTATTCCAACTACAGCTGGACCACCGCAGAAAGTAGTTATTCAACCATTCTTACCATTTAATAAACTAAAATTGACAGACTTTGTAAATGTCCGATTATAATTGATAATTAGTTAGTTACAGTAGCCTGATCATCGATTATGAAATTCTTACCGATTCCCATCACTAATGATATTGAACATGTTGAAAACACAAAGCACAAACTAAAGATAAATATGATACACTTAATGGGGGAAGGGGGGAGGATTTAGTTAACAAAGAGCTAGGTTCACTTTATGCATAAAATGGCCCTGTAGATATACCAATTTATTGGCTAACACCTTATTTTCCATTTTATACATCAAGATAAAGTAGAGACTTAGTGCTTTCATTTCCTATTAAAATTTTTCTCCTTGAAGTCCAGGTCTTGGAAAACAAGCTTTATGGAATTGCAATGTTCTTGAATTTTAAGGAAAACTGGCATATTTAAGTACTTTCAGAGAAGAAAAATAATATGAGCGCACCCTCTGATCTAAAAAATAAAACATGTTTTGTAATCCTCAGAAACGGTTCTATCAGTAAATAATTGCATATTTTAGATCAGAGATTGTGCTCTATATTAAATATCGAAAAAATAGCTTTAAAAATTGGCTGTTTATGTAGAATTGTCCAGGATATGAGGAAAATGACGCATTTCATGACGTCATAATGCATTGACTAGCCAGAAAATTACGTCATTTTTGGTAGATTCGCAATCGCCAAATGTCTAAATGAAATTTAATACATTGTCAATTAAAACTAAGCAGTTTCAGTTTTTCAGAAATTCACAGGGCCAAAAAAGGCCCTAAGTGAACCTTGTTCTTTACTGAATAATGAGCACAATTATTTAATCCATGACTGTTTTTGATCCACCAATGCATTTAGGTTTTTCTCTCCCCCCCCCCCCCCCCCCCCCCCCCCAAGAAGTCATTTTATTAATGGATGTCAGTGAACCAGTGTGAAACATGCTGCAGAAAAGTAGCCACACAACAATATGCATTGCTGTGAGATTGCTGTTGTCTTTTACCATGTATATCAGTGAAATATTTTTCATTGGCTAATAGTAAATAATGCATCCTTATACACTGTAAGATGCAAATCTGTTATTCAGTAAATGTCAATGGTGGGTCAAGGAATTTTTCCATTTCTCTTGGGGAAGGGAGGGGGATGCAGTATTACCCACTCAAAAGAATCTGTCTGAATAATGGCCTAGCTAACAATAAGTATGAAAAATGTCAGTCAGCATTTGACTTAGGTTGTATTTGCTGACAAGGTCATTGTATCAACCATAAGACTTTTGAAGTGATGACTTCAAACGAGACTGTTGATATCCTTGTTTCATCAACTTGTTTGTCGATAGCTTGTATCCTTTTAGAAATTGTTTATATGTAGATCATGCTCTTGCATATCAAATCAATTGTGTGACCAAAAAAACATTATATTGCTACATAAGTAAGAGAAGTTGACGATAGATAAATTGAAGTCATAGATCTATTTAGTAAATGTCAAGTTGAAGGCCAAAGCAAGTGTTTTCTTCTTCTCATGTAGAAGTGTTTCAATATAGAAAGAGGGTGTACAATCCCCTGCTCTGAGACAATGTATTTTTGAATATATTTTCCAAGTTCACGGAAAAGTTTTTTCTAAATTTTTTTAAAATATTATGTTTTCAGTAATGTCATCTTCAACACATTTGATTCATTTTTTTTATTGAATGACTTATTAACTGATAATTTGTTTTAAAGTTGATAGTTAAGCTTATTAATTAGAAAATGGGGTTTATTAGAGTCATAAAAATGATTTTTGAATATGAATGGGTCAAGTCTCTATTCTTCATTAACATTTAAATGACAGTGAGAAAAGTAAATGTAAAATCTATTTCAAGTTTCAAAAAAATAGAGGCTGAACCCATTCTAAAAGTGAAAATCAAACATTTCTGAAAAAATTGTACGCTTCAACTAACTTGTTGATTTAAATCACACTGACACACAGACTTTGTAGCGTAGTGGTTAATGCGTTCAGTCTTATACATAGCCGTGAGCTTTGGAGAGTTCAAATCATGCGTGAAGCTTTTTTTTTTCTTTTTCACATACCTTAAAAATATGAGTGAAAAATAAATTATTTATCAATAATTTATTCAATAAAATAAAGGAAGCAAATGTGTAAAAAATATAGATATTGACAATACAATTTTTGAAAAATATAACTTTTCATGAACTTTTAGAATCGAGAAATGTCTTTCCTCAGAGCGGGGGTTTGTCCTCGCTTGTATGCCTCCATTCTTTAACTGAATTTTTTGTCTATCATTGGTTTGTGGGGGTGGATGGGTGAGTGGGTTGATGCTCATGTTGGGGCTAAGTTTAAATTTTAAATCTTGAAAAATCTTTTTCCACACTCTAGAACATCTAGCTGACAAACTGCTAGCCAGATTACAGAAAACAGTAATTGTAGCCTGTTGAGCTGGCAACTGTTGTATGACACCTATTGTCTCTGATTTAATGTGCAGCATTAAGCTGCTGTGTACTGGTGTACAACAGAGTTGCTGATTATAAACTTATCTGGGATTCTAATTCTGTTTAACTGAATTTATAATAGCTCATTACACGTTACAGAAAATCCTTATTTTTGTTTCAAAAATCCTTTAAGGTAGTTTGAATTTAATGAAGTTCACTGGAATAATTGAATTTCATTTACTGTAACAGTTCTATGTAAAGAATTTTAAAAATTAAGACATTTTCACAGGATTGTGTATTTTTTTTTTGGATTACTGTTATTTAGATGATATATTTTGGAAACTGAATCAGATTGTTGGAGGGGGAGATTAATTTTATCTCAAAACTCATAACATGACAAAAGTCTCTATTATTACCACTACATTATGAATTGACTACTATCAAATGCTAGTATCAACCTCAGTAAAATGTATGCAATGTTGGATTTGTTGGGCCATTAGGAGATATGTACTTTCAGAATCCTTAATGAACATTTTTATGAGACTTTAACCTTGTGTAAAAATTGCAATTGTTGAGATTAGCTTTGTAATCTTTGATTACATATACGTTTAGCTCTAGTCAGAGAGCAGAAGGGCTTGTGGGATTGTAAAGTGTCTTTTGTCTGACTGTCCATCTAGATGGCCTGCCTGTCTGTAAACAATTTAAGAAAATGATTCTCCACCTACAGTTTTCGTTTATTTCAATAAAATTTTACATGCATCTAAATTCCACCAAAATAAATAATTCTGTGTTTTAGTTCCTAGCGCATCTGATCTGAGGGTCCGCCCATCTGTTTGTTTGTTTAACTTTTTAGCTCACCTGAGCCGAAGTCCTTTCTCTGTGGTCGTTGTTATCGTTGTTCGTATTGTCATAAACTTTTTAGCTCACCTGAGCTGAAGTCCATTCTCTATCATTGTTGTTATCGTTTTAACATTGTCATTAACTTTTTAGCTCACCTGAGCCGAAGTCCATTCTCTGTAGTTGGCGTTATCGTTGTTCACATTGTCATAAACTTTTATACTCACCCGAGCCGAAGTCCATTCTCTGTCATTGTAGTTATTGTTTTTACAATATCATTAAGTTTTTAGCTCACCTGACTTGAAATACATTCTCTGATGTTGCTATTGTTCGCATTTCATAAACTTTTTAGCTCCCCTGAGCCGAAACTCATTCTCTGTCATTGATGTTATTGTTGTTCGCAGTGTCATAAACTTTTCCATCTTTCTCTCCATAATTCAAATGAAGGACCTGTGACACCCTCTTCCAAGGGGGGATATTAAGAAATAGTGAAAATTGGGTGGAGTCATTTTAAAAGCTATTTCTCAAGAATCACTGGGCCAGAAAAGTTCAAACTTATGTGAAAGATTCTTGACATACCAGTTATTTTAGATTCAACTTTTTTTTTCAAATCATGACCCCCAGAGGAAGGATGGGCAATCAAAGTTTTACATTGGAATAAATAGGAAAAAATCTTGAAAAATCTTCTCAAGAACAGCAAAACCATGATCATTCATATTTTATATGGAAGAAATTCCTCAGATAGTGTAGATTCAAGTTTATTCAAATTACTACCCCTTGGGGTAGGGTAGGGTTTTACTGTGTGATCAAAGTTTTACATAGCTTTATATTTGGAAAAAAATCTGCTGCTGAAGAACAGCAGGACCACAGTGACTCAGGTGAGCCTTGTGGCCCATGAGCTTCTTTTCTTTATTTGAATGAATGGTGCTGGCTTTGTTCCTCCAATTAGAAATCTCTGTGGAAGTCTTCCAAAATGATATTTTTCCTGTTAAAACAATTAATTCTGTAAGTGTAAAACTAACAATTATTTTAAGTCAATTGCAACTTTTCTAATTTTTTAAATACAAACCAGTAGAGCTACATTCTCATTAGAGACTTTTTGTTTTATTTGCAGAATGCCGCACGGAGCTATACGGTTTCCATTTGGAAAGTGTCATGTTTGTCAGGATCAGGCAACTGGTGTCCATTATGGAGTTGCTACTTGTGAAGGATGCAAGGTATATATACCACTATTTCTCCACAGCTTTCTTTAATTGCAAGAACCAAGAAAAAAAAAGAAGAAGCACCAAGCCTTGTAATTCAATAGCCACTGTGATATAGGGTTTACATGCAATTATTGATTTTTCAAGGTCAACAAGATGATTTACCCCTGTGAGATTAGAACAATATTTACTGAATCAAAGGATGAGATGAATATTGTTTTTCAAGAATAGTAAATTATTGTTTTGACCAAAGGAAAACTGTGGGTGATTTATTATATGAACACAGCTAGTACCTGATGTTTCAGTGAAATGACCTTTACAATGGGCAAAATCATCATTGGTTAGGCTTGTTTCTCCATGCTAGATGAATATTGAATATTTCATCTTCACTTATAGTGCAATTATCACATTTAACAAACTTTGGAAAATAATGAATGTTTAAAATTAAACAAATACAATTTCAAATGATAAACTGACAACATGAGTCAATTGGGTATTATGCCAAACCATGCCATGGCTAGGATGGGTGGATATTGTACTATATCATATGATTTAGTAATTCCTAGCATGTCTGATGGCTGAAAGTCAATATCCTAGAAATCCAAAAAGTTGTATTCACCTTCATCTGACTTTACAGATGAATATCGTATTTGATTTTTCCTACATTGGACTAAAATAGATTAGGAATTTCCTAATTGAAGTGATTGGTTATGTTTTATTTTATCATTCAGTACTTATCTTACTGCATTCAGTTAGGACTGCAACAGACATGAGCAACCAAGAAAGATGTTGAAGTTTGCTTAACAAGTTTGTACCATTTAATCGTAGAATCACTAATACATTAATAAATTAAATTATGCCTGTTTTTGGTCAATATGATAATTAAGTTAGGCAACCTTAAAAGTATATCTACCTTATACAAGCTACAAAACCATTGCATGGATCTTTCAAAATCATAAAATACAAAGATACTGTCATAATTAACAATGAACTTGAAACTAATGTGAACTAGCTATTGATGTTGGTAAGTGTTGTTTTTTCTGTCCATTTATCACAAACATTCACCAGATTGGTAACCAAGAGTATTGCTTTGTAGACATAAAGCTTACTTAATGGTCTATCAAAATATTAACCCAAAATTATTTTGTTTAGGTCAAGGTCACTGGAAGGAAAAATACAAGATTCTTCACAGGGTTATAATTTGGTGAAAGAGAAATATTTTGGTTTCTTTGTAGATGAATCAGTACCCATAATAGGAAAAAAATTAAAAAAGTGAATTTGTATCAGTCACATTTTTACTAGGTCACAGGTAATGAAAGATAATAATTTTGTAAGGGTCATAAAATTTAGAGCAAAGCTTGAGAAAATGTGGAGATACTAATGAGATACAGGTGAGCATAAAGGCCCATGGACCTCTTGTTAAGTATTAGTATTTTCCTGGTATCCCTTGGGTTTTGTGTGTGTGTGTTACCAGTATGATTGTGTTTTAGTTTTTAACCTGTATACAATTTCCTTTATGACTTTATCTTTGAAGGGATTTTTCAAAAGAAGCACAATAAGGGGAGAGAAGTACAAATGTTTTTTTGGAGGGCAGTGTGAAATAACTCCTCAGAATCGTAATCGGTGTAAATCCTGCCGATTCCGGCTATGCCTAGAGAGTGGAATGTCACTAGAGGGTAAGATCTTAATCACAATGACAATCTGTGAACAGTCAATCTAAATATGGGTGTCGCATAATGTCTCTTTGGCAAAAAGTTGAGTAAATCCATTGTTTTTTAACCTGTGAATTATATCTACGTATTGTTTCAGTAAAGCAGAAATAAAAATTGTGACCTGGATAATTTTGTAATTATACAGTTATGGTATGGGTACAGGGGAAATAGCAAATTTATGGTTTCTTTGAGGAAGGAAACTATTTTTTGTGAGTTGGTAAAGCTGCTGAGGGAAATAGTTTTCTGCCAAGGGGGACAATAAATTTGCTATTTCTCAATTATCCAGTCCATAACTTAATAAACTGTTTTCTTATACTGCAATAATCTAAAGAGGGTTAGTCTTTTTCCAGCTCTGTGCATATTTTCATAGAAAAATCTTTTCGTAGAAGCTCTTGATAGCACTATTCCAATGTTCTTGTATGAACCAAAAAATGTGACTTTCCATTTTACAACCATAAAAGATTCTGATGTCATTGTTAAAGTTAATGCAAAGTGACGACCAATATGTACATTCATCCCCCCCCCCCCCCCCCCCCCCCCCCCCCCGATTTTTTCAATGATATCAATCTTGTTAACTTCCTTTAAACAATTGATATTTTATCAAACAATTCTCAGAACTTTTCAAAATGCCCCTCATACAGGTATCATGATTTATTTGTTGAACACACCTATTTTTGTATTTAAAAAACAAAATAACCAACAGGTTTGTAGCTCAATTACTTAGGAAATATTGAAATGTACCTGGATCCGGTTGCACGAACGTTAGTTAAATTAACTTCCAGTTAGTGTCGTAACTAGCTGTTAAATTTTTAACAACGAGTTACGTAACTGTCAGTTAAAATATTGTTGTTCGAAAGTCTATTAAAAATAAATTAGCTAACTCACATTTAATTGATGTCTTATAGTTAACTCTATGTTAAAACCGTTCTACACGCGCATATCCCTTACCTATGGTGAAATATTTCTGACGACATAATTAATATGATGTCAATTCATAAATGTTTTAATTTGTGAAGGTTATTTACTTTAAATGTTAATCTTATATTTGTTAAATATATCTAAATATATTATTATAGATATTTACTTCAAATATAATTTTTTTGCATTGAAATATAGTCTTTTACATGCAGTAAAAGCAATGCAATTACAAAGTATGTAATGTAGTTTTCTGTATTAAGTTCTAACATGAGGCATTGATTTTTGGGAGGGGTACTGAATATAAAAATAAAAAAAATCTCTCAAAAAAAATCTTTCAAAAAGTGAGACCATCCTCGTTTTACATGCCTGATGTATGTGGAATTCAACGAGTAACCTACCTTTCAGTAACTTGTCTGAAGTTAATTTTTTTTTAAAATGATGATCTTTGTGATAAAATATAATGTCCCTTATTGTATGCATAATCGGATAAAAAAAATTACCTAAATCTCCACTCATATGGAATGATTCGTTCTTTGCAGATAATATCGCAACATATATCCGCAATATGCACATGTTTTATACAACCTTGCTAAATAGAAATCGGGATTGAATTTGCAAGTTGCTCAAGTCAAACATTTCTATTATCTCTGTATAAGTTCTTCCTTCCAAGAAAACAAATTTTGAAATGATAACAAGTCCGCGATCTTGATTTTAATGTTTAATTAAATATTTAATGTACCTAGGTAACCTCAGTTAATTCTGTTAGTTAAATCAGAAAATTAATTAAGCTTTAACTGTTAGTTAACTTTTGTGCAACCGGTTTAACTCACCGTTAAATTTAACATCGGGTTAACGCAAAGTTAACAACCAGTTAAATTTAACTAACATTTGTGCAACCGGATCCTGGTGTTAATTTTCTTCAAAGTCAAGCTGTAAAATCACATAGACTTATATTTATAACACCTATTGTGAAAAATATTGAGCATCAACATACAAGTATAGTGAAGATTTAAGTTTGTTGAACTGGTACCTCTATGCAGGGACTTGAGGCATTAATATCCATGTGAGGTTATTCACACGGAAAATCTTACAGTCAGACGATACATTCCTCAAATATCTGTTTTGTATCTTTTCACAGTATATAGAAAAAATTCATGATTATCATTATTTTGTGGTTTTTAAACTGTTTTCAAAATGTCTTAAAAATAAATGCACCAAAAATTGTGATATTGACAATTAAATCAAGAGATTTATATAGAAAACACCACAATTTAGCTCTAAGGCAACTCAGATGAGCATTGGGATACCTGGGCCTATTCATGGTTATTTTTTTTTTTATTTTAATATACAACTGTAAGTGGCCATCTTTCCATCCTACAATCAACATTTTTTTTTTGAAAATGTTTTTACACATGAATTTTTTTGGTCTGTTGTAGCCCTAAAAGTATATTACCTTATACAAGCTACAAAACCATTGTATGAATCTTTCAAAGTCATAAATTATATGATACTTGACTGAAGCCGAAGGCTGAGGTCAGGTATTGGTTGACTGCAGATCAGGTATTGGACTATTGGTTGAGTGAAGCCATAGGCTGAGGTCAGGTATTGGTTGAGTGAAGCCGAAGGTTGAGGTCAGGTATTGGTTGAGTGAAGCCAAAGGCTGAGGTCAGGTATTGGTTGACTGCAGCCGAAGGCTGAGGTCAGGTATTGGTTGAGTGAAGCCAAAGGCTGAGGTCAGGTATTGGTTGACTGCAGCCGAAGGCTGAGGTCAGGTATTGGTTGAGTGAAGCCGAAGGTTGAGGTCAGGTATTGGTTGAGTGAAGCTGAAGGCTGAGGTCAGGTATTGGTTGAGTGAAGCCGAAGGCTGAGGTCAGATATTGGTTGAGTGAAGCTGAAGGCTGAGGTCAGGTATTGGTTGACTGAAACTGAAGGCTGAGGTCAGGTATTGGTTGAGTGAAGCCGAAGGTTGAGGTCAGGTATTGGTTGAGTGAAGCCGAAGGCTGAGGTCAGGTATTGGTTGAGTGAAGCTGAAGGCTGAGGTCAGGTATTGGTTGACTGAAACCGAAGACCGAGATTAGTCCATACCTGACCAGGTTTGTATAGTCACGAGGAGATCAAATTCAAAAGTCAGTAACGAACATATTTTAAAAAATCAGGAATTTTACAACATTTTTCACACTATATTTGTGAAACAACACATCATAATTATAAATTTGAACAATTTAACAACTGTTTAGAAAGTGGAAAACAACATTATAAAACAATTAATACTGAACCAGTAACTCATATAGGAGTTTAGTCTCTTTGATACTAGTGTCTGACATGTTTAACACATCCTTTAAAATGCACAATTTGAATGGTTGATAAAATGTAAGCAAATCTATGGTGGTCAGGATGAAAATCCTGAATAAACCTCCTGGCCAGAATTAATCATTTTGACGTGAACTCACTGTGAGGTACACCCCAAGAAAGACGTGTAGACCAATCAGAGAGCATCCAAATTCCCGATCATTTAATAAATAGAGTATGCCTTTGGAGGGAATGACACACTGATTTGCTTAATACAGTGAATCTCCATGGCAGTTTTAACTGTATATTACACAAGGATAAAATTGTTTATCAATAGGATTGCTATTTTTAGTTTCAATGCACTATTTTGATGTTGAAATTTGTGATACTTCATCATAATAACTTCTTCTAATTAATGCTTTCATAAATCATTAAACATTGTAACCATGGTTACTAAAGCAAATTTAGTAGAATCTGTGTAACTTGGTTAATGAATAAAAAATATCTGTATAAATAAGAATGTATTTCACCCTTTGGTGTCGTAATTAAGCTGAATACACCACTAACTTTATTAAAATATTATGAAAAGTACAAATAGATTTCTTTGAAGCATTTTATTTCAGTTTTTCTATAGGCTTTGTCCTTTTGTAATGTTTAAACTGATTCATTTTAAAAAGCATAGTAAAATTCTGTTAACTAGGACCATCCTGATGAGATTCTCTCTCCCCCCCCCCCCCTTACATGGCATACTCAAGGGCAAACTTAAAAATTTGCATCTTAAAAATTTACATGTATATTGATGATTCTGTACACAGGTGACCTTGGCCAAATGATACGACCTTTATGTCAGATATGAGCTTCTAATGTTTCTCCTGCATATTTATGACCTGATAAGAATTTTACACATTTGGAAACCTGTCACCTTGACCTTGTCCAAATGACTTTAGTTCAGGGTCATGACACACTCTCTTGTCATAATCAGCCATAGTGAGTGGTATAGACTTAGGTGTCTGTTTATTACAAACTGAGACAGACAGATGGACCCTGAGGATTCCTGAATACCCTCCAAAACTTGTTGCACAGAGTATAATAATTATAACAAGATGTGTTCTTTGTTGCTAGGGCAACAAGTGGTCTTCTGACTAACTGTTCTTCAAAACGATTCGCTACATTACATCATTATAATAAATACATATCTGAATGTAATCTTTCCTTTTGTATACAAGTACTAAAAGCATTACAGTAATAGACCATTATTAAAGATATTTCTTAAAAATCTGTGGTAATAAAAATTGGGAAAAACTATCAGACACTTTTCAAGGACAGAAATATCATTTTCAACAGAAAAAAAAGTTATATTGCCTCCAGTGGGGATCTAACCACCAACAGTGCAGGGAAGTTTGGATTGACCATATCTTTGCAATTAATACATATATCTATAAAACTGAAAACATATGTAGAATTCTAAGAAGTTACCTGTGACCGTTTTGCCCTTTGGCACAGGAATTTGCATGACAGGGCCTTTATTGTCAAAGAAAATAACATATAAAACCTTCTTCATGGTTCGTAATCTTTTAGCAGTACTAGGACGTTTTGCATTCTTTGATGCCCAGATTCTGTTAGAACTCTTATGTTTTGGCTCAAAATAGTAAACCTAGGTCTCATCGCCAGTAACTAAATTATCAAAAGTCTTTTTGGTATATTTTGGATACAATTTTAAGAATTTCTTTCAACGCGGACTCTCTTTTGTTTATTGCTAAACAAATGAGGTATCCACCTAGCATTTATCTTTCTAAGCTTTAGATTTTCAGCTCTTCTGAGCCAAAGACTCGAAGAGCTAATGCTATGGCCATTTGTGCAGTGTGGGGTGTACGTAAACTTTTTAGAATATGGGCCATAACTCAAGAACCCCTTGGCCAATTATTATCAAATCCTTGGCCCAAGGGCTCCCGTTATACATGTACTAAAACAGGGTTGTGACCCTTAAAAGGGGAGATAATTAGGAAAATAGAAACAATAGTACTGGTTGCTTAAAAATCTTCTTCATAAGAACCACTAGGCAGATTATCACCAAACTTACATAAAAGGATGAGGATATGTTGTAGATTAAAAATTGTTCAAGGCATCACCCTGGGGCAAAGGACATGGTCTCAAGGTCACTTCAAAGTTGACCAAAAATTACATTTTATTAAAATGTTGATATTTTGCTTACTATAAGGACTAGGATCATCAAATCTTGTCAGTTGATGCATCTAAGGACCTCATATCATGTTGACTCAAAAGTAGGTCACGGTGACCTACTTTTTAGCTCACCTGGGCTCAAGTGAGCTTTTCTGATCAAAATTTGTCCGTTGTCTGTCGTCGGCGTCGTCTTGTTGTCGTAAACTTTTCACATTTTCATCTTCCTCTCCAGAACTACTGGGCCAATTTCAACCAAACTTGGCACAAAGTATCCTTGGGTGAAGGGGATTCAAGTTTGTTCAAATGAAGGGCCACTCCCTCCTCCAAGGGGAGATGATTACGAAATAGCAAAAAATTAATGGCATTATTGAAAAATCTTCTTCTCAAGAACCAATGGACCAGGAAAGATGAAACTCATGTGGAATTATTGTCAGGTAGTGTAGATTCAAGTTTGTTCAAATCATGACCCCAGGGCTAGGGTGGGGCCACAATGGACGATTAAGGTTTCACATAGGAGTATATAGGAAAAATCTTCAAAAATCTTCTTCTCAAGAACAGCAAAGCCATGATTGGTCAAATTTATATGGAAGCATCTGCAGGTGGTGTAGATTCAAATTTGTTCAAATCATGACCCCCAGGGGTAGGGTGGGGCCACAATGGACGATCAAAGTTTTCATAGAGTATATAGGAAAAATCTTCAAAAATCTTCTTCTCAAGAACAGTAAAGCTATGATTGGTCATATTTATTTGGTAGCATCCTCAGGTGGTGTAGATTCAAGTTTGTTCAAATCATGACCCCCAGGGGTAGGGTGGGGCCACAATGGATGATCAAAGTTTTACATAGGAAAATGTAGGAAAAATCTTCTTCTCAAGAACAGCAAAGCTATGATAGGTCATATTTAAATGGAAGTATCCTCAGGTGGTGTAGATTCAAGTTTGTTCAAATCACGACCCCCAGGGCTAGGGTGGGGCCAAAATGGACGATCAAAGTTTAACATAGGAGTATATAGGAAAAATCTTCAAAAATCTTCTTCTCAAGAACAGCAAAGCCATGATTGGTCAAATTTATATGGAAGCATCTGCAGGTGGTGTAGATTCAAATTTGTTCAAATCATGACCCCCAGGGGTAGGGTGGGGCCACAATGGACGATCAAAGTTTTCATAGAGTATAAAATCTTCTTCTCAAGAACAGTAAAGCTATGATTGGTCATATTTATTTGGTAGCAGCCTCAGATAGTGTAGATTCAAGTTTTTTCAAATCATGACCTCCAGGGGTAGGGTGGGGCCACAATGAAAGTTTAAACTTGTAGAGAAAAAAGTCACAGTTAGTCAAAAAATTATGTAAGCATCCTTAGTTAGTGTAGAAATAATTTTGTTCAAATGAAACCCCCACTCCCTTTTAGGGGTAGGTTGGGACCACTTATGCATTTAAGCTTTTCAATACTAAACTGATTTTTCCTTTTTTCCTCGCCACAGTGCTCAGGTGAGCGATGTGGCCCCTGGGCTTCGAATCATCAAAATTTGTCAGTTGATATATCTTGGGCCCTCTGAGTAGGTCGACTGAAAAGTAGGTAACCGTGACCTACTTTTCAATTTATATTACTATAATTAAATATTTCAGGTACTGATTGGCTTATAATCATCAAATTTTGTCAGTTAATGCATCTTGGGTCTTCAGAGTAGGTTGACTGAAAAGTAGGTCACCATGACCTACTTTTGAAAATTTATGGCTTTAATTTAATACTGTGGTTTCATTAATATTCGTGGGCATCAATTTTCGTGGATTTAGTAAAAATCACTGTTTCGAGGATACGTAAATTCGTGGATAATGATCATACAAAAAAATTGTCACCTATTCATTTTTTCATTCTCCATATGCTTCAACTGGAATCTTCACGCCATATACAATGTTAAGAGTACGTTGCATACAGATGTTAATTGTGGCAACAGGGTATTAAAAAAGTAAGAAAAGTTATAAGTACTTAAATTTACAAAATAGTGTTAGAAACATATTTCACAAGCACTGCGTGTTGTTTAATGAAAGTCGTAATAGGCTTTTTTAAAGGTTTATCATAAATAAAAATGGAGGCACCAAACTTCGATGAACATTCATGGATCGACTCAACAACGAAATCCACGAAAATTGGTGTTCCACGAATAATGATGAAACTACAGTATTTCAGGTACTTATTGGCTTAGAATCATCAAACTTTGTCAGTTGATGCGTCTTGGGTCCGCAGAGTTAGTCAACTGAAAAGGAGGTCACTGTGACCTATTTTTGAAATTTTATGGCTTTATTTAAATATGACAGGTACTTATTGGCTTAGAATCATCAAACTTTGTCAGTTGATGCATCTTGGGTCCTCAAAGTATGTCATCTGAAAAGTAGGTCACTGTGACCTACTTTTGAAATTTTATGGTTATAATTTTAAAAATATTTTGGGTATTAATTGGCTTAGAATCATCAAACTTAGTTGATGCATCTTGGGTCCTCAGAGAATGACAAGTGATAAGTTGGTCACCATAACCTACTCTCAGGTACTAATTGGCTTAGAATCATCTTGGGTTCTCAGAGTGTTTCATCTAAAATGTAGGTCATGATGACCTACCTTTGGAATTTCAAGGCTTTATCTAAATATACAGGATACTTAGAAGCTTCAAATAGAAATGATAGGTTGTACAGTTTATCAGAAGTGCGATTCAAGGCCCTTGGGCCTCTTGTTTTCAAAATACCATGAACACATGCTAACAACAAGTTTGTCATCCAAGCCAATTGCCTCACGGTATATATCTTGCATCTTTCTGTAAGATTTGGTGGATTTTTACGATGTTATATTTGGTTGTAACTGTTGAAGGACGAACTTGGCGAGCAGCATCTTTGAGGTGTTCGTAATCCGTTTTAAATTTAGAAACCCACTACAAACAAACCTATGAGACGTTTGACCATTCCCATAGATATCACAGACCTCATGATGAATAACTATGAGTTTAATGCCAATAAGGACCTACCTTTTATATAGGCCCTAATTTCAAGTGCATTATTTGCTCTTTTCCCGTCATTTTGAGTATAGTGTAATGAATATGCTATACAGCAATGTACACTGTAGCTAAGTCAGTGACATTGTGAACATGAAATTTTCTTCCGCTCAGTAATGTCAATGTGGTTTCAGTGAGATATTTACACAATTTTCATGCGAAGAAGGTGAAATACCATTATTTTTGGTACACTCCTCGTACATCACATGTGATTATCAGTGAAAGGAAAGTAAATTGTGTTAGATGTGATCAGTGTTAAAATAGCTTGTACAGTTCATTTTGATTGATTCAACCTTGTTACAGGTACATTTGTACATTAAATGTGGAAATGTTTTAAATGTGTTAATCTTTGAAAAGGTTTTTGAAAAGGTTTGCAAGCAAACAAAATTCCTTATTGTCACTTTTTCTTTATTAAGCTGTGAAGATGGGCAGGATCCCAAAGCTGGAAAAAGAGAGAGCTCTGGAACTGGCAAGCCAGGAGGGAAACCTCATCGAGGAAATTAACATAAACAAAAAGGTCAAAGGTCAGAAAAATAGTGACAGCAAAAACAGTAAAAAGGACTTGCAAGAAACAAAATTGTTTTACAACTCCAACACAGCTCAGATGGGCCAGGAGTCATCTTTCAGCATTGCTAAGGAAAATCATCAAATGTTTTATCATTCTGAAGCTGCTGGAATGCCAAGTAGGTCATTTAACTGCATCAGTCCACCAAATTCAGAAATGTTCTCTGATCCAGGGAAGCACAGGATGGTAGAACAGAAATCCACGGATTCCTCCAGTGACTCCTTTAAGAGTGATCCTTTACTGGAGTGTGCTAGCTCTCCAGAAGACGGCAATGTCTGGGCACCTCATCCTTCGTACCCACCAACAGTGTTTGAATCTAGTCGCAATATCATCCCTTCAACCTCTTCATCCCTCCCTGAATCATTTGGCATGAGACCCCCAGTTTCCATTGAAACTTCCACATGCTTTGCTAAATTTAAAACAGAATTCCCTCCATTCTCCGATAGTGGCACCCACAGAAACCCATCTGACAGAACTAGCTCAGGTTCAGTGGAAGATTGGGACCACCAGAGACCCTGTGGCTCCCAGTCACTTCACAGTAGTAATCACACAAATCCTTCTGCCTGCTTCAGCAGTTCCCACAAAGAGAGAAGGGACGTGCAGTGCAGCACCGCCTCGGGTTCAATGGACTATGATGAAATCATGAAGGGAAGGTTATTTCCTACTGCAGAGGTTGGTTCATTCTATGATGACAGAAGAAATAATGCTTCTCTCTCTCCAGCCGTGACTAACCCTCATTATAACAGTTCCTCAAGTAATGAAGCTATGGTATGGGAGAACGAAATCCTAGGAAAACTACAACTTAATGATAATAGCTTTAAAACAGAGATCAACACATCCGAGGTGTACTCACCCATTCGGAATCACTACAAATATCTTTGTGATGTAGAACAGTTTGGAATGTACAACAGACTCCCTCTTTACATTCGGACATTGCAGCAGCTGGATATATGTCAGAGAAATGGCATGCTTCTCAAACTCCTGGAGGTACCCTCGGATATGATAGACAAGATCTGTAAATCCCTGGCTATGGAGGATAAGTATGCCGTCAGTAAGGAGGGGGTAAACATGGGTAAGGACTCCACATTCCTAATCCAGGGAACCCTCCTAAGACTGAAACATTCCATGGATCTCCTCTGGAAGCCTATATGGCTCATGAGGCAGTTTATTCGACAAGGACTTTCCAACGAGGTAAAATTGTTTCAGTGATTAGACTTGGCATCTTAATTATGATATAAAGCATTTATCTATCAACATTTTCAAGTAGTATTTTTATGACTCTGCCAATTAAAGATAGAACATTAATATAGATAAGCATTGAATTTGACCCTAAAAGTCTTAATTTTTTAAAAAATTGCAAACAATTATAAAACAATACTAGTAGACTAATTGTTCTCGAACAATTAGAGGTCTTTCCACCTTCTGTAAATTTCATATATTTTTTATATTTTACGCTCTAAAGTTAATTTTTATTAAAAAAGAATCCATAAATGGCTTGAAAGATAGAAAAAATGAAAATTTCAAAAATTTTGAAATGACCTTGACCTCTGACCTTGAACAAATATTCAAGGTCAAAGTTCAAGGGTCACATTGCACTTGACCCCATGCTTCTACGACTTTTAGTTTTAAAGTTATAAGGTTTAATAGTAAGCACAAAATCGTTAAAGGGCAATTACTCATATAAGGGGTCATCGGATACTTTCGCACCCAATAGATTGAAGTTGTGTCTATAGACCCTTAAGACATTAGTGAAGGTTTTGTGTCTCTACAGTTTACAGTTTCGGAGGAGTAGCGATAACAAGGTTTTCAGTAAAAGGGGCAATAACTTTTAAAGGGGTAAATCTTAGGGGACAAGTATGAAATCTTTGAAATAGTTTTAAGAGGACATACTAATGATGCAAAGATATTTAGTATATGTTGAAAGATAAAAGAGATATAAAGAGAGCTTAATTTCTCATATTTTGAATGACCTTGACCTTTGACCTTTGCATATATTTTAAGGTCAAAGGTCAATGAATCTTATGCAGTTGGTCCAATGTCTCTACGACTTATCGTTTTGAAAATTTTTAATTATTCGTATGTTTCATAAACTTTCAGGGGCAATAACTCATAAAAGGGGTCGACGAATACTTTCGCAATGAAAAGATTGAAGAGTCCCCTCAATTAGTCGAAGACATTGGTGAAGGTTCCGTACCTCTATGGTTTACGGTTTCGAAGGAGTAGCGATAACAAGCTATTCTTGCGAAAGGGGCAATAACTTCGTAAGGGGTCATAGGTCAAACATGGGGGGTCGTTTTTCGGAATAACTTTTGATATCCAGTATCATGAACTATAAAGTTTTTCGATAAGTCTTGCGGTTTCAAAAGTCCGGGAAGAAAAAGAAGAAGAAGAATAATAATAATAATAATAAACATAAGCATTTCAAGAGGTCTTTCCACAGAAAGGTGGAAAGACCTAATAAAATGCTTTATCAATCAATTCAAAAAAATAATTTTCAAATTGCAGTATATCTTAAATTTAACTATAATGTAATAATGCTGCTGCATTTTTGAAATATTAAAGGTTCTTAGAAGAAAATTCTTTCATTGTAAGAGTTTATTTTACTTTTAACTTGGCTTTACTCTTGAATTTTTGCTTTTTTCATGCAATTTTGAAATACATTCATATTTTTATAAGGAAAAAATACCTGGTAGATAATAATCAATTCTCTTAATATAGGAATACTTTTAATAAGGTTTTAAATGTAACATTAGCCTATGGGTTGCCAAATAAGAATAAGAAAAACATTGTTTTTTGGAGGGGGGTATTCATAAATATTACTGTATTTCAGATTTCAAATGATACTGTAATATTTTTCAGCCCTGTAGTTTTGAGTTTACTGGTGTTGAGGAGGAAAGTATGAAGGAAAACTGGCCGGCCCTGATGCAATCTGTGGCATTCTACAATGATGTTATCATTGGTAGGTGTATATATATATATATATATATATATATATATATATATATATATATATATATATATATATATATATATATATATATATATATATATATATATATATATATATATATAAAATAACTTTAGCCAAACTATAGCAAATAAATGAAAATGACAAATATGCAACAGAAGTTTACTAATATTTATAATATGTTTTTGTCTCAATGAAAGGTGAATTTATTGTAAATTTGTCCTAAAACTGAGATGGAGGCATGCACCATGTTCAGATTTGTATAAAAGATGATGAAAGTCATGACCTTTTAAAGAACTAATTTGACTCCCCCTCCCCCAACAAGTGAATAGAATTGTTTCACTGTCAGGAGAAACTGTACATCAGGTAAAACTCTACAGTCAGTGAACTAAAATTGTATAGACGTTGCATGGTTATTGAATGTTACAAAAATTCTCCCTATCTTCAGGATTAAAATATAGATTGAATCTATTATATATGATGAATTTTGTATTTCAGGTTTTGCATTTGCCTGTCCTGGTTTCAGAAATTTACAGCCTGATTTGAAGGAATATCTTACAAAAAGGGCATATTTTGATATTTGGGTGGTAAGTAACTGGAAAATACTTCTTCAGTGTGAGGTAATGTACAAATTGTACTAATACGCTGCCAATGGTTTAGAGTATGTCCACTGTTCTATCAGTCTATGAGTTAAATTTTAGCTTCATGTGAGCTGTTCTATTCAAAGGACATCCTTGTTTTGTCCTTTATTGGGCAAGCAATTTATCTGTCTGAATCTTTCTCATTTTCAACCACTTCAAGCAGATTGCAGAGTTAATTTCCATCCCGTCTGCCATTCACAGCATCCTATAGTAGAGACTTGTCAAGATTATTCAAATGAAGAGCTTTTTTGTTTCTTGAGGGGGAAAAGAAAAAACAAAACAATGTGTGATGTTAAAGATCTTTATCTCAACAAATGTTAGACCAGAAAGGATAAAAGCTTCCTTGTATAATGTAGATTATATGTTGTCCACATTTGAAATCACTAGCAATTAGGACCCTCTATACACTGATGAAAAATGTTTTTTGGACTTTGAGAAAATTACATAGTGTAAAGGGGGATATTCTAAACTTAACTCACTCATTTTTAATATAGGTAGCGTGTCTTTCTTTATCCAGGAAAAATCTTCAAAGACAATGAAGTAATGATAAAGAAAAATCACTTTTGCTTACTCAAGTGGAGAAAATGCATACAAATAAAGTTTCAACTATTCTATCTTGGTCTAATAAATGGTTTAGAATACTTGGATTTATTTTAAATTATGTCACACAGTGAGGAATACAATTTATTCCATGTTATGTCAAATGGTGGGTCAGTCTAACTACACAAAGTACCCTGAAATTAAGGTGCAGTGTAGAGAGGGTCCTTAAATAAAAGTTTTGCTTAGACATATCAATATAAAAAATTCAGAAAATATTTTCTATAAAACAGCAAGGCTGTACTCAGATTATTATGCAAAACATACTCATTCATTTTTAGCTCACCTGAGCTGAAACTTCTTCTCAAGAACCACGGGGCCAATTTCAACCAAAATTTGTACAAAGCATCCTTGGGTAAAGGGGAGTTTAAATTATAAAAATAAAGGGCCAAGCCCTCTTCCAAGGGGAGATAATCAAGAAAAGACAAAAATAGGGTAGGGTCATTAAAAAATCTTCCTCTCAAGAACCACTGAACCAGAAAAGCTGAAACTTATGTGGAAGCATTCTGGGGTAGTGTAGATTCAAAATTGTTCCAATCATACCCCTTGGGGTAGGGCGGGGCCACAATAGGGAATCCAATTTTTACATTGAAAAATATGTAGAAAATATCTTTAAAAATCTTCTTCTTAAGAACCACTGGGCCAGAAAAGCTGAATCTTATGTGGAAGCATCCTGGGGTAGTTTAAATTCTAAATTATACAAATCATGACCCCCGGGGGTAGGATGGGGCCACAATAGGGAATCCAAGTTTTACATTGAAATATGTAGAAAATATCTTTAAAAATCTTCTTCTCAAGAACCACTGGGCCAGAAAAGCTGAAACTTATGTGGAAGCATTCTGTGGTAGTGTAGATTTTAAATTGTTCAAATTATGACCCCCGGGGGTTAGGGCGGGGCCACAATAGGGAATTCAAGTTTTACATTGAAATATGAAGAAAATATCTTTAAAAATCTTCTCAAGAACCACTGGGCCAGAAAAGCTGAAACTTATGTGGAAGCATCCTTGGGTAGTGTAGATTCTAAATTGTACAAACCATGACCTTTTGGGGCAGGGTGGGGCCACAATAGGTATTACAAGGGGGAAAATCAGATGAAGAACAGCAGGGCCAAAGTTACTCAGGTGAGCATTGTGGCCCATGGGCCTGTTGTAAGTTCAGAAGAGCTTATGCATTTATAGTAAGCAGTTCATTATCCATCTATAAATAATTTTTCAAAATAATATAAGACTTCATACAAAAATAGACTATATCAAAATATACACATGTGTATATTTTGATATAGTCTATTTTTGTCAGGTAGGAGCCACAAAAGGGATTAATAGTATTATATAGGAATATGCACTCTAGATCAAGAAACAAGGATGTATTGTAAAATTAATATGCAAGCGTCAGTATTTATATTCATGTATATGCTGTACATAATTTTTTTTTAATTGGTCTCTTTGGCTTTAATTGGGCTACAGTAAGGGATTATTTTTATTTGAAGATTTTTTTATTGAAACACAATTGGATTTGGCAGCAGGCATTGCCTATAAAACAGGAAATGTAACTCAGATAAGCATTTGTAGCACCTCGTCTTGGTAAATAAATACTCCGCTCTGTTCTGCTCCAGAGGAAACATCTGTGTCTTAATTAAGGGAGAAGATATTCCAAGCCTTACTCGTACATGCCAGAACTCTCCTGCTCTTGAAAGTTTCTCCTAAAGGCTACTTTTTAAGAACCAATTCAGTTTTTATTCAATAATGTATCAACTGAGTACTTGAAGAATTACATTCTAGTTGTCAAGGAATATGCAATTATGTTTTCCATGTATCAAGAAAGGCACATTTGATTGGCAACATCTGTGATTTTCTTGATATGTTCCCTGTAAAACCAGCAATTTTCTCTGTTACAGTTGACTATGGCAGACTTCTGCATTGATGGTAGATGCCTTTTTCCTCTTCCAAATGGAAAAGTCTACACTAATTGTACTATGAAAAAAATTTTGAAAGAAAAGACATTCATGGAAATCCAGAGTGTATTGGAGAAGATTAACAAATGTCAGCTGTGTGATCTGGAGATAGGTCTTATGTGTGCCATCCTCCTCATAGATGCAGGTATGATGGGAAAAAAAATCCTAACAATGGCATTCTGGGATATTGTATGATAAATTGTATAGAGATCGAAAAATAACTCTTTTGACTGAACTTATTGCATCTTGCTCTGACTTTTTTTGGTATGTTGTGTATTTTAGATGATGACAATCTAACTGGTAACTCCAACATGAACCTAGAACCATTGAGGACTCTACACTCCCATTACTTAGACATCCTAGCCACTGTCATCTCTAAAATCCACACCACTCAGACCACCAAACGTCTTAGGGACATCTTCAGCCTCACCCCACTCATCAAAAAACTCTCCACTCGACTACAACTTCAAATCACATCCTACGGAGTAGAGCAGATTCCTGATGAAGGTCAGTATAGTATTTGACCTTGATTATGGCTCAAGAGGACTTGAGTAGGCTCTATAGGACTTATACAGATGTTTGTCTGTATGTCAATATGTCAACAGGTGTACATGTTTGATGCTGTTAGAATTCTTATAAATAGTATGGAATTGCTGCTTGTTCAGACACAGTTATTTTAGGAATATGAGTAGGGATCACAGTCATTATTAATTGCATCTGAACAGTACTTATAATGAAGTAACAAGAAGTCATTTCTTTGTCAAGAAACCTAAAACCATAACAAAGAAAGCTCCAAAGTTTCAAGGTGAAAATGAGATTTATTTTCACAGGGTCAAAATCTCATATTACATACGTGTATCTCCAGCAAAACACTTGACAAGTTAAGGTCATTGTTTACATCATATACTTGGTGTGACTTTTATATGGTGATAATTAATCCTTAGATTCACAAAGAAAACACATATGCATCCTGCAAGAAGGGTGCCCCCCCACAGATAATTTTTTTTTTACGTTTATAGAAAACTTCTGAAGAGAAGGGTTGTACACAAATATATGAAATTTCAACAAAATTTATTACCATTTCCAAATACAGTAAAACACGTTTTTAGCAAACACGCTTATAATGAATGGACACTTAGCAAAGTGATTTTCGTTTTCCATGGCTTTTAAGTATATTGTGAACTTTGCGAATATAATGAATAAGGTTTATCCATGGCTCTTTGTTAAAAGCATGTTTTACTAATAGTATAATTTTTTGAATGTTATGTAAAGTTATATAAAGCATACAGCAAAATAAAAAATTCAGACCCTTGAGGGAATGGGTATAAATTAAAGAAGAATGTGTTGTATTGATTTTTGCATCCAAGATGCTAAATTTTTCAATAAATATTTTACATGCTAGTCATTTTTTTTTCCATTTTAAAAAGAACAAACATTATTGCCTAGAAATTAGAAATTTATGTTAAAATTAGGGCTGCACCATAATATCGCTATTCCGGTATTTTGCAATTCAATGACAAAAAATATCATATTGCGATACGTTGAGAATCTGCTGATAATGAACAGAAGGGTCATAATTACTCAGGTGTGCGTTGTGGCCCATAATTACTCAGGTGTGCATTGTGGCCCATAATTACTCAGGTGTGCATTGTGGCCCATAATTACTCAGGTGTGTGTTGTGGTCCAGAATTACTCAGGTGTGCATTGTGGCCCATAATTACTCAGGTGTGTGTTGTGGCCCATAATTACTCAGGTGTGCATTGTGGCCATAATTACTCAGGTGTGTGTTGTGGTCCAGAATTACTCAGGTGTGTGTTGTGGCCCAGAATTACTCAGGTGTGCATTGTGGCCCATAATTACTCAGGTGTGCATTGTGGCCCAAGGTTCTCTTGTTTATTAAGTTAAGTAGAAAAGAGACATTTGAAATGGGGTGGGGTCATTTGACAATCCCCACGCCAGAAATGAAATCAATTATTGGATCCTCTCCTTCAGGGAAGGGTTCTTTTGCTAAAAATGGATATTGATGAAGTAATTTTGCATGGGATACTCATATTTGCTCCATGGGCTACATAAATCAGCCAGACTCCTGAAATTTTGTTTATTTTAAATTATTATAAGAAAATTGGCTTTGTCTGAAATATTTAAACCCTTTTGTCTATTATTCTTGTCTATTTGTTGTTCGGACAATTGATTTGTATTAAAATTCAGTGAACATTTCTGTGTATCTTTAATTGATTTCTGTTACAGACTCCTTACAAACCATTGCCATGAACACAGAAGCCTCAGTGGAAAAAGTTCAAGCTCTGTGTGATTAGAGAATGTGTAGTTAAATACGCCGCCCAAGAATCAGTCCAACAGGTGAAGCATTACAGGATCCATGTCTGATCTCTTACAGAAATCCACATCCAAACACTGGCTGTACATTGGGTTCTTTGTGATATAACTCTGTCTGTCTGTCTGTGAGAGAAGTGGCTGTTAACTCTGATTAACAGTTCAGTAGATGTCATCATATTGATTTCTTGTTTGTCTGAGTAAGAGAGAAAAGAAGTGCCTATTTATAGTTTATTATTTGATTTTATGTTGATTACAGTCCATGTTTTATCAGTGACATGACAGGTAGCAGAATTAATTTTCGCAGTTAACCTACAAAGTTAACGTTTGCTGTGGTTTTGTGTATTATATACTATGTCTTTATTAATAATTGGAATCATTTTCCTGTCAGCTGCTCGGGCACAGGAAGCAAACTGAGAAATGATATTAATACAATAATACATGTAACCATTTAATGTAGAAATGATATTGATACATTGGTACATATAACCATTTTAATGAAATTTTCTGAAGTTCAAATACACATCTTCCCAAGTCAAAGGTTTCTGATCCACTCCGATCCATATAAACCCTTGACTGAATAGACTTAAGTTTGATGGGATTAGAAATGGGCTTTTTGATTGCCCTCATACAGGTTTGCATGAGCCAATCAAAAACATTGTTTTATTTAACCTGAAGCTAAATTGTAAATAGAAAAACACACCAGTTTTAGTTCCAACCAAAACATCTTCACCAATAAATAGCCCAGTTAAAGGCCTGTCTCAGCTTTTTAGGTGAAGTAATGTTGAATTTATACCAACTTCCAATATCGTCTCGAATTCTCTGTTTAATTTGCTTACTCTGATTGGTCAATAGCAGAGGTCAGTAGAGTTCAAAATTTGTAATTAATCTCACTAGATGGCATAATAGTTAACCCTGCAAACCTAGTCTATTTTGGTCAAGGGTTTATGAGGAGCGGAGTTGATCAGAAACACTTGACTTGGGAAGATGAAAAATACAGGGTAAAGAAACGTTATCAGCAAATCCTCCTATATCATTGAATAAAATTTAATGAGACTCTCACAGAATATTACATAATACCATTGTGCACCTCCTATTTTACTTTTTGATCGAACACATATTTATCACACATATTTAGGGTTTCCCATAGCTAAACTTGGACACTGCCATTCTTTCTATAATATTGGGGATACCCATCTCTTATCGACAACTCCCCTTTAGCACTAAATACTTTCACAGAATCTTTATTACAAAGTGCTATTTTGCACCTCCTATTTAACATTTTGAGATAGCGGGGGTATTTGTGAGCTCATTGTTTACAGTACCTCTAGTTTCTTTCTCATTTATGCTTTACTCTATAAAAAATCATGGTGTAAGTGGGGAAAACAGTTTTTGTTTTTATTTTTCCAACAAAAATACATTCCAAATCGTAAAAATTCCAAGCTATTGTCTTTCTTTCCCAGTAATTCAAAGTACAAATGTGTGTATTTGTGTACCCTTGTGGCTCAAGTCACAGTTCATACCAAAAGAGTCGCCCTAAAACACATACATGTGTATGATTATGTGTTTTTACTTCTAACTGTTAAGTAAGGGAGATTTTAACTTATGATACTGCTTAATCAGTGCTTGAATCCCCTTTGGTTGTTATTGGTTGACAATTTTATTTAGTTGTGATATGTAATGGTTGACAAATGTGATGTTATGTGTTGATTCTGATTGGTTGATATCTTTTGTAATTTTATTTAGACACTCAGTAGTTGATAAATATATATTGTAATGTTGATTGATCTGTTGTTGATACATCTTATTTGTTGTGATTGGTCAATTAGAAGTTGTTTGTTGATTACTGTACATTCCTTATTTTTCGCGAGTACTTATCGCGTGATGGCTCTTTAACGTCAAAGTACGAGAACAATAATTCATGAGTGGACAGTTGTTCAAGAGAATTTACATGGATTTTAGCACCATAAAAATAAAATCAAGTAATTTTATTTCATGAGTGGTGTTTCTCACAAAATTACGCGATAATTAATTCCTTGCATATACATCGTATTTGGGAATCTGCAGTACTGGTAATCTTCTATAATAGATTTCATTGGTTGATTTGTGCATAAATTGGAAACGGATCTTATTATGAAGTGTGTACTAGTGATTCTTTTTATTCCCAGTTATTCACTGTTTTCATGACTACATAAATGTCTTTATAGCTATTATATAATTATTTCTTATTCATGACAGACCTAGCATTAATTATTTAACAGTATCAAATGAAAATTCTTGATTTATCATTTTCTGCATGTACTTTTATTTTAAGAAAATGAGCATTAACAGTCTACACCTCCCATTTCAAATTTAAAAAATTCAAATGTCTGAAAAGTATTTAAATGCACATTCTACAGAAGTTAAGGTTGAAGAAGTTTTTTGCAAGAAAAATTATTTTTCTTTTTAATGAAAAAAATTTAAAATTTGCAAAAAAAGTAGTATGGAAAGGAATTTAAGCTTGTTTTCCGTTGTTCTTGTCGAATACCTTCAGATAATTATAGTCACATATCATTATTATACCCCACGCAACAAGTTGCGGGGGGTGTAATGTTTTTGACCCGTCCGTCAGTCAGTCAGTCAGTGTGTCAGTCAGTCAGTCCGTCAGTCCTGTTTTTTTTGTCAGCGCAACTCCTCATAAACCGCTGCACAGAATTTAATCAAACTTTGCAGATATTTAGGACACAATGTGTAGATGTGCATATTACCAGGAAATTCCGATTCCTTTATTTTTTCTGGGAATTTCGGCACTTTTCAACTTAGATTTTTGGCCATATCTTGAATATAGAGATGAACAGTTTGTCAGCGCAACTCCTCAAAAACCATTGCACAGAATTTCATCAAACTTTGCAGATATTTAGGACACAATGTGTAGATGTGCATATTACCAGGAAATTTCGATTCCTTTATTTTTTCTGGGAATTTCGGCACTTTTCAACTTAGATTTTTGGCCATATCTTGAATATAGAGATGAACAGTTTGTCAGCGCAACTCCTCAAAAACCATTGCACAGAATTTCATCAAACTTTGCAGATATTTAGGACACAATGTGTAGATGTGCATATTACCAGGAAATTCCGATTCCTTTATTTTTTCTGGGAATTTTGGCACTTTTCATCTTAGATTTTTGGCCATATCTTGAATATAGAGATGAACAGTTTGTCAGCGCAACTCCTCATAAACCGTTGCACAGAATTTCATCAAACTTTGCAGATATTTAGGACACAATGTGTAGATGTGCCTATTACCAGGAAATTCCGATTCCTTTATTTTTCTGGGAATTTTGGCACTCTTCAACTTAGTTTTTTGGCCATATCTTGAATATAGAGATGAACAGTTTGTCAGCGCAACTCCTCATAAACCGTTGCACAGAATTTAGTCAAACTTTGCAGATATTTAGGACACAATGTGTAGATGTGCATATTACCAGGAAATTCCAATTTCTTTATTTTTTCTGGGAATTTCGGCACTTTTCAACTTAGATTTTTGGCCATATCTTGAATATAGAGATGAACAGTTTGTCATCGCAACTCCTCTTAAACCGCTGCACAGAATTTCACCAAACTTTGCAGATATTTAGTACACAGTGTGTAGATGTGCATATTACCAGGAAATTCCGATTCCTTTATTTTTCTGGGAATTTTGGCACTTCAACTTAGATTTTTGGCCATATCTTGAATATAGAGATGAACAGTTTGTTATTGCAACTCCTCTTAAACCGCTGTACAGAATTTGGTAAAACTTTGCAGATATTTAGTACGTAGATGTGCAAATTACCAGGAAATTCCGATTCCATTATTTTTGCCTTAAGAGTTTTGCCTGTTATTGAAGAAACTTTCCAGCTAGGTAATAAGGAAATCCACTGGAATCAGCTTTTGTAATGAAATTTTATGTGAAATGTTTTATGACCTTAAAAGAACCCTATTGATTTTGAGATCAAAATATTAATGATTTAACACACACACAAAATCTTGGATAGTTCTCAACCCCCCCCCCCCCCCCCCCCCCCAAATTGGTGCTTTGGCTTAAATAATTTCTTAAGTACAGTATATAAACAAATTCATATGACTACATCATAATTTTGTTTCCATCAATTATTTAAATGTGTAAATTATCATGTGTTGGACATGGACTTACACTCATTAACAAATCGAAATCACTGAGGAATTTAAATAACAGTTTGTCAGCATAACTCCTGCACTGAATTTCCTGAAACTTTAGGTATTTCAGACATAATGTATAGATCTGTATATTACCAAGAAATTTTGATTCCATTATTTATCTAGAAACTTCAGCCGAATTAAATTTGTAACATACAAAGATTTGAATGTCCTTATATGCAAGAAGTTTTGATGTGATGATTTTTTGCAAGTAATGCCCCTTTTTGAATTATTATACTGTGTATTTAAAATGCACTGTGCCATTCATTACGTGTTGCATTGTTGAGTTTTGGGGGAGCGTGGGGTATGTGAGCTTGCTCACTTTTTCTTTCATTTGGTAATGTCAGTAGGCCAATCTTGGATTACTTCCCATGTCAGAACTCTTCAGAAAAGAGAATAGGAAAGGTTAAGGCCAAGGGGGCAATGGAAATTATAAGTTTATAAGAAAATAATTGTATCATGATTGAAAGTGGAGAATTACTCTAAACATTTTCAGAAAATATTTTTGTGTGGATTAAATAGAATTAAATTAAGAAGTAAATTAATCACATTTATATGTTTCAAAGTAATTCTTGAGGCATTTTTTGTAATTTTATAAATAAACAAAGAAAAAAATATTTCGATACCTTCTTTTTAACATAGAATTCCTTTTGTGTGTAGCAAAATAAACAGGGGCAGATAATTCTTATCTACAAGTTTACTACAAATAATCCAGAGAGTTCCAATTGTCAACATAAATTCAAGGCAAGAAAAAACATTGAGAAAATGAGTTGAATTTTCATCTTTATATGGATTATTTTTTAGGGTAAAAGGCATATTCAAGCTCAAAAGAGTTGTTATGTTAAATTTGGTACTTATTTTCAGTGCAACTCCTTTAATTTGTATTCTTCAAAATGGTTTGAAGTTTATCTACTCCGATTTGCTAATTAGTGCAACTACATGGGATGTATGATGAAAGTTTGTCCTTAGACACAGTTAGTTTATTCTGTGAACTACTATGTAGAATTTGAAAGTTGTGCTAACTCTACATTACTGTATATTTTGTTATGTAATTGAATTTTAATGATTTTAGCATTATTTTATAA